CGCCTGGAGCTGCAGATTCTCCTGCGCCTGGAGCTGCAGATTCTCCTGCGCCTGGAGCTGCAGATTCTCCTGCGCCTGGAGCTGCAGATTCTCCTGCGCCTGGAGCTGCAGATTCTCCTGCGTCTGGAGCTGCAGATTCTCCTGCGCCTGGAGCTGCAGATTCTCCTGCGCCTGGAGCTGCAGATTCTCCTGCGCCTGGAGCTGCAGATTCTCCTGCGCCTGGAGCTGCAGATTCTCCTGCGCCTGGAGCTGCAGATTCTCCTGCGCCTGGAGCTGCAGATTCTCCTGCGCCTGGAGCTGCAGATTCTCCTGCGTCTGGAGCTGCAGATTCTCCTGCGTCTGGAGCTGCAGATTCTCCTGCGCCTGGAGCTGCAGATTCTCCTGCGCCTGGAGCTGCAGATTCTCCTGCGTCTGGAGCTGCAGATTCTCCTGCGCCTGGAGCTGCAGATTCTCCTGCGTCTGGAGCTGCAGATTCTCCTGCGCCTGGAGCTGCAGATTCTCCTGCGCCTGGAGCTGCAGATTCTCCTGCGCCTGGAGCTGCAGATTCTCCTGCGCCTGGAGCTGCAGATTCTCCTGCGCCTGGAGCTGCAGATTCTCCTGCGTCTGGAGCTGCAGATTCTCCTGCGTCTGGAGCTGCAGATTCTCCTGCGTCTGGAGCTGCAGATTCTCCTGCGCCTGGAGCTGCAGATTCTCCTGCGCCTGGAGCTGCAGATTCTCCTGCGCCTGGAGCTGCAGATTCTCCTGCGCCTGGAGCTGCAGATTCTCCTGCGCCTGGAGCTGCAGATTCTCCTGCGCCTGGAGCTGCAGATTCTCCTGCGCCTGGAGCTGCAGATTCTCCTGCGCCTGGAGCTGCAGATTCTCCTGCGCCTGGAGCTGCAGATTCTCCTGCGTCTGGAGCTGCAGATTCTCCTGCGCCTGGAGCTGCAGATTCTCCTGCGCCTGGAGCTGCAGATTCTCCTGCGCCTGGAGCTGCAGATTCTCCTGCGCCTGGAGCTGCAGATTCTCCTGCGCCTGGAGCTGCAGATTCTCCTGCGCCTGGAGCTGCAGATTCTCCTGCGCCTGGAGCTGCAGATTCTCCTGCGCCTGGAGCTGCAGATTCTCCTGCGCCTGGAGCTGCAGATTCTCCTGCGCCTGGAGCTGCAGATTCTCCTGCGCCTGGAGCTGCAGATTCTCCTGCGCCTGGAGCTGCAGATTCTCCTGCGCCTGGAGCTGCAGATTCTCCTGCGCCTGGAGCTGCAGATTCTCCTGCGCCTGGAGCTGCAGATTCTCCTGCGCCTGGAGCTGCAGATTCTCCTGCGCCTGGAGCTGCAGATTCTCCTGCGTCTGGAGCTGCAGATTCTCCTGCGTCTGGAGCTGCAGATTCTCCTGCGTCTGGAGCTGCAGATTCTCCTGCGCCTGGAGCTGCAGATTCTCCTGCGCCTGGAGCTGCAGATTCTCCTGCGCCTGGAGCTGCAGATTCTCCTGCGCCTGGAGCTGCAGATTCTCCTGCGCCTGGAGCTGCAGATTCTCCTGCGCCTGGAGCTGCAGATTCTCCTGCGCCTGGAGCTGCAGATTCTCCTGCGCCTGGAGCTGCAGATTCTCCTGCGTCTGGAGCTGCAGATTCTCCTGCGCCTGGAGCTGCAGATTCTCCTGCGTCTGGAGCTGCAGATTCTCCTGCGCCTGGAGCTGCAGATTCTCCTGCGCCTGGAGCTGCAGATTCTCCTGCGCCTGGAGCTGCAGATTCTCCTGCGCCTGGAGCTGCAGATTCTCCTGCGCCTGGAGCTGCAGATTCTCCTGCGTCTGGAGCTGCAGATTCTCCTGCGCCTGGAGCTGCAGATTCTCCTGCGCCTGGAGCTGCAGATTCTCCTGCGCCTGGAGCTGCAGATTCTCCTGCGCCTGGAGCTGCAGATTCTCCTGCGCCTGGAGCTGCAGATTCTCCTGCGCCTGGAGCTGCAGATTCTCCTGCGCCTGGAGCTGCAGATTCTCCTGCGCCTGGAGCTGCAGATTCTCCTGCGTCTGGAGCTGCAGATTCTCCTGCGTCTGGAGCTGCAGATTCTCCTGCGCCTGGAGCTGCAGATTCTCCTGCGCCTGGAGCTGCAGATTCTCCTGCGCCTGGAGCTGCAGATTCTCCTGCGCCTGGAGCTGCAGATTCTCCTGCGTCTGGAGCTGCAGATTCTCCTGCGCCTGGAGCTGCAGATTCTCCTGCGTCTGGAGCTGCAGATTCTCCTGCGTCTGGAGCTGCAGATTCTCCTGCGTCTGGAGCTGCAGATTCTCCTGCGTCTGGAGCTGCAGATTCTCCTGCGCCTGGAGCTGCAGATTCTCCTGCGTCTGGAGCTGCAGATTCTCCTGCGCCTGGAGCTGCAGATTCTCCTGCGTCTGGAGCTGCAGATTCTCCTGCGCCTGGAGCTGCAGATTCTCCTGCGCCTGGAGCTGCAGATTCTCCTGCGCCTGGAGCTGCAGATTCTCCTGCGCCTGGAGCTGCAGATTCTCCTGCGCCTGGAGCTGCAGATTCTCCTGCGTCTGGAGCTGCAGATTCTCCTGCGCCTGGAGCTGCAGATTCTCCTGCGCCTGGAGCTGCAGATTCTCCTGCGCCTGGAGCTGCAGATTCTCCTGCGCCTGGAGCTGCAGATTCTCCTGCGCCTGGAGCTGCAGATTCTCCTGCGCCTGGAGCTGCAGATTCTCCTGCGCCTGGAGCTGCAGATTCTCCTGCGCCTGGAGCTGCAGATTCTCCTGCGCCTGGAGCTGCAGATTCTCCTGCGCCTGGAGCTGCAGATTCTCCTGCGTCTGGAGCTGCAGATTCTCCTGCGTCTGGAGCTGCAGATTCTCCTGCGCCTGGAGCTGCAGATTCTCCTGCGCCTGGAGCTGCAGATTCTCCTGCGCCTGGAGCTGCAGATTCTCCTGCGTCTGGAGCTGCAGATTCTCCTGCGTCTGGAGCTGCAGATTCTCCTGCGCCTGGAGCTGCAGATTCTCCTGCGCCTGGAGCTGCAGATTCTCCTGCGTCTGGAGCTGCAGATTCTCCTGCGCCTGGAGCTGCAGATTCTCCTGCGCCTGGAGCTGCAGATTCTCCTGCGCCTGGAGCTGCAGATTCTCCTGCGCCTGGAGCTGCAGATTCTCCTGCGCCTGGAGCTGCAGATTCTCCTGCGCCTGGAGCTGCAGATTCTCCTGCGCCTGGAGCTGCAGATTCTCCTGCGTCTGGAGCTGCAGATTCTCCCGCGTCTGGAGCTGCAGATTCTCCTGCGCCTGGAGCTGCAGATTCTCCTGCGTCTGGAGCTGCAGATTCTCCTGCGCCTGGAGCTGCAGATTCTCCTGCGCCTGGAGCTGCAGATTCTCCTGCGCCTGGAGCTGCAGATTCTCCTGCGCCTGGAGCTGCAGATTCTCCTGCGCCTGGAGCTGCAGATTCTCCTGCGCCTGGAGCTGCAGATTCTCCTGCGTCTGGAGCTGCAGATTCTCCTGCGCCTGGAGCTGCAGATTCTCCTGCGCCTGGAGCTGCAGATTCTCCTGCGCCTGGAGCTGCAGATTCTCCTGCGCCTGGAGCTGCAGATTCTCCTGCGCCTGGAGCTGCAGATTCTCCTGCGCCTGGAGCTGCAGATTCTCCTGCGCCTGGAGCTGCAGATTCTCCTGCGTCTGGAGCTGCAGATTCTCCTGCGTCTGGAGCTGCAGATTCTCCTGCGCCTGGAGCTGCAGATTCTCCTGCGCCTGGAGCTGCAGATTCTCCTGCGTCTGGAGCTGCAGATTCTCCTGCGCCTGGAGCTGCAGATTCTCCTGCGTCTGGAGCTGCAGATTCTCCTGCGCCTGGAGCTGCAGATTCTCCTGCGCCTGGAGCTGCAGATTCTCCTGCGCCTGGAGCTGCAGATTCTCCTGCGCCTGGAGCTGCAGATTCTCCTGCGCCTGGAGCTGCAGATTCTCCTGCGCCTGGAGCTGCAGATTCTCCTGCGCCTGGAGCTGCAGATTCTCCTGCGTCTGGAGCTGCAGATTCTCCTGCGTCTGGAGCTGCAGATTCTCCTGCGTCTGGAGCTGCAGATTCTCCTGCGCCTGGAGCTGCAGATTCTCCTGCGCCTGGAGCTGCAGATTCTCCTGCGCCTGGAGCTGCAGATTCTCCTGCGCCTGGAGCTGCAGATTCTCCTGCGCCTGGAGCTGCAGATTCTCCTGCGCCTGGAGCTGCAGATTCTCCTGCGCCTGGAGCTGCAGATTCTCCTGCGCCTGGAGCTGCAGATTCTCCTGCGCCTGGAGCTGCAGATTCTCCTGCGCCTGGAGCTGCAGATTCTCCTGCGCCTGGAGCTGCAGATTCTCCTGCGCCTGGAGCTGCAGATTCTCCTGCGCCTGGAGCTGCAGATTCTCCTGCGCCTGGAGCTGCAGATTCTCCTGCGCCTGGAGCTGCAGATTCTCCTGCGCCTGGAGCTGCAGATTCTCCTGCGTCTGGAGCTGCAGATTCTCCTGCGCCTGGAGCTGCAGATTCTCCTGCGCCTGGAGCTGCAGATTCTCCTGCGCCTGGAGCTGCAGATTCTCCTGCGCCTGGAGCTGCAGATTCTCCTGCGCCTGGAGCTGCAGATTCTCCTGCGTCTGGAGCTGCAGATTCTCCTGCGCCTGGAGCTGCAGATTCTCCTGCGCCTGGAGCTGCAGATTCTCCTGCGTCTGGAGCTGCAGATTCTCCTGCGCCTGGAGCTGCAGATTCTCCTGCGTCTGGAGCTGCAGATTCTCCTGCGCCTGGAGCTGCAGATTCTCCTGCGCCTGGAGCTGCAGTGCACGCTGAGTGTCTGGCAAATTCGTTCAGCCCTCTCTCAAGCTCCTATCCTTGCCCCTGCACTCCCCTTTCCCCCTTCCTCCAGGAAGCATGGGTGAGAAAGCAGTCGCCCCTCTCCGTCCTCCCAACCTACCCCCCCCTCCCCATCCGCCTCTCCCCTTACCCTCGCCACATCTCCCCCTTCCATCCCCAAGTTGATAGCCTTGCAAACGCATTTTGAGTCCCATCTCAAACCCCGCTTCCCTTCCCCTACCCTCCCCCGTCCCCCACCCCCTGCCAGGAAGCATGGGTGCGAAAGCAGTCGCCCCTCTCCATCCTCCCTGCCTACCGCCCCCTCCCCATCCGCCTCGTTCGCAACCCCCCTCTCATCCGCTTCTCCCCCCAAGTGCGGGCTCTAATTGCCAAGGCGGACGAAATCGGGCGGCGCACGCAGTACTTTGTGGATGGCTTCATGCCGCACAAAAGACAACACCGCATGGCGGGGCTTGCCGCCCTGGATCTGATGCAGAGGGTGAATGCCACGTGGCAGCACATGATTGAGGAACGGAAGGCAAGAGATGGGGATGGGGAGGAGGAGGGTGAAAGGCTCAGGGAGAGCGAGGGAGACGACAAGGATAGCAGGAACAACAAGAATATCAGCGGTGAAAGTGATGGTGATAGTAGTGAAGGTACCAGTAGTGGAAGGAGCAGCAACGACAAAAGGGCGAGTGGGAGAGGGGCACAGAGAGGCTCCCGACGGAAAACACCCCGAGTGTCCCTCAAATCCTCCGCAGCAGGGAAGAGATCCAACGGCCGAGATAAGCCCATCGGCTCATCGGGCCGATCCAACGGTGCACAGCTGATCTCCGGGTGGAGAGACATGTTCGATGGGATCATACGGTGGAGGCAGCATGCTGAGCCCTGCGATACAATCACATGGATCGACCAGCTCAAAAACGAGTACCCCAAGGGCTTCGGTACAATCACAGCCATGCGCGTGGGGCAGATGCATAACCTGAAATACTACCCGTTTCAGGACTGGGCGTTTGAGGTTATGAGATCCGTTCTGCTGGAGACTGAAATGGCGTCGAATGCAACCAACTGGCCGCTGCCGGTGCCGCGGCGGGTGCATGGGAAGGCGATAGAGGCGGCGGGGGATTTCGGGGATTTACACCGCGTGGTGGGGGAGAACTTCTTTGTTACCACTCAGTGTTACAGCGAGGCGTTTCCCGGGCGAGTGATGAACGGCACCCAGCTGACCCTGGTGGAGGCCTCAGGTATAGTGCTGCGCCTTTTGAGGCGCCAGGTACTTGTGCTTCCCGCGTGCTGCTATTGTGCCCGCCTTCTGCTGCTTGCCAGCACTATTTCCGCTTGAATCATTTTCAGAATGAGTCAGACAAGAATATTCCCTAGTCATTGAATCACCCTGCCCGCTCTCCCTCCCCCTCCCCCTCCCTCCCAGGCTCGTATGACTTCACCATTCGTACAGCCGTCACGCCGGAGCGCAGTGCCGAATTTTTCCAGGAGCTGCACAAGACATGGGAGGAGCTCAGTGAGGCCGCCACTGACACGCACTTGCGGGCCACTGACTTTCACCTGTACCGGCAGCGAGTGAGGGAGGGGGTGCTGCGGATGGGGTACTACTGGTATCAGTTCATGCCGCTCACCCGCGGGTCGGCGATGGTCGGCATTATCTCCATCCTCGGCCTCTCCCTGGCTGCTGACATGGAAACTCTCTCACTCATCCCCAAGGATGTTCAGGTGAGCACTGGGTTGAGTTGAAGTGGGGTGTGACCAGGGAGGGTTTAGCCGTCCTCTGCTCTCCGCGCCGACCTCTCCCTACCCACTCACATGGAGACACTTTCACTCATCCCCAAGGATGTTCAGGTGCGCGCTCAGTTAGGCTAGGGCCGGCGATGGTCGGCACTATCTCCATTCTCGGCCTCTCTCTGCCTGCTGACATGGAGACACTTTCACTCATCCCCAAGGATGTTCAGGTGCGTGCTGAGTTGGGCGGAAGTGGGAGAGTTGGCAGTGAGCGTTTGTCCATGCTCTGCTGTCCCCGCTCCCACCGCTCTCCCTCACTGCTGACATGGAAACGCTCTCAATTATCTCCCACGGAGTGTTAGCAGAATGCAGTAAGGACGAGCAAACACATTGCAACCTTTTTTTTCCGGTTTCTCATACTCATGTCGCCCTAATCCATCTTCATCTCATCACTCAGGTGGACTGGGAGGCGATCCTAAATCCGCGTTTTAAGCAGTTCAATGACTCGGTATCGCCTTGGTTTTACAGCAAGGTTGCCCCGGCGCCCTGGCACCTGCCACGTGTCAGCGAGGCATTGCCCACCACGCGCCACGTCATCGCTGCACTCAGTTATGACCTGGAATCTGACGACTACGACGATGATAAAGCTGGCAACGATGATGGTGATGACAAAGATGGTGATGATTATGACGATTGAAAAGTTGCTGTTAAAACTCGCATGGATTATAATCAAGATACTAATGGTTGTCTGACATGCAGATTTGTATGTTGAAGGCAAATTACAGAGCAACATTTTATGGTATTTCTGTACCTGATCTGTTCTCGCTGTTTTTTGTCCCTGCCATGCCAATTGATGTGCTGGCCTGTTGGGAGACAGAAACCGCGCCTATCAAGCGCCGCCATGCTTTGCTCTCGAGTCGTTCGTCCGCGGGAATTTCTGCACCCGAGGGTTCCGCCGATCGCGCGGGGAAATCGCGGGAGAGAAACTCCCCTTGCCGTTACTTCTCGCGCCGAAAATCCTGCAGACCCCCCGTACTGGGAAAGTGCGCCGCGACGGCGGTTATCGGCAATGTCTTGGTTTAGAGCTACTAGGGTCCCATGCGCCGCGCAGCCGCGCTCCGTTGCGCTATTAACTCCCCGCGCCGCGCAATCACGCAGCTCGCGGCAATTTCTTGCGCCCGTCTGTCCCGCTGTAGCGCGCAGTTCCCGCGCAGTATTACTTCTTCCCCGCGCCAGTAACCGCGCGGATTCAGGCGCCCGTTTTCCGCGCGCAGACTTGCGCGCCGGGCGGTATATCGAGTCAGTTAGATTGCATGCTTCGTGGGGGCTGTTGCCGCTGACGTGGCAGCAGCAGCGACAACGACAGCAGGGGGAGTGGCGAGGGGTTCAGGGCATTAGAGGGGGCAGGGAGGCCCGGCGAAAGTTCAGGGTTTATGCAGGGGCGAATTTCGGGGAGGAGCGATGGAGCCTGAAACGAGCGGGAAGCGGGCTGGATGGAAGTGATACTAACGAGGGTAACTCGAATGACATTAATGTCAGGGATGACTCTAACGGGGGCGAGTTGGAGGGTGAGGGAAGAAGAGAGGAGGAGAGAAGGGGAGGAGTGAAGGAGGAAGGAGGGGAGGTGGAGGGAGAGGGAGAGGAGGTGGGGCAGGGTCAAGTCAAAAAGCCACTTCACGTGGTGCTCGTGTGCCCTCAGGTGATTGGCCCATGTGCTGCCACGTGTGATTAGCTTGCAGTGCTCCCACGCGTGATCACATTTCCCGGCTTCCCAATTCCCCCCTCCCCCTTCCTCCACACGCTCACTTTATCCCCAAACAATACAGGGTGAATTGTTGTCCGCACATGTGGCATAACGCCTGTGTGCACAACTCACCCTAGATACAGGGTGAATTGTTCTTAGATCCCCTTAAATCCCTACCAATTCCCCCCTCCCCCCTCCGCCCTCCTCCCTCCCACACACACAGATCCCCAGCAACACAGGGTCCATCGCACGCACATGTGCTGCCTGCCTGTCTGCACGCACATGTGCTGCCTGCCTGTCTGCACGCACATGTGCTGCCTGCCTGTCTGCACGCACATGTGCTGCCTGCCTGTGTGCACGCACATGTGCTGCCTGCCTGTCTGCACGCATGGCAACACGTCAGTTCCCGACCCACCTTCGGCCCCTCCCCCACCCTCCTACCCCCTCCCCTAACCTGACTGCCTCACCCACTCACATGCAGATTCCTGGCAATACCGGGTCCATTGCGCGCACATGTGCTGCCACGGCCGTTCCCCTGCACCTGGTCAAGGTGGGTGCATGTCGGGGGAAAGAGGAGAGCGAAAGTTGGGTGTATCTCTCGCATGGGAAACGGGAGAGGGAAAGCTGGTTGTGCACCAACAGCTGTGTGTGGTGGTGAACGTGCACGCAGCTGTTTCGAGACGCCTGAAAAACAATTTTTTTATCGCCCTGCTCGTCGTCTCTGTGCCTTCGAGCCTCTGGGATTAGACATAACGGATTCAAAGCTTAAGAGAATACGGCTGGACTGCAGGCCACACGTGATGGTGAAAGTGCATGCAGCAGTTTTGAGACGACTCAATACATTATTGCCCTGCTCCTCCTCTCCCTGCCCTGCAGCCCCTGGGATTTGACATCACGGATTCAAAGCTTAAGAGAGCAGGTCTGGACTACTGGCCGTATGTGGTGGTGAACGTGCATGATAGCTGGGGCACATTCATGGAGTATTTCAACCAGCAGGTATCCCACTCCGGCTCTCAATGTTTGTGGTATATTCTCCCTTCCTTTCCTGCATCACCCTTTCCTGCATCACCCTTTCCTGCATCACCCTTTCCTGTCATCACCCTTTCCTGTCATCACCCTTTCCTGTCATCACCCTTTCCTGTCATCACCCTTTCCTGTCATCACCCTTTCCTGTCATCACCCTTTCCTGTCATCACCCTTTCCTGTCATCACCCTTTCCTGTCATCACCCTTTCCTGTCATCACCCTTTCCTGTCATCACCCTTTCCTGTCATCACCCTTTCCTGCATCACCCTTTCCTGTCATCACCCTTTCCTGTCATCACCCTTTCCTGTCATCACCCTTTCCTGTCATCACCCTTTCCTGTCATCACCCTTTCCTGTCATCACCCTTTCCTGTCATCACCCTTTCCTGTCATCACCCTTTCCTGTCATCACCCTTTCCTGTCATCACCCTTTCCTGTCATCACCCTTTCCTGTCATCACCCTTTCCTGCATCACCCTTACCTGTCATCAACCTTACAGTGCCTCCAACCCTCCCTAGTAACCCCCCCACTCCCTTCCCCCTGCCCCCTTCCCTGCCTGCCGCCCTCCCTTTCTCTGACCACAGCCGGAGCCCAAGCGGCTGATTGCCTTTTCCAAACGAGGCTCTGTGCCCCACCATGTGAGTTGTGACTAGCAAGGGTGGTGGGGAAGAGCATGGGTGATGGTGGGGGGAGGGATGGGGTAGGGAAAGGGAGGGAGTCGTGGAAGGGTGGGTGGGACTATGGAAGGTCGCGGCGGGGGAAAGCTATCATTTACACTTGATGCATGAAAGCACCATCATATTCCACTCTATTATCTCACTTTTGATGTCCCCTTTCCATCACTCCATAATAAAGGGTCTGTCTTGGTTTCTTTTTCTTCTGCAGGATATTCAGTATCAACCAGGTGATTGGCTGTTGTTTGGGGCTGAAACATTTGGCCTGCCACCAGAGGCCATGGAAGAGTGCTCACTTGGGGACTATGGGGGAGGGATTGCTCGCATTCCTATAGACGAAACATATGTCCGCTCTCTAAACCTTGCTGTGTCGGCAGGAGTAGGAGTATACGAGGCTTTGCGACAGATTGAAGGCCATGCAGACGATACTGTTGTTAGGAATTAGCAATATGATGCAGAACTGTACATTTTTCATTTGTACCCGTATTCTCCCGGACATAACACCCTAGGGTAGATCTAAAAATACAGGAAAAAAAAGGGGGGTGTCTTCTCATAGGAAAAAGCTACATAATACCCGGGTGCATATATATGGTATATTTTAGTGTTAGAGTTTTTTTTATCACACAAGTTGAGTGTTTCCATGGGCTTTTTAACATCACATGTTGAGGCGCGAATGTGAGTTTCGACGCGAACGTCATCACCCCCTCGAAAATGTCATTTGGCACCTCTCTGGCCACCTGCAGCGGAAGATTCGCCAGCACGTGGCGACAGCGAAATGGTGGGCGGGGAGGAATCTCGGCAGATTTGATGTGAAAGAACCGGGAAATTTCATCGAGCGAGAGATTTTCGCGATATACTCCCGTACTTGCACGTACTCGTTAACAGCTATAAAAAGGGGGGTGTTATAAAAAATCATCCAAAAAGGGGGGTATAGTGAAATCGAGGTCGCCCATAGCACCCACCCCGCACAAGCTACCCGGGGGTGCTCTATCATGGGGGGGTGTTTTGTCCGGGAGAATACGGGTATGTCTAAATATTGTTTATGGGGAACGCCCTCTTCGCACAAGGAGACCGCCATAATTGTTCGTGAATGTTGCCGCACGGCAGGCCTCTGGTGGGGTTGAGTCTCTCGACTGGTCTCGCAGCTTTCCAACCTGGCCAATGCAATGGGGAGGATGGTATGGTTTTCCCGCACATAACTCCTTTCACCTCACAAACTGACCAAATAATTTTGTGTGACTCCACATAAGTACCTGGTGCTGGTGGCGAGGTGGATTTCTCTGTTCTCCAGCACTCGGCCGATTTCAAAAAAGATAGTTTGGGTCGAATTATGAAATTTCTGGTTTGGCAGCCTCGACCCAAATCGACAAAAACAGGCCGACTTCCAGCCAATGATTTTGCCCATTTTGAACCGCAGCTGTGTTCTTCGCTGGAGGATCTTCCTGGGGCTAGTTGGATCTAGCAGTACAGTACTGTATGGCTTGTTTGCAAACGTACCCTCAGGCTCTAAGAACCACCTTTTGAGTCCTTTGCGTCGTCACCACTGCTGCTTATGTGAGAAAGGGAATCCGTACACATATTCCGACAAACTGTACAGACATTCAAATTTTATAACGGGCTGGCTGGCTCACCCTGGCTGACGTGTATTTCTTTTCGGGACTGCTTGACAACATGCTGACAGGGATTGTTGTAACTGAATTGTTCGTCAATTCATTGACTAACACCACCGAGGACTTCACTTGACATTTGTCATCAAGGGCGACGACGCATCCATCCGGGGTGACGTGTCCTCAATTTGATGGCAGTGAGATAGTCGTCGAAAGTCGGCCTGCAAATGTTAGCGCGATTCGATTGGAATCGAGAAATGTGCGGTGCGCCCACTCCAAGCACTGTCAACCTAGTCATCACTCTGCTCTGTTCGCGACACCCCCTTTTCCTTTCCCCTCCCCACCACAAAGCCACTACAAAATCAAACGCTACTAGTCACTATTATTGTATTTCAGTCCTACGATAGACACATTTGCTTCACACCACCTGTCCTCGTTTATCCCGCATCGCCGCCTTGCATCTGTCCATTCCAACTGCGAGGCTCAACGGGAAGCTACGACAGTGCGAACCGGTTCCTGCCTCCGCCACAATTTCTTTGCTCGCAAAGATGACACATGGTGTTGATGGCGTCGCGACGGCATTTTGGCTCCTGACCCTCATCGCCGCGCTCGCCGGCACGACATTTGCGGCTAGCCCCCAAGAAAGCGCTCCGCACGGACCGATAACAACCGCGCGTGGATGCTACGATTGCGTTAATCTCAAAATGGGGTACTATATCGCGGCCTCAAATGACGCGACGGCGTCGGGCCCAACTTACCCCACGACTGCGACCTACAACTACGAGCGCTACGTGTTCGACGCGACCACGCCGCCAAATCTTGGCACTACTGTAATCCTCTTCCCTCGCCCATCGTTTTCTTGGCAGGCCGCAGTTAAAAAATGTAACGCGGTCTTTATTACTCTTTGTGCCGGGGCCGCGACTTTCAGTCCATAATCATGTTCATGACTGATGATAGTCTGCATTGTTTGCGTCCAGTTTGCCCGTGGCGTATGAACTTGATTTATGCTTTTCTAATCCTTCTCCCTCCTGCCGTTTGCCCTCCTGCAGAGTACGAACTCTGAATCGGATTGTTGCCGCGCCTGCGCCGCGAAAGTCGGCTGCCAGTACTGGCGACTGAGCAAGCTGACGTAAGCATTATGACGTTCTCGTGCTAGTGTTATATTGCTGTGCTTCGTAAGCATGTTTGATATGTTATTTTTTGTTTTCCAAGGCCGTATGACAAACCGGCTCCACGTCTCCCTCACTTCCAACTAACAACGCTCCCTCTTTTTCGCGCTTTAACAATTGCAGTACCCCGGGCACTTGCACCCTGCTGGGATCGCTGACGGGACTCACCACAACCAACTGGGTGAAGCAGGTGGATCCCACGTACATTGGCGGCATATGCAACCCCCTCGCCAACACCAACGGCGACCCGCATTTCCGCGGCGCGGATGGCACGCGCTTCGATTTCAACGGCCTGCTCGACCGCTCCTTCTGCCTGCTCTCCGACCGTCGAATCCACATCAACATGGGGATCAAGGGCTACCGTCCAATCGGCAACCTCCCAGGCACTGCCACGTCGTTGGATGAAAACACGCTCGCCGCGGCGGTGGAAGCAGCAGCGAATGAGTTTAAGCCACGTCACATTCAGGAGTTGCAGGAGGAAGCATTAAGTGCTGCGGAAGTGGCGGGACTGCTGCAGATGCGCGCCAATGGGAGCTTGCCCGAGTCGGAAAAGGTGGAAGCTGCGCTCGAGCGGGAGGTGGGGAGGCTCCGCGGCGGAATCGGCGCGGCGGGAGACGTGGAGGTCAGGCTTGGAGCGGCTCAGGCTGAGTCTGCGGCGGGTCAAGGTTCGGAGGAGAGGCATTCGATCCAGTATGCGCGGCACGAGCTTGAAACGAGGCTGCTTGAAGGGAAGCCAATCCGCAGCTGGATCAGGTAAGTGGCGCGTCGGTGAAGGTCGCGTTGCGATGGCGTGTCATTGATATTCTCATCAGCGATTGTAGCAGCCATGGCATTAACGAAGCAATATGCAATCCATGTTACCATGCGACCATTTTCCTGTGTTCATTCTCGCATAGCTCTCCTCTCAATATTCCTTCATGCAATCAGGGAGCTTCAAGTGATGTGGCGCGATGCCACAGGAGCGCAGCATTCGGCATTCCTCAAGGCGCGGGATGGCAAGGAGCAGGGCCGAGGCGCCTCCGGATTCATCAATCGGTTGGTGATCGACGGCCAAGAAGTGGCCCCTCCTTTTTACCCTGGGAGTTCAATCTCCGCAAACGGAGGCTTTAAGCTGCTGCTGGCGGAAACCAGGAGCCGGCCCGGGAGGATAGAAGACGAGTTCCACCTGAAAATAGAGGGCGTGATGGATCTGGGGTTGACTGCGCGGGTGGCCCATCCGCTCATGCAGACTGCGACTGAGGCTCAGGCGCATTTCAACGTGCACGTCGTGCAACTCAATGTAAGCTCTGACACGTTTCGAAACCCTGACAGTGCATCTCCACACCTCTGAGATGAGTAAATGCTTGGTGTGCTTGTCCCTCCTTCCTCCGCTTACTCGATTCCCATATACCCACACTCTTTCCCCCATCTCCCCCCCACCAGCACACGGAGGGCATTTATGGGGTGTTGGGACAGACCTTTCGCAGTGAAGATTCCCGCGCCGTGCGATCGCTGCGGCACCGGCTGCTCACTCGCCTGCTCACCTGACCTCTCCACCTTTTCTCCCCGCCCTTCTTCCCACCCCCCACCAGCACACGGAGGGCATTCACGGGGTGTTGGGGCAGACCTTCCGCAGTGAGGCATCCCGCTCGGTGAGATCGCTGCGGCACCGCCTGCTCACTCGCCTGCTAAGGGAGCCAGTGGACGTGGAGAGCAGTGAGGGGGGCGACGGGCTGTTGGATGGGATCGTGCAGGACTATCTCACCTCGGGAATTGCCGCCACGGATTGCGTGTTCTCTGCCGCGTGGAGGAGGGGAGATCCGGATATCTGGATGGGCGACGATGGGCTTGATTTCATGCGATAAACGAGGGCGTGTGATGATGTGTGCGGGTGCAGGGGAGGGCTGCTGGATGGGATCATGCAGGACTATCTCACCTTGGGGATTGCGGCTCCCAGATTGTGTGTTTGCTGCTGCGTGGAGGAGGGGAGAGCGGGAAAGTGAGATGGGCGACAGCGGGCTTGATTCCATGTGGAGGGAAGAGCAGGAGACTGGGATTGGCTTGACGACAACAAAAAACGTTGGGTCATGAGTATCTGGGTGATTATTGTTTAATGTGAGGCTTTTCTTTGCTGGTACGGTAGATAGAGCATGAGGAGAAGTCTCCCATCTTTTAGGATCAGATTCGTTTTTCAAAGCTTATTTCTGGAATGAAATTGGTGTATGGCGTGTCTCTGCTGCTACTGCGGTTGTTTTTTTGGTGGCACATGCACTGTGACAAAAAGGAAAAGAAAAACCAGCAAGAGCTGGACAACTCATACAGGCTGAGTCATAAACTTCATGCAAACAAGTGAACGTCGGTTGCTACTGATCGAAACAACAGTTTGAGTTTGTAACAATGCACTTATCCCTCATCCGCCGCACCAAATCATCTCTCTTAATCCCACCCCCGTCCTCCCCGGTCTCCCCCGCTGCAGTCACACCCTCCCAATACAAGCAATGCATCTCCTTTTGATACACATCATACAAATAAGTCGCATTCTCCCACTTGTTCTTGATCGCCGGCCAGTCAAACCAATTCAACGCATACTGCCAAATCTGCTGCTGCGGGGTGTAATTAACATCGTCGCACCCATCCAGCTCCCCAGGCGGGAACGCGTGGCACATAGCTTCGTGTGCAAAGTACCCGGAAACACTTATGTAAGCCTTGACGATTCGTGGCATGTTGTCGGTGTGGTTGGTGGCCTCTCTGAACGGCCAGGAGTAGGAGATATGGGCGCCCACACGAGGGATGGGTATGTGGTCGGTCCATTCTAACGCCCAGTGCACCTGTGGGTGGAGAGGGGAGGGGCGTGGGAGAAGGGAAAATGGGTAGAGGAAGCATGGGCGCCCACACGAGGGATGGGTAGGTGGTCGGTCCATTCTAACGCCCAGTGCACCTGATGGTGGGGAGAGGACGGATGAAACATGCACATGCACATGCACAAGCACATGCACATGCACATGCACACGCACATGCACATGCACACGCACATGCACATGCACATGCACATGCACATGGAGTTATGATACCTGCCTGCTTACCCCGCCTCAACTCTATTTACATGCATACACACACCTCCCACATGCCTGCCTGCCTGCCTGCTCACCTCGTCCTCTGTGAAGGCCCACGTGTAATTGCCCAGAGTCGTGCGGGCTTGCATCTTTGTGTGGGCTTCGAAATTCTAGTGTCTCTTCATACCAATGAAATTCTAGTCTCTTCATACCAACGAAATTCTAGTCTCTCTTCAAATCCAACATGTGGGCTCAGAAACTCTCAACTCTCTTCATACCCACGAATCCCATATGCCTCACTCTCTGCTCACCTCGTCCTGAGTGAAGGCCCACATGTAGTTGCCCAGAGTCGTGTGGGCAATCTGCGTCCTGCAGAGGGAGAGAAGGGTGTGAGAGACAGACAGAGGGGTGTGAGAGGCAGACAGAGGGGTGTGAGAGGCAGACAGAGGGGTGTGAAAGGGACACAGAGGGATTGGAATGGAAGCAGAGAGGAAGGAGACGGAGGGTGGAGTGACATCGTCAAAGTAGGCTCAAAATGACGCAAGCTCACCAGAATGACACCACAAACCACCCAGCAGCACCACACACCACCAAGCAGCACCGCATCCCACACCTCACCGTTCAAACTTTGGGCCGCGCTCTGCAAAGTACTTGAAGGGCTTGTCGAAGCTCTTCCCAAACTTGTCCCGATGCAACTCCCCCACATGCTCCCTAAATTTCGGCAGCACATCTCTTGGGAAAACGAAGGGCAGCTGCACCATGAAGTTGGCAAAGTAAGAATGCTGCCCCACGAGCCAGCGAGTGGACGGCAGCCAGTTGTTGCGCTGCGCGTTGCGCGATCCAATCACGAACGGCTTGCCATCTGTTAGGTTGAACAGGAAACCAGGCGTCACCTGGTGTTGGGGGAGGATGGGAGGGGGGGGCGGTGACAACGTAGGGGTGTTTGGGATCACGTGACGTTCAATCGCCATTTACACATGGCCTGCAAATGATGGTGATGATGATCCGTGAGTTAGAGACAGAAGTTGAAGTACATGGCGTGCCACGTTGTCGTCGACGGCGGGAGTCGATGAACGGTGTGAGTTGCGTAGCTGTCAGACCCCCAGGCAGCTCCACTGCTGCCCGGCTGCATGGCTGCACGCGTTCACACAGATGGGCTCACCTTGAGGTTGAAGACAACGTCGTCGTCTATAATCGCAATGTACGGTGTGCCGTCGTGTAGTTGTCAGCCAACAGGTAGCTCCACTGCTGGAGGAATGCTGCATGCACGCATTGGCAATGAGACTGAAGGCGACTCACACACTCACACACACTTGCGAGCACACGCACTTACCTTGAGGTTAAAGACCACGTCATCGTCTATAATCGCAATGTACGGCGCAGTGGTGTAGTTGTCGGCCCACAGGTAGCTCCACTGCTGGAGGATCTTCCCTGGAAGATCGAGATAGTTTTTCTCGTAGTACACCTGGTGATTACGCGGGGGGGGAAAAGAGGGTAGAAAGGGGAACAGAGAGGCTAATGCAGGGGAGCAGCACAGTTGAGCTAATCTGCAGGGTCTTGAGACATGATAGAAGTTGGGTTTTGAGACGTCTCAAAACAGCAGAGGCTAATGCAGGGGAGCACCATGGTTGAGCTGAGCTGCAGGGCCTTCCCCCGCAGGTCCAGGTAAATCTTCTCGTAATACACCTGGTGTAACCTGAGGGGGATATAAGGGTAGGCAGGGGAGAAGCAAGGATGAGGGGAGGGTGAGCAGCAAGGCAGCTCCACTGCTGAAGAATCTTCCCCAGCAGGCCCAGTCCAGGTAATTCTTCTCGTAACACACGGCAGGGGAGGGCAGAGCAGGGCAGGGCAGGGGAGAAGAGGGTTACTAAGGAGGGGTAGCATGGGTGAGGTGAGTGTCACAGCTGGAGGATCTTCCCTGGCAGATCAAGGATTTGCCTTGACCTGCATTGACCCACCTTGACCCGCGTTGACTCTGACATCTCTAATCACCCACCTTGACCAGCGTTGACCCGCGTTGACTAACCTTGACCCAGGGCGGCACGAGGTCCCTGACAACGCTCTCGCCCTCGTCCAGCACCAGGATGACGTCACCAATGCCACGTGGCCACATCTGCTCGATGCTCCTGAACAGCACCTCCATCAGAAAGTAAGCATCTGACACGTGGCTGCGCACCAGCAGGTCCACCCGGGCCGGCCACAGGGGGCTGGTCGGGGGAAGGGGGTTCCATACGGGGGAAATGTGTGTGTGGGGGGGGGAATGGGGGATGGGGGATGGGGGATGGGGGGAGAAGAAGGGCAATCATTGGGGATTTCTAAGACGTCTCGAAAAGGGCTGCATTGGGGGAGAGGATGGAGAAGGAAGGGGAGATGGGGGGTACGAAATGGAAATTGGGGCGAGAAGAAGAGGAATCTGGGGGATAAGGGGAGCCCCAAAGGGGGGGGGATGGGGAGGACGGGGAGATGGGGATGGGGAGGAAGGGGAGATGGGGATGGGGGGTACGAAATGGAAATTGGGGCGAGAAGAAGAGGAATATGGGGGATAAGGGGAGCCCTAATGCCTGTCACTCCCGCATTGCCCCAACGCCCGTCACTCCCGCATTGCCCCCATGCCTGTCACTCCCGCATTGCCCCCATGCCTGTCACTCCCGCATTGCCCCCATGCCTGTCACTCCCGCATTGCCCCCATGCCTGTCACTCCCGCATTGCCCCCATACCTGTCACTCCCGCATTGCCCCCATGCCTGTCACTCCCGCATTGCCCCCATACCTGTCACTCCCGCATTGCCCCCATGCCTGTCACTCCCGCATTGCCCCAACGCCCGCCACTCCCGCCCGCATACCCAACGCAATGGCACAACTTTGATTCTAATATTCGCAATTCATATCCGGTACCCATCACTCACGCGTACGCCTCGTCGTAAAGCCGAAGCATCACCGACACGCAATGGCACAACTTTGATCCTGAGTCGCAATTCGTATCCGGAATCACTTTTGAGAATTCTCAAAAGTGATTTCAATGAAACCATCACTCACGCGTACGCCTCGTCGTAAAGCCGAAGCATCTCCGACACGCAATAACCCGCCTTGGTGCGCCGCTGACACGGCGCCACGCAGGCACCATGCCGGCTCGCGATCTCCCCGCACGGATTCCCCTCGCCCGTTGTAATCACATTCGGCGCAATCTCGCCGCGCTGGAAACTCGATACCCCCTCGCCTGCGACGGACGCGGTGTTTGCTAAGTGCGAGTTAATCGGCAGGCTGAGTTGCGCGGCGCGGAACCCGGAGGCGTGGCCGAGGCGGTGCGAGATCGCGGAGAGGGAAAGCATCGTGGCGAAGAGGACGACGAGGCATGCGAACGCCTGGCGACGCGTGACGACGAACGAGTCCGACCCTGAAGCGGCCTTTCTCATGATTGCGCGACGGCTGCTATTCGTGGAAAAATCAGCGTCGCGCTACGGTGCGTTACGGTGTGTTCCGGTGGACTACAATATATTACGGTAGCTTACAAACGGAGTGGTCTGTTCTTGAGAACTCTAAGAAACAGTGTGTTACCAAAAGCGATAAGCCTGTCGGGCAGGATAGGAGCCGCCGTGGTTGACGGCGGCTGACACGGCGTGTCGTGGAAGATAGCTTGACGGGACATGGACGGGCGTTGGTTGGCGCGCGCTGCTGCTCATTCATTCACCTGACCAGCAATGCGGTGGGAAACTGGTAGCCATGAAAAGCTGTCATGTGTTAGCGAATGAACTGAGCTAGAACCTCGATTCTACCGAAACATACAGTGCTAGGCTCGATCCCCCTGAGCTCGTGTTTCGTTGTGTTGTGTTGCGACGGTTGCTGGTGGGGGTGGGTGGTTGGTGGGTGAGGGCGCGTTTGCCGTGATTTGCTCATCTAGCTACACTATTTTCATGCAGATTGCCGATTCATATAAAGCTCTATTCAATAATAGAGTTTAATGCTACAACAGGGGACAGCAAGAGTACAAGGCACATTACATCATCATACAATGAAGAAACCCTACAAATACAGACGTTTTAGCGCAAGATTCCACCATAAGAGCTGAACGGCGACTTCAAAGCCGAATGGTGATGGTAATGCTCCTCCTGCCGTCGTTCTGAGACTCAGTGTACTTGGGTGCAACATTCTTACGAGTGCCAGAGCTCGACAACGACCCTCCACTCGGCGGTCCCTGTGTGCGAGGAGGGTTCTTGGCAGGCGGCTTGGTTCCAGGCTTCGTAGGGGGCTTGGGAGAGGTCTTGGGAGGGGGTTTTGCGGGGGGATTGGCAGGTGGTTTAGGGGACGTTTTAGGAGGGGTTGACTTGGGTGGAGAGGGTTTCTTCACAGTACCTCCAGAGGAACCCTTTGAGGAGCCTCCAGGGGTGCCGGATCCGCCTGTCTTGCCTCCCGCGCTACCTGTGCCACCACCTTTGTTGCCCCCACTGCTGCTGCCGCCCCCTGGCTTGCCGGCACCACTGCCACTGCCCCCACTTCCACCTCCTCCTCCTGGCTTGCCGGCACCACTGCCACCACCACCACCACTGCCGCCCCCTGGCTTGCCCGCACCGCTACCACCACTGCCACCCCCTGGCTTGGCCGCACCACTACCACTGCCACCACTGCCACTGCCACCCCCTGGCTTGCCGGCACCGCTACCACTCCCACTGCCACTTCCACTTCCCCCCCCTGGTTTGTCGGCACCACTGCCACTACCACTGCCACTACCACTGCCGCCCCCTGGTTTGCCAGCACCACTGCCACTACCACTGCCACTACCACTGCCGCCCCCTGGTTTGCCAGGACCACTGCCACTACCACTGCCACCCCCTGGTTTGCCGGCACCACTGCCACCACTGCCAGGGCCAAAAGTGCCGCCACTGGCGCCGTCTGGGTTGCTGAAGTTAACGCAGGATGCTTCATCAGAACCATCTGGTTCATAGCCGGGGGAAGACAGAGAGAGCAAGTGGGGAGAGAGCAAGTGGGGAGAGAGCACGGAAAGAACGGGAGTCAGCGCAAGGTAGGGGCGGCAGCCGTTCCCCGGAGAGTACCAAAGAGCAAAAGCACCGGAGAGCAAAAAGCTCATAACAAAGAACACAAAGGATAAGTTAAACAAAAAACACAAGAGGAAAATGATCATCGGAAGAAACACTGGAGTAGGCTAAGTGTGTGTGTCTCGCTCCTCCTCACCTTTGCAGTCAACAGCCTTGTTGCACCAGTTGAGCTTCGACACGCACTGCAGCTGGTCCTTACACTTGCGGAACCCCTTAGTGCAGTTCCACTTGTCACACCCCACCTCGTCGCTCCCATCCTTACACTCCTTCACCCCATTGCATCGCAATGCATCATCCACACACTGCAGGTTATCACTGCACTTAGAGAACCCCTTCGGGCAGGTATACCCCCGACAGAAGGCCGGATCTTCATCTACCGCCACACTCCCAGCAGTTTTTCCCGGGCAGTCGGGAACAGCGTTGCACAGCGTGCCTCCCGGCTTGCACATGCTCAGCCCCGGGCAGCGGAGGCTGTTTCTCGGGCAGGTGAAATTCGCGCAGAACTCGGGTTTTTCGTCGAGCGCGTCCGGGCAGTCGGTTTTTTCCGTTGCAGTACTGCCCGGGGAGGATGCAGACGCTGGGGGAGTCCGGGCAGAGCACGTGAGTGGCGTTGAGGGCGCCACAGTCCATGTCGAAGCTGCATATCCAGGGCCACTCGTCGCTGCCGTCGGCGCAGTTCTTCACCCCGTCGCAGTAGTCACCTTTGCTGAAGCACCCCGCCTTGCTGGGGCACTGCGATGCAAGGGGAGGGAGAAGTGGGAGAGCAAGGGGAGCATGGGCGGTTGGCCACTCGTCGCTGCCGCCTGCACAGTTCTTCACCCCGTCGCAGTAGTCGCCGCAGCTAAAGCATCCCACCTTGCTGGGACATTGTGATGCAAGGGGAGGGAGAAGTGGGAGAGCAAGGGGAGCATGGGCGCTTGGCCACTCGTCGCTGCCGCCTGCACAGTTCTTCACCCCGTCGCAGTAGTCGCCGCAGCTAAAGCATCCCACCTTGCTGGGACACTGTGATGCAAGGGGAGGGAGAAGTGGGAGAGCAAGGGGAGCATGGGCGGTTGGCCACTCGTCGCTGCCGCCTGCACAGTTCTTCACCCCGTCGCAGTAGTCGCCGCAGCTAAAGCATCCCACCTTGCTGGGGCACTGCGATGCAAGGGGAGGGAGAAGTGGGAGAGCAAGGGGAGCATGGGCGGTTGGCCACTCGTCGCTGCCGCCTGCACAGTTCTTCACCCCGTCGCAGTAGTCGCCCCGGCTGAAACACCCCGCCTCGCTGGGACACTCTGTGGGGAGGGGAGAGAGGCGAAGGGAGGAGAGAAGAGGGGAGAAGCAGAGAGAGGCGAAGGGGGGAGAGGAGAGCGGGGTGCGGGGAGGAGAGGAGAGGGGAGGGCACGGGGAGGAGAGGGGAGAGTGGGGAAAGTTGATGAGAGAGTGGGTAAAGTTGATGGGAGGGTGGGGAAAGTTGATGGGAGAGGAGAGGGAAGTGGCAGAGGAAAGAAGTCAGGAGAGGGGAGGAGAGAGCATGACGGGGAGAAAGGAAGGTGAAGAAAGAGGAGGTGGGGAAGGGTTTCAGGAGCAGGCCAGGCGCAGGTGAGTTGAGGCGGGAACTGGACAAGGGAGCATCGGAAGCAAGAACGGGCAGGGAGGGCAGGCGAGTGGAGAGGGCAGGCGAGTGGAGAGGGCAGGCGAGTGGAGAGGGTATCAGCAAAAGGCAAGAGGCGAAGGCCGGGAGGCAAGGGCTTGGGGTGGGCGGCGGAAGTGGGGCGGGCGGAAAGGGCAAAAGACGGGCGGAAGGGGCAGCTCACCTGGTTTGCGCCGGGACAGGGGTCAACGCTGCTGCCAGGAACCCCCTGCATGTCGGGGAGAGGCGGGCGGAGGGAGGAGCGGAGGGAGGGCGGTAAAGGGGGAATTTTGATGCGCAGCAGCAGGCAATAGGGAAGCGGGACTCTGAAGGCGCCTCAAAAAGCAGGGTTCCGCGCTGCAGCCAGGCGTCTCCTGCTCGGCGGGGAGAGGCAGCGGACGGGGCATACGGAAAGGGGGCGGGGAAGGGGAACCGCGGGAGAGGATGGCGGGTGGGAATGGGGAAGTGGGATGGGGAAAGCGGGGGAAGCGGGGGAACGGGGGAACGGGGGAACGGGGAGCAGGGGGAAGGGGGGAGAGTGAAGGAGAGAGGGTGAGCGCCGAGTTGGTGAGCTGATTGGCCTGGACAGGCCCGCTCGGCTCAAGGCGTTGTATAGTCTAGTAGTAGTCTAGTAGCAGTATCGCCGTGCTTGCATCAGATATCTCTAGGCATGGTAGCATGGTTCGCTGCGAGCGACCACCATGATATGTGCGATAGTTTCGCGAGATGGTTACGTGCGATGGTTACGCGAGATGGTTACTCGCAATGGTTACGCGCGATGGTTACGCGAGATGGGTACTCGCAATTGTTACGCACGATGGTTACTCGCGATACGCGCGAAAGTTACACCTCAGGGAATGGTTACGCGCGATGGTTGCACCTGGGAGAAGATTTCATTACCTGCGAGCTGCTCGCCGCGACGAGGAGTGCCAGCAGCAGCAGGCAAAGGCACACGTGGTGGGTCGCGAGGGCCATGGGTGAAAACGGCGATGCTTCACGCCGCCGAGTGCGGCGCGTTGTGCGCTGCTGGTCTTAGCCCTTGGAATGAAGCTGAAGAAATCAAGTACAGTACGATAAACGGCGGATGTTGCGGGATAAGTTCTCGAGTGTCGCAGTTTGGACGCGATACGACGGATGACGCGGGCTCTCGAACGCTGTGGTTGGGAATGAAGCCAGCGGCACCAGCTACAGTACACCAGCCAGGTCGTGCTAGGGTGTTGCTACTGCGGTACAAAATTCAAGGGCGGGGGGGACGAATTCTGTGTGCTTCGCCTGCGCGGCAAGTTTTGAATCCAGATCTGGCCTGAAGGTTGTGTGTGAATGAACTACGGCGGCGGCAGGTGACTTAGCAGGGTGAGAGGCGGAGTGTGTGGTGTGGATCAGGGGAAGAACTGTGAGATGAGGGAGGTACGGACGGTGAAGAAATTCTCAGGTAGAAATGAAAATGAGAAGGAGGTTGCAAGGCCTGACGGCCACCCGAGTCGCAGGGTGTTGTGCGCAATGTAAGGCAATTGCGGAATGTGCGCAGGTTGTATCGTGCTTTGTGCAGGTGATGGTGTGGTTGTGTAGCATGTAGTACATTGTGAATATAGAAATGTAGACAATGGAACTGGAGAACATGTAGTAATGGTTGACAAATCAAAACTAACAATCTTGAGCAAAATGCCATACTTGCTCTTAGGAGACGTTCACATTCTAAACCGTTCACCGACTTCAATCCCATTCTAGCCCTTTAGTGTAGACTTAGGTTTTGGGGGGGCTTTGGAAGATTTGGGTGGGGGTTTAGAAGATTTGGGTGGGGTTTTGGGAGTCTTCTTGGGTGGGGCCTTGGGAGGAGTCTTCTTGGGAGGAGCCTTGGGCGGGGCCTTGGGGGGAGCCTTTGGGGGCGCCGTGGGTGGGCCCTTGGGGGGTGTAGGCTTGGGGGGCGCGGGTGGAATGTCACATCTGTCCTCGTCGCTCCCATCTGCATTTGTGACACACAGAAACACCAGCCGGCGCACAAACAGAAAAGACGACGTGAGTCTTGTGCAATGACGTGTCAGCGTAGCACCACCTGAATCATTCGAGAGGCGAAGGCCACAAGCCATGTCTCGCAAGAGCATGGTAATCACCTTTGCAGTCAGGCACTTTGTTACACCAGTTGATCTTCAAAGCGCATTGTAGCTGGTTCCGGCACTTGCGGTACCCCTTGGTGCAGTTCCAATTCTCACACCCCATTTCATCGCTACCATCTGTGGGCATGTGGGAGAGAAGCAGAGGAGAGGAGGTTAAACGGCGGGTCATAGACTGACAGGGGCCGGATGCAAGCAAGAATGACGGAATTGGATAACCAGAATGTTGGAAAATCGGATAGGCAGTGGAATGCGTGAGAACTGAACAGCCAGGATTCGAGAATACATGGAGGCTCACCTTTGCAGTCGGCAACGCCGTTACACGTCAGCACGTGATTCACACCCTCCTGGTTGTTTTGCGGCGACTCTAGAAAACACGTAATCCAGAGAGACGCACCTTTGCAGTCGGCAACGCCGTTGCACCGCAGCACGTCATCCACACACTGCACTTTGTCGCTGCACTTGGAGAATCCCTTGGGGCACACGTATGGCTTGCAGAACGCCGGGTCCTCGTCCACTGGTTTGCCACCAGCTGTTTTCGCAGGGCAGTCGGGCACCGCGTTGCAGAGGGTTCCGTTTGGCTTGCACATGTTGAGCCCCGGGCAACGGATGTTGTTTCTCGGGCAGGTGAAATTCGCGCAGAACTTGGGGTTCTCGTCCAGTGAGTCCGGGCAGTCAGTTTTTCCATCGCAGAATTGTCCAGGCAAAAGGCAAACGCTGGGGGCATCTGGACAGAGCACCTGAGGAACCAACACAAACACAAGACACGAATTAGACGCTGATTGTACAAATTTCGCGACCCTCACTCCACCCAGCACTCACATGCGTGTCTCTTTTCCCCTTAACACCCTATTCCCTCCTCCCTTGTCGCAATTCGGTAGTTTATGACCTCACAACGCAAGAATTTATTCCGATACCCTTCCTTTACCCAGCACTCACGTGAGTAGCGTTGAGGGCGCCGCAGTCCATGTCGAAATTACAGAGCCAGGGCCACTCGTCGCTGCCGTCGGCGCAGTTCTTCACCCCGTCGCAGAAGTCACCCTTGGCGAAGCATCCCTTCTGGCTGGGACACTGCGAGCAAGAGAGGCGAAGGGGAGGAGAGGGGAAAGGCGAGAGAGAGAAATGGGAGAGCAAGGGGAGCATGGGTTGTTGGTCAGGCTTTGAGCAGTTCTTCACGCCGTCGCAGAAGTCGCCCTTGGCGAAGCATCCCTTCTTGCTGGGGCACTGCGCGAAAGCGTGCGAGCGTGCAAGGAGAACGTGCATTTGTCATTTAAGCGTTGCGGGGTTGATGGTGATGGTGATGGTGATGGTGATGGTGATGGTGATGGTGATGGTGATGGTGATGGTGATGGTGATGGTGATGGTGATGGTGATGGTGATGGTGATGGTGATGGTGATGGTGATGGTGATGGTGATGGCGATGGTGACAGCGATGCTGATGACGGGTTCTTGCTCACCTCGTTGGAACCGGGGCAAGGGTCGCCGGCGGTCTACAGAAAGAAACGTGCAAGCGAACGGGAGAAACGGGAGAAAACAGGGGGAGACGGGAAGAGAGACGAGGGGATTAGCTGGCTCGGCATTATCGAGGGAGAGGAAAGAGCCGTCTTTCCATCTCTCGAAATATTAGGGCATGGCTGAAGCCCGACAATCTCAACTACCACTTGAGTTGTCGCAGCGGACATAGTTACAATGTTGCACGGTGCAAGCCTCGACCAGGTGATTTACCCTGTTGGTTAGCAAACTGGAGCTGTTTTCTGTTTCGCAAGTTTGATCCTTATCACACTATGCCAGCCCAGGAGGCGCTACGATGGCATTACGCTCGCTAATTCTTTCGCGATTTTACGCCTCGGGAACCGTGTGCAACAGAGCGTCTGTCGCAGTACCTGCGACCTTGATGTTGCGAAGAGTGTTGCGAGAAGTAGCGCCCCTGCGACAAGTTTTAGCGACATGGGCGTTGGGAGCCCAGACGCGCGCGCCATGGCTCTGCGACGAGGAGAAATTTCTTATACTCCGCCACTTGTGCGACACCACATGCAGAAACGATGCAACGTTGGAAGGAGTCGAACGGACGACCCGCCGCGCCTCCTGCCAGAGAGTCGAGCACTTCGAATGTGGACGCGTCAGAGAATAAATATTTGTTGCCCGATGTATAAATATTGTTGGGGTTCAAACGAAGCCTAGACGACATGTATATATTTGATGGGTCCGTCATGTCTGTGCGGCACGAAATCGACGGCTGTCAGAGTGTGATCACCAGGATCGAGGAGTCTGGCTATTCCTCAAGGCAGGAGCCGCGATGACGGAAATCCCTTGGAGTTGCGAGTGTGTCGATGAGGGGGCGAAGTAATTTCCCGGGGAAGGCGTTCTGTTGGGGCAGGTGGGAAGAGAGTGACTTGCGCAGTCGGCGGGCTGAATTTCAGGTGCGACTCGTCTCTCCAGGTGGGTCTCAGGTGAGACCGAATTCAGCAAAACCAGTAGTGCGACGCTGGCGACGGTGGTTACTAGGAGTAAACGAAGCCTCAGCTGTTCGAGACGTTCCGCAAGCGTCGCCGCAAATGTTGATCAGATATACAAATGGGTGACTCACTGTACAAGATCGCCATATAAGACTATAATTTCTAATCCTCAAATCGCCTAGTCCAGGCAAGAGGCAGGTCCTATATGCGCTTACGAGAGTGGATGCGTCTCATGGGTATAACAGTAAATTGTGCAGGGGGATCCAACCTCTTTCATGCATTGCATACATCGTCACTACCTCCACTAAACAAGACATGTATGGTACTTTGCTTGGCTTATAACAGAACCAAATTCAGCCATTATACAGTTGATGCATGCGCATTCCCTCACATCGTATACAGTTACAAACTCAATCAAAACAGCACCCCCACCCCAAGCTGCTCAACCAACTAGCCACGAGTAAGAATCAACCAATACAAAACAACAAAATAGCATGCTACAGTGTTCCAAAACAGCACACCACTGTTGCACGTTCCAAGCCTGCTCCATAAATCAACCAAGCCATGGGTCACCACCACCATCCCCGCCATCACCTCCATCTGTGCCGTCTCCTGAACCATCACCTGAAGAATCACCACCCGCACTGTCACCATATCCGCCATCTAGAAGCTCATCCGTCGTGTCCTTCCCATTGAGAATATTTGACTCCTTCACGATCCGCATGTAAGTCTTCCTCCTCAATGACACGTCGCCCTCCCCCCCCTCAAGAAGAGTCATCGACGCCAAGTATGCCTGGTACGCCTCGTCCCGATCCGACTTGGTCTGGTCGAGCCACTTCTTGGTTCGGACAACATTCTTCTGCCGAAGCTGCACCCGCTCCATCTCCCCCGTAGCCAGGTACTTTCGAATCTCCTGGTTCAGCCGCGAAATATCATTCGTCAGATTATCATACCGCTCGCTCATCTTATCAAGCAGCGCTTCTGCATCCAAAGTATCATTATACAGCCTTTCCAGCGTAAACACCGACTTGTCCCAAAGGCTCTTCGCCGCCCGCGCACGGTTCAGCACCTCAGCCGCTTTAGCCGACATCTTAACCTTGTTCGCCTGTCGCTGGTTCTGCGCGAAACTCATCGCATCCTGCTTCTTCTGCTTCTGCAGCGCCGCACGCTCCGCTGCCGAAGTCAGCCTCTCAGCCGCAGCACCCGACGCCTTCACACTCCCCGAGTTCTGCGCCTTGCTGATCGCCTTCTTCAGCTTCTCCCGGAGCCTATCCGCCGTGTCTTTCGCGCTCTCATACTCCTTCGCCTTGCTCTCCGCGTCCGCTTTGGCAGCGGCAGCAGCAGCCTGTTTCGTTGCAACGTCCGCCCGGGCCTTCTTAGCAGCGTCTTTCTTTGCCTTAGCACCAGCACCCACGGCGCTGTTAGCCACTCTCTGAAGCCTGTCGGCTTCGGTCCCAGCAGTGTTGGCGTCTGCCTGAACCTGCCTGGCCTTGGCGTCTGCAGCATCAGCAGCTGCTTTAGCCTTGTCCTGAGCAATAAGTGCGGCCTGGTACTGGGCCGTGAGTTGCTGCACAGTTGAGCCTCCACCAGAAGAGCCTGTGTTGCCGGTGTTTCCAGAGTTTCCGGTGGTGCTGCTGCTGCCAGTGCTGCCCTTAGTGCCTGTGCTGCTGCTGCTCCCTGTGCTGCCGGTGCTGCCAGTGCTTGCCTTGGTGCCGGTGCTGCCTGTGCTTCCAGTACTGGCCTTTGTACCCGTGCTGCTGCTGCTTCCAGTGCTGCCAGTGCTGCCAGTGCTGGCCTTGGTGCCAGTGCTGCTGCTGCTTCCGGTGCTTCCAGTGCTGCCCGTGCTAGCCTTAGTACCCGTGCTGCTGCTGCTCCCCGTGCTGCCAGTGCTGCCAGTGCTAGCCTTGGTGCCGGTGCTGCTGCTGCTACCCGTGCTGCCAGTGGTGCCAGTGCTGCCAGTGCTAGCTTTGGTGCCGGTGCTGCTGCTGCTGCCTGTGCTGCCGGTGGTACCAGTGTTACTGGAGCTGCCCGTGCTGCCAGTTGTGCCGGTGCTGCCCGTGCTGCCCGTGCTGACCGGGTCCGGAAACCCACAGTCGACCTCATCGCTCCCGTCTGGTGAGACGGAAAGGGGACGTGGGGATTGGGGTTAGCGAGAGAAGGCTGACGAGCGGGAACGAGAGAGAGAGAGAGAGAGAGAGAGAGAGAGAGAGAGAGAGAGAGAGAGAGAGAGAGAGAGAGAGAGGGAGAGGGAGAGCACACGGCGCAACAGTTGAACGACAAGGACATGAGGAGGCTGGGGCGAGGGCGGGATTTGGGTAAGATTGAAGGGGGAGTGGGGCAGGAGGAGGGCAGGAGGAGGGCAGGAGGAGGGCAGGAGGAGGGCAGGAGGAGGGCAGGAGGAGGGCAGGAGGAGGGCAGGAGGAGGGCAGGAGGAGGGCAGGAGGAGGGCAAGAAGTCGGGGGGGAAATCAACGCACCGAGGCAGTCCTTCTTGCCGTCGCAGATGGCGTCAATCAGCACGCACTGCAGCCCATTTTCGCACTTCTGGAAATCCTCCAGGCACTCGTACGCGGCGCAGTACTTGGGGTCCTCGTCGGGCGCTATCAGCACGCCGCTCGCGTTCTTCACCTTGGGGCAGTTGGCCACGCCGTCGCACATGTACCCCTTGATGCACGCGGAGGTGGCGGTGCATTTGACCTGGTCGTAATCGCAGTCGGAGCTGCGGTAGTCGAGACAGAAGCCGGGGGTCTCGTCTATCGCGCCTGGGCACTGCATGATGCCGTCGCAGACTTGGGAGGGCTTCACGCAATACTCGGTGCCCACGCACTCCACCTGTGTGCGAGGACGAGGGAGAGAGGGGAGAAAGGTCCGGGGGGGAAGAGGCGGGGAAAACGGGACGGGGAGAACGCGGCGGGGGAACGGGACGGGGAGGGAGTGGGGGGTGGAGAATGTAAGGGGAGGGAAGCGGAGGTGGGAGAAGGGATTCACACAGTATCGAAGGCGATGAATGCCAGGGGAGAGGTGGGCGAGAGTGGGCAGGTATGGTGGGTGCGGCGGGTGTGGCGGGTTCGGCGCGACGTAAGGCGGTGCGGTTGGTGCGGAAGGTTAGGCGGGACGTACGGTGGTGTGGGGGTCGGAGCAGTCGAGCGGGTGAAAGGAAGATGCGACACGGCGTGCTGTGAGCTATGGCGACACGGCGTGCTGTGAGCTATGGCGCGATTGGGGGGAGTGCGGCGGGTGTGGCGGGTTGACGAACGGTGGTGTCGGGGTGGGAGCAGTCGAGCGGGTTGCAATGCCACGCGGCCTCGTCGCTCTTATCCTTGCAGTTGGCCGTCACTAGATGGAGCACCAAGTAGGCGCCGTGCTGTCCACACGTGCCTACACCTTCGTGCAGAAACACCTGTGGAACTATATGCGCAGGTGCGGCGCAGTTGAGAGCGGTGCAGGGGGACGTACGGTGGTATCCGGGTCGGAGCAGTCGAGCGGGTTGCAGTACCACGAGGCCTCGTCGCTCTTGTCCTTGCAGTTGGCCGTCCTGTCGCACAGCTTGTCGGGATCCACGCACTGCCCGAGGCCGGGACACTCCGTCTGGTGTGACAATAACGGGAATGACAAAAACGCGAAAAGATGTGACGGAAAGGGGAGGTCAGCGTGTGACTATGGATGGAGCTAGTGCGGATAGGGGGAGATGAGGGACGTGGGGCGCGAGGGAAACATGGGGCTGTATGGGAAGCGAAGAAATACGGATAGGGGGAGATGAGGGACGTAGGGCTGTTGGGGAGAAGAAGCAGATCAGGGAGTCAAGGGAGTCAAGGGAGTCAAGGGAGTCAAGGGAGTCAAGGGAGCGAGAGACGAAGTCGGGGGGATTGGAGGGCGGAAGAGCGGTGAACGACGCGAAACGGAGAAGCAGTGGCAGAAGACCGGAACTGAGCGTGAAGGGAGAGAGGAGTGGTGAGGAAGGGGAACGAGAGGAGGCGTAGGAGGGGGAAATAAAGGGGGCGAAAGGGGAAGGGGAAGGGGAGGGGAGGGGAGTTGGGGAACGGGGGGAAGCAGAGTGCGAGCGGGGCGGAGGACGTACCAGATCGCCGCAGTCCATTTCGGCCGCCACCTGCGGACAGAGAGGCGCGCGGAAAAGGGGGGCACGGAAAGAGGGGGGAGGGGGGGGGGGGGAAACACGGGAAAGAGCACGGGAAAGGGAGGGCACAGAGGCGGGGAGAGGGGGAGTGGGGGGTGGTGTGGACGGGTGGGGAGAGTGGGGGAACACGGGAAAGAGCAGGGGAAAGGGAGAAGAGAGCAGAGACAGGAGACGGGATGTTAGAGATGGCAGGTGATGATTTAGAATTTGTAGACTGAGTATGGATGGGAGGGTGAAGAGCGGGTGGAGAGAAGTATGAATGGGGGGATGGGCGAGGGTGGGGACGAGGGGAGTGGATTATCGCCGAGTCGGCCTAAGCGTAACAGACGGTGGTCCGAAGATACGACGATATGAGCGTCGATAAAACAAAACAAAAAAACAAAAACAACACACACACACACACACACACACACACACACACACACACACACACACACACACACACACACACACACACACACACACACACACACACACACACACACACACACACACACACACACACACACATCATTGACAGCTTGAAGGCTAAAGGAAGCGGCGCGTGGAGACCTTACGCGGACAACCGTGTATCGGCTCTGCGTGCGCTAAACTGTAAGACTTCCTGGTGCGGATTCGACAGTGCGTTAGGAATTGCGTGTGTGCAATCCGCTACGGTGCGCGGTGTTCGGCTTATCGAACAGAATGCGGGCGGGGCAGTCCGTACCATGGTGGTTGTGTGTGAGAGGAGAGAGAGAAGCACCGCCGCGACGCAAAAGACGTGCACGGCGTGCCGTTCATGCCAGCTAGGCTTCCCCATCGGACGGCTCTCGTCGAGCAAAACAGACCGCGCTCGAGGTGCTCAGTGTATGGGTTGGGTTCCTACTGGAGATGCGGGTCTGCCTATCAATTAATTGGATATACACAACCTGAAAATAACGAGTGCAGGCTGATTCCTACTTCGTTCGCTAATTGCGCGCTTCTGTGTGCGCGACCTAACCTTGCATCACCCACTGAATTCTATAGAGAGCAAGGGGGAGAGAAGGATGAACTACTGTACACCAAGGAGCGAATAGAGTTGGAGGCAGCTGCAACCTAGTGCTGCTGGTGAGAGATAGGCGGAAGGGAAGGGATGGATGGAACAGAACGGGGAACGGAACAGAAGGCGCTAGGCAGTGAGCTGAAGCGAGGGGGGGTAGGCGGGACGGAGGGGAAATGGAAGGGCTTTGCGGGGAAATGGATGGAACATTCCTTCGGGCGTGTTCCTTCCGCAAGACTTGCATTCGCCCCAACGAGGGGAGCCGTACATTATGGTGATTTGGTTGGCATGGTCTGAAATCGAAACGTATCCCCCCACCTGTCAGCCCTTCTGATAGTATTGTGCTGCACTCGCGACGCGACAGGATGGCTGGCATATCACCTGAAACCCTGCCCCATTTCGCGAAAACGACACCGAGTTCTGGAGAGCCTTTGACAGAACAATGCCATCTGCATGTCTTGATTTGAGCTGCACAATGACAGTTCTCCAGGTGCGACGCGTAACCACTTGCCCAGTCTCGGTTCCAGGTTAGGGTTAACGAAGCGCATGCTACCAACCAGATGACAGTTACACAACCAATGGTGGAGTGACGGCTTCTATCGCGAATAATGCAGTTCGTGGTGCTCGGCAGAATTAATGACATGTGAAACCCTATGCCTCGAGATTAACAACGGTAAAACAGAACAATGGCTTTTTGGACTGATGGAACCAGATAACACAAGACCCATAAATAACACATTAAACATTTACTACATAACAATATATCAAATTTCTTTACTTCCCAGAACGAGTTGCTATTAGCAGCCCCCCCCTCGTGTTACCCTTCTTGTCACCACCACTCCACTGTCCCTATACAACAGCATAAGGAAACCCAACAGCCGCATTGTCCCCGCCCACCCCACTGTCAGCTGATGGAACACCACTTATCAATAATCCAGCAATGGTCGCACCACCACCGCTATCACCACCACCACTATCACCACCACCACTATTACCACCAGTGCCACCACCCTTCTTGGTTCCTCATTTCCTCCCCTTACCACCCTTTTCCCCCTCAGTCTCGTCTTGAACAACTATCTTCCCATCCTCTGTATAATCAAAGCCTGAATCCTCCCCCCCCCCTCCACGATGCCGCTTCGAACCACCACCAGCACACAGTATGAGACCACCACCACCAGCACAAGTACAACCCCCACCACCATCAACAGGAGCACCAGAGGAAAGGGTTCTCCTGGTGGGCTTGAGCAGGGGGGCAGAGAGGGCCCGGCGCGTGCCTGCGAGATCGAGCAGGTCCAATGGCGTGTCGCCACCTGTCTCCGTGATCCGCTCGTGCAGCTGTGGCCAGCCACAGAGAGGGGAGAGGGTGGGGGAAGTGAGAGGAGAGAGGAGGGAGGAGAGGGGAGAGGCGAGAGGGGAGAGGTGGATGCGGTGATAAGGGGAGGGTCGACAGGTGAGGATGGATGGAGGGCAGATGTAAGGCGGGATGGAGGAGATAGTGTGGGGACGAAGGAAAGCGGAAGGGAAGTGTGAGCGATGAGAGAGAGAGAGAGCAATGAGGAGAGAGACAGGATGGGGGCAGAAAAGTGGTAGGCGAAAGGAAGGAAGCAAAGACAGCAGGATTGCACCAGGAGAAATGGCCTGACAGCCATAAGATGCAAAAGGGAAGAGCCCACACCCAGAACACCCCATCCCACAACCCATCTGACACCCCATGCCCCATCCCATGCCACACCCCATGCCACACCCCATGCCATACCCCATGCCACACCCCATGCCACGCCAGCACACCTGGAAGAGAGCGCGTTTGACCATGCAGACTTCTTCGACCCGTCCTGGCGAGATGCTGACTTGGCGGCGCGTGATTTTCTGCTGAACACGCTGCGCTCGTCCTCGTCAGCGTCACTGTAATCCTCGTCATCGCTGAAATCGCCGTCCGCTGACGTGTCGAAAAACACGTTCGAGTGGCTCCAGTCACTCGTTCTGAAACGGTGTGAGTGGAAGAGGGAAAATGGGGAGAAGTGGGTGGGGGGGGGGGGCGAGGGAGCGGGCACAAACGAAGGGAGAGATGAGTGAAGTCAGATGCATGGGGAGGACAGACAATCATGCAATAGCCGCCGCGCCACTCGCTGATGCCAGGGTTTGGGTTGCCTGGGACAGTGTACACGTAATAACCGCCGCGCCACTCGCATTCCCTCCCTGTCACGATCCCACCTCGCATTCTCGCCGCGCTGATTCTCCTCCGGCACCACTGCTGCCACCGTCGCATGGCCTCACCGTCTCACCAGCCGCTGCAATCTTGCACACCTGAGGGGAGGAAAGGGGGAGGGGGGGGGGGGATGGGTGGGGGTGGCGGGATGTGAAAGGGTGGGGGTGACGGCAACCAGGCAGCAGGCGGCAGGCAGGGAGCAGGCAGCAGGGTGAGGGCAGCAGGCAGCAGCGCTTGAGCATTCAATTCCATATCATACCTTGGCCTTGAACCGGGTTGCGACGATCCCATTGGTGGAGAGCAGTGCAGTCATGATGGCCGGCAGATGAGCCTCCAGGTCAGCAGCGTCCAGGCGCACAGATAGCACCTTCACCAGGCCCAGACAAGCCTTGAGCACGTCGCGGTGCGGCGAGCAGAAGAGGAAGAGCAGCGAGGGTGCTGCTGCTGGCCAGTCCTGCCATCACCTGCAACTGCTTGGCACTATCGAACCCGCAAAAGCACAGACTCCTATGCACGAAAATCCCATGAACGGACGCAGGAAATCCGCGATAGCCTCTGATCCCCTCCGCCCGCCAGAGCGCTGCTATAACGGATCACATGCTTGCAAACTGCCTGCGCGTGCCTATATCGGTGGCCAGGCGCGTGTGCGCGACGTATCCTGCCGTATTATTATACACAGCACTCGCTGCACCTGCCGTATTATTTTACACAGCTATCGGTGAGAAAACGGTCCCTACGGTGGAGCCGGATTAGGAGTATGGAACAAATTGAAAGGATTTGTGCTAGGCTACTCAGGAACTGATCAACAAAATGGTAAACGTGTGTCTAGGTATGTCCTCCTCTAAGGCTCTAGCGGTTCTGACGCTGCCTTCACGCTGAAATTCACGTGATGCGTGTGTGAAGGGTGAACTTCCGGTTTGTACATGTGTTACGGGACATTTCGCTAGAACTGAGATTTCGTTAGTTTAGTGCGACAGGCATTCGCGAAGGCTGAACGAAACCTGCGTAACTAGAATCTAGTTACCAAAACCTTCCAACACCAGATTACCATGCGGAAAACAGAGCGAACCGTACTGACAGACTGGTCGGCGGGGAATCAAAACCACCTGCACGGACTTGATTGGCTGGCATTCGTTGCACTGACCAGCCTCAACATTCATGTAGAAGCTCGACAAGGGAAGGATTACACGGTGGCTTGGAACGTTTCCACGCGGTGGAAAGCGATTAGCATTCTTCACCGTTTGGCACCGCGACGAAACTATCATAAACCGATCAAAGCGAACCAGTCGAGTGTCTCCCCAGCATATGTGAAGCTCCAGATTCTGGAAAAATTAGCAGGTTTGTGTGTGCAGGGAACCGAAGCATCGTGCAGCGAGCAAGCTTTCCAATTCACATGCTAACTCAAGCCGAGTGTTACGATTTCACCCTGGCGCCATGGTTGTACGATTCCTTCTGTTGAAGTACAACTGCTGCATTGAGTGAAAACTCTATTGTTCAAGTGTTAAAATGAGCTTGCTTGTAATAATATAGAAACTGGCATGACAGATACATAGATAGCATGCAGAACAAATCAACTACCAAAACATGTAGAACTTGTGAACTTCTGCTTGACTTGTCTTCATTTAGTCTTCTTGACCCCTCTTGGCCGCTAGGGGCAAGCCCCTAGCGTTTCACCTGGACACCACGATGAGGTGGAAGTCATTCGTCCAGGACACCTGTTGGAAAAGAGGGCAGAAAGTTAGTAAAGCTGCCATCCGGCAGGAGACACCTCAAACTTCAAGTTGTCCGATGCCATGAAGAAGCCACCTTCTGCAGATTGTTGCTTCAGGAGCAGCCGAAGAAGGTCGGTGCAGGTGGAGGGTCCATACGTTCGGTCTGTCAGCCGTTCGTTCCGTCGCCGCGGGATCTACCGTTCTATCGGCCAGTCAGTTCGCACGTCGCCAGGTCGCGGGGTCTAAACGTTCGTCTGTCAGTTCGCACGTCGCCAGGTCGCGGGATCTAAACGTTCGTCTGTCAGTTCGCACGTCGCCAGGTCGCGGGATCTAAACGTTCGTCTGTCAGTTCGCACGTCGCCAGGTCGCGGGATCTAGCGTTCGGTCTGTCAGTCAGTCCGTTCGTTCGTCGCCGGATCTAACTCGCCTAACGTTCCGTCTGTCGTTTCCGCAGCTGCTGTTCTTCAGCGTGACCTGGGGGTGGAAAAAAGAGAGAAGAGAAGGTGATACGATCGCAGCAGCAACAAAACAAAACAAAGCAAAACAAAACAAAACAAATTAAACGAAACGAACAGAAACAATAGCAGAAACAAAAAACAGAAGCAAAAGTACGAAGAGATCTTACAACCCTTGTCGAAGAAGGCTCCTTGTCCGTTCCGTTCATCCTCCCGTGATCTACGGGGGGAGGAGAAGAAAAAGAGGAGAAGGGGTGATAGAAGCCGCCGCGCTCCTTGCTGAACCTGCATCATAGAGGAAGCAACCAAACGGGAAGTTAGATTAAAAGAAATAAACAACAGATACATAACAACAACAAAAACATAAACAAGAGCAGAATTAAAAACAGAAACAAAATGAGGAAGAAAACTCACACCTTTTTGTTGGAGTAGAGATCTTCTTGTCCATTGTGCTCCTCCTCCCGTGATCTGAGGGGGGAGGAGAAGCAAGAGAGGAGAAAGGGAGGGTGATAACTTCCTCCGCGGCTCCATGCTAAACCTGCAGCGCAGAAGGAGAAACCAAAAGGAAGTTAGTTATAAACAAAAAAAAAAGTGAACAGCAACAAAGGCTAAACAACAAGAACTAAAAGCAAATGACTCACCGTTATTACCTTATTGGCGGAGAACGTCTGACGGTGGTGCTCCTCTTCCCGTGATCTGAGGGGGGAGGAGAAGAAATAGAGAAAGGGAGGGTGATAGCTTCCTCCGCGGCTCCATGCTAAACCTGCAGCGCAGAAGAAGAAACCAAAGGGAAGTTAGTTATTATATATACAAAAAAAGAACAACAATGACAGGAAAAAAACAAAACAAAAAACAAAAACCGAAAGCCAAACGAGGAAGAGAGCTCACCGTTATTACCTTGTTGGCGGAAGAAATCTGACGGGGGTGCTCCTCCTCCCGTGATCTGAGGGGGTAGGAGAAGAAATAGAGAGAAAGGGAGGTGATAGCTTCCTCCGTGGCTCCGTGCTAAACCTGTAGCGCAGAGGAAGAAACCAAAGGGTAAGTTAGTAAAAAAAAAAGAACAGCAACAAAAGCAGAAACAACAATACAAACTGAAAGCAAAGGAGGAAGAAAGCTCACCGTTCTTACCCTATTCGCGGAGAAGTTTGGACCGTGGTGCTCCTCCTCCCGTGATCTGAGGGGGGAGGAGAAAGAATAGAGGAGATAGGGAAGTGGTAAAATCCTCCGCGGCTCCTTGTGTACCTGAAACGCACAAGTGGAAAGCGCCTCTTCTGGTCTTCACGAGCGCTCGTTCTTGAATACCTGAAAGGCACAAGGGAAACTCCTCGGCAGGCACTCCTCGAGCTTGATCTTGTGTGCCTGAAACGCACAACTTGAAAACGCCTCTTTGGTCTTCACGCGCGCGCGTTCTTGAGTACCCTGAAAGGCACGATGGAAACACCTCTTGTTGTGCTCCTTCAGCCGTGGAGTGGCGCTGTAGTCCCCAGGTCGTCAAGTCTTCCAAGTTGAGAAGGTCGTCGAAGCAGTCTTCAAGTCTTCGAACTGAAGCTCACAACTCAACTGACTACAGTATGAAGTTGCGAGGGACAACTTGCAGCGAGGCTTGGAATGATGGAATCACTGGGCTCGAATCGCGTGGTTGGAATCGCGTGGCAGGTATGACAAGCTGACTCGGGTGCTTGCTGGGCTGAGGTTTGCGAAGTGTAGAAAACGTGATCGGTTGAGATGAAAACTGACACTGTTCACTGGTGGCAAAAGCGCCAAATTCACTGGTTCATGAAAATCCAGAAGCGCCAAAATTTGGTGAAGAACAGAAGAGTCAGAATAGTGGTGGCAGGGAGGGAAGGGAGCAGTACTGTACGCCCATCCCCCACCGTGGCTGAATGCGCCAAAATGGTGGCAGGTAGAAACAGTGCGGTTATCGTCCATTGTGGCTGTTTCTGTGTAACACTTTTGTGGTCATTCTGGTTCAGTTACGTTCATATGATCAATTTAATCGAGAGTGTGGATTATTCGGATTCTCGACTCACCAGGTTGGAAGTGCTGGGCATGGCACGCTTGGTTGACGTGTTCGCAGTTCATAGTCTAGAACCTTTTGCGTGAGGTGCGGGACAGCATCAATGAAAAATAAGTAAATTCATTGGTTGCGATAAATCTTGCTCGTGTGAAATCAGTTTCTGGGCAGGTGCAAGTAAGGGGTTTGGATGAAGAAAACTGAGAGGCCCAATCAAAGGCCGAGAGGGGAACGGAAGGAAATCGAGGGAAAAAATCCGGGCAGAATGGAATCACAAGGGAACCGTGGCGATGGTGTTTCGGTTGGGTGGTACACCACCACCGGCTCAGATCTAGGTTTTCCAAATTTCCACGCCTGCTCAGATCTGCCATGTTCGATTTCCACTTCTCTCGTTGTATCGCCATTCACCTAGTCGTAACATGCTGGTTCTTAGTTCCGCCACAGGTCATAGTAGCGTTGCGCCTTAGCGAGTAGTAGCGCGGCGAATGGTAGTAAGGACCTGCGACTCTACTGACTTTTTTTTCCGCTAAAATCGCGATTAATATATGTCGATTTCGTACAGTCAAGCTTTCGTGAAGCATCTCTGGTTTATGGAGCTAAGCTTTAGCCAGATGCACGTTACGCACCTTACTCGTTGAGCGATCGCAATATTATTCTTGGAGCTAATTTCGTGCCGAAATCTACCGCGCGCGCATTCTCTAAGACGCGCGTTGTCTCTAGTGATGCACGCTGGTGATGCACACCCGTTGCGTCTCCACGCCTTCCCGTTCTTCCCTTCCCAGCCCCTTCCCCCCGCTCCCTCTCCCTCGTCCTTTTGACGACCTCGCCCTCCGCGCCATCTTGCCTCCCACTCTTATTCCCTTATCCCTCGTTCTGATTTCCCTCCCTCCCTATTGTCACACCTCATTCCTCCTGCGGTCATTCCCATCTCGCTTTCCATCTCTCGCCCTCCATCCCCATCGCTTACCTCACATTCCCCACCGCTCACCCCTCATTCCCCCATCGCTCACCCCTCCTTCCCCGTCGCTCACCCCTCACTTCCCCCCGTCGCGCATCCCTCATTTCCCCCCGTCGTTCATCCCTCATACCCCCTGGCGCTCACCCCTCCCCTCTTCACGCATCCCTCATTTTCCCCCGTCGCTCATCCCTATTTTTCCTTCGTCGCTATCCCTCGTTTCCTCCTTTCGCTCGCCCCTTATTCTCCCATCGCTCCCCCCCTCGTTCCCCCGTCGCGCACCCCTCATTACCCTGTCGCTCACTCTTGATTTTCCCCCCTCCCGCACCCTCATTTCCCCCACGTCCTCCTCCCGCTTCCCCTGTCACCTCTCATTCCCCCCCGCCCATCACTCCTCGCTCCCCTTGATTTCCCTTCAATCCCAACTTGCCATTCCCCGTCATCAACCACCCATCCCAACTTACCAGCTCCCTATGCGTTTCTACTTTACTTTCCACTCCCACTCTCTGACCTCCCACCGTCCTCAGCCACTGTCCTCCCGCTGCTCCCCTCGCCCCTTCCCCACTCTCTTCCTTCTCACTTCCCCCTATTCTGTTAACGTATCCCATCCCATTCCATCCCATCCCATCCCATCCCATCCCATCCCACGTTCCCTCGCCCATCTCACTTCCTTCCATCCGCTCCCCTTCATACACCCGTTCTCTCCCTTCCTTTCAGCGGCCTTGCGCGACTTGTTCCTGTGATGAAAGAGAGTATTCCCAACCCCTTCAACGGCCTTTCGTCCTGTTTCCTCCTTGCTTGCCCAGCATCACAACTGCTCTTGCTGCTCACGACTAGAGGGATTACCCACTCTCTCACCTCCCCCCCCATCCGCTCACACACCTTCCGAGATTCCAGCTTTGCCTCGCCCTCTTTCCTCCTTGCTTGCCCAGCATCACAACTGCTGTTGCTGCTCACGACCAGAGGGATTACCCCCTCTCTCTCACCTCCCCTGACCCACCCCACCCTCCCCACGCCCCCACCCACCCCGTTGCCAATGCGATGCGCGATTCGCGTCAGAATGCGGGTAATTAAGCGAAAGCGATTCGTGCAATGCGCGATGTGTGCAGGATTCTCCTGAACCTTCAACTCCCTGGCGACGGCGTCACCTTGGGCCCCACTTGGTGAATAACGTCTGCAACTCTGGACTGGAGAGAGCCAATGAGTGAATGCTTCACCAGGTTAGGGTAGGGTTCCCGTCCCGACTCGTGAATGCTACCTACCAGGACAGGCGTCAGCTTATATCGTGAATAGCGCAGGATGGTCAAGATGTGGCTTTTCCCGTGGCAACCATCTCGCTATACGATGAGCATCCGGTACTATAGAAATCGATTTTACGTCTTCACTGTTTGAATTGTATGTTCCTTCAACATCTTAGTATGAGGTGAGCACCAGGCCAAGATACACTATACAAACAATATCATTACGCGAAGTAAAGTTACAATATATACGGTACAGGTTTCTGCTATCAGCCCCCCACATCGACCTTTCTGTTCTTTGTATTGCTTTTCTTGTCGCCGCCACCATTCCTAACAACACCACCATCCGTAAATGCCACTTTATCCCCTACGCTCGCCCCATGGTGATAACGGAACACTTTTTTTGTTAAACCTGCACTGGTAGCACCACTCGTGGCTGTAGACCCGCCCTTGCTTGTGCGTTGAATCAGTAGACCCACCATCACCACCAGCATCACTGCCAATATCACTGCCACCATAGCTGCCACCATCACCACCACAATCACCACCACCACCATCACCTCCAGTGCCACCACCCGCACCACCCCCGCCCACTCTCTGCGCCTCACTCGCCGCCCGAGCAGCCGCCTGCTACCTCACCGTAGCCTCCTTGGCAGCTAGCTTCGCTGCCGCATTAGCCGCAACCGACTCCCTCTTCACTCAACTCGTCTTGCACTGCCCCTTCAGTGCCGCCACTCACCAGGGGACGGAGGCACGGCCGACGCGAGTCAAGCGTTATCCAGCAGGAGCCACGGAGCCCCTTGCCTTCAAGCTCCCGGCCTTCAAGCTCCCGGCCTTCAAGCTCCCGGCCTTCAAGCTCCCTGCCTTCGGCGCCTTGCCAGTCCCCTTCAGCTGCGCCCGCAGCTGATTCGCCGTGTCTTTCGCGCTCTCATACGCCTGCTCCTTGCTCTCAGCGTCTGTTTCCGCAGCAGCAGCGGCAGCCTGTTTCGCTGCAGCCACCTCACTAGCCTGCCTAGCAGCCTCTGTCTTCTTCTCGGCCAAAGCCACCGCGGCGTCTGCCTTCCGCTGCAACTTGTCTGCTTGAAGCCCAGCAGCCTTCGCCTCTTTCTCCAGCCGTCCCGCCTTGGCATTCGCGGCATCAGTAGCCTTTTTGGCCTTGCCTTGAGCAGTGACTGCTGCCTGGTACTGGGCCTTTAGTTGCTGCACGCTCGAGCTGCCTCCTGAAGGGCCTGTGCTGCCAAAGTTTCCCGTGCTGCCCGTGGTGCCAGTGCTGCTGTTGCTGCCGGTTGTTCCGGTGTTGCCCGAGCTGCCCGTGTCCGTGGAAGCACAGTCGACCTCATCGGTCCCATCTGTGGGACACGAAGGGAACGAGATGACGTGGATGGGCGAGAGGTGACTGGCGAGAGATTAAGGCCGAGAGGTGAAGCAGGTCAAGAGCAAGTAAGAGCAGGTCAAGGAAAGGTCAAGAGTGGTCACGAGCGGTCAAGAGCAGGTCAAGAGCAGGTCGAGAGCGGTCAAGAGCAGGTCAAGAGCGGTCAAGAGCAGGTGAAGAGGGCAGGTGGTTGGGAGGAGGACAAGAAGATGCAGGCTCGGGGGATGGGGGGGATGGAAGGCGGGAGGGAACGCACCAAGGCAGTCCTTTTTGCCGTCGCAGAAAGCCTCTATGCGCACGCACTGCTTCCCGTCGCCGCACTTCTGAAACCCGTCCAAACACTCATAAGCCACGCAATACTTGGAGTCCTCGTCTGGAGCTATCAGCACTCCACTCGCGTTCTTCACCTTGGGGCAGTTGGGCACGCCGTCGCACATGTACCCCTTGATGCAGGCTGAGGTGGTGGTGCATTTGAGCTGGTCCTCGTTGCAGTCGGAGCTGCGGTAGTCGAGACAGAAGCCAGGGGACTCGTCGATGGCACCTGGGCACTGCTTGATTCCATCGCACACCTGAGAGGGCTTCACGCAATAGTCGGTGCCCACGCACTCCACCTGGGGGGACATGGGGGAGGGGCGGGGGAAGGGAACACGTTGTGAGCTTGCGAAGGAGCGGGGGAAGGGAACACACTTGCAAGGGTTTCATGTGGTAGTCCGTTCCCACGCACCTCACCTGGTGTAGGAGGGGCGGAGAGAGGGGGGATGGGACGGGGAGTGGGTGACGGTGATGGGAGGAGAGAAGGGAAGGGACGGTGAGGGGCGGCAAGTGGACGTTGCAGTTGTCTCACACTTTTGGAGAGTGGGTGACGGTACACCTGAGACAGCTTTATTGCAGTGCTCTGTGCCGACACATTTGCGGGCAGAGCAGCGAGTGCGGGCAGAGCAGCGAGCGCAGGCAGAGCAGCGAGTGCGGGCAGAGCAGTCGCGCGTGTCGGGCGGGGAATGTGAGAGCAGGAAGGGGAGGGACTGGGGAGGAGTGGGGAGGAACGTACTAATCCAGGGTTGGAGCAGTCAAGCGGGTTGCAGTACCACGCGGCCTCGTCGCTTTTATCCTTGCAGTTGGCCGTCCCGTCACACAGCTTGCTCGGGTCCACGCACTGCCCGAGACCTGGACACTCCGCCTGTTGAATGGTTGTGACCATAGCACGGGGGCAGATACGAGAACAGAAGCTGATGAGTCTATTTTAGAGTCGACTAAAAAATAGACATTCTGCTTGTTGAATGGTTGTGACCATTCACATAGCACGGGGGCAGATATGAGAACAGAAGGTGCACATTTGACAACACAAGGAAGGTCAGTGCGTGACGTAAGCTGGAGGTAGTGGATTGGTGGAAGCGCGACAACACGGGGGGATTTGGAGGGATGGGAGGGAGGCGAAAGCGAGTGGAAAAAGGGAGACCGACGGATTAATATGTGGTTGGCAAAAACCGGTCGAGAGTGACGAGTGGGGAGAGGAAAGGGCGTTGAAAGTAGGGGACCCGCAGTATAGCGTAGAGAGTCACTTTTGAGAATTCTCGAAAGTCGAGTGGTGGCGATGTGGGAAACGGAGAAGTAAGAACTGTCAAAATCTCAGCCACTAGACCACTGGAGAGGGCTAGTTTATTGGGTCACTGCGCCCATAACCCCCAAAGCTAACAAACTTGTAACCCTCTCCCTAAGCCATCGGGCATCTCAACTACTGGTCTCTTGACACCACGTCCTCACAGTGATGCTCTAGGACATGGCATAGCCAGCGGCAGCGCCACCATGTGCACACATGAGGACTCGAACCTGAGACTTTTGCTCTACTACCATGTCAGAATCCAATGCAATAGACCACTAGGATAAAATGGCTTGGTCAGTAGCGAGTCAGTGCGCCCATAACCTTCTCAAGCTATCGAGTCCGTAACCATTCCCTAGGATCAATCGGCCATCCTTGGTGAAGGTCTTCTGATAGCAGCGTGCGGAAGGGAGAGGAGGGGGGCAGAGGGGCGGGGAGTTGCAGGAAGTTGTGGGGGAGAAGAGAACGAGCAGAGAGGGAGCAGAGTGGGAGCAGAGAGGGAGCAGAGAGGGAGCAGGGTGGGGGGTGTACCAGGTCACCGCAGTTGAGTTGAGCAGCACCTGTGCTGCTGCTGCTGCCTGTGCTGTCAGTGGTGCCAGTGTTGACCGTGTTGCCTGTGCTTTCCGTGCTGCCAGTGCTGTTGGTTCTGCTGCTGCCTGTTGTTCCAGTGCTGCCCGAGCTGCCCGTGTCCGGGTAAGCACAGTCGACCTCATCGGTCCCATCTGGTGGGACGCGAAGGGAACGAGAGGATGTGGATGGGCGAGAGGTGACGGGTGAGAGGTGAAGAGCGAGAGGTGAAGAGCGAGAGGTGAAGAGCAGGTCAAGAGCAAGTCAAGAGCAGGTCAAGGACAGGTCAAGCGCAGTCAAGAGCGGTCAAGAGCAGGTTATGAGCAGGTGAAGAGGGAAGGTGGTTGGGAGGAGGACAAGGAGATGCAGGCTCGGGGGATGGGGGGGATGGATGGCGGGAGGGAACGCACCAAGGCAGTCCTTTTTGCCGTCGCAGAAAGCCTCTACGCGCACGCACTGCTTCCCGTCGCCGCACTTTTGAAACCCGTCCAAACAATCATACACCACGCAAAACTTGGAGTCCTCGTCCGGTGCTATCAACACTCCACTCGCGTTCTTCACCTTAGGGCAGTTGGGCACGCCGTCACACATGTACCCCTTGATGCACGCGGAGGTGGCGGTGCATTTGAGCTGGTCGTAATCGCAGTCCGAGCTGCGGTGGTCGAGACAGAAGCCGGGGGACTCGTCGATGGCGCCCGGGCACTGCATGATGCCGTCGCACACCTGAGAGGGCTTCACGCAATAGTCGGTGCCCACGCACTCCACCTGAGGAGGAAAGAGGGGGAGAGGCGTGGGAAGGGAAGGGAAGGGGAGTTATGGGCCATGAGAGGGAATGAGTCTGTCACACATCTGAGACAGCTTCAAGTTGACTCTTGACTTTAGTTTGAGTCAACTCAAAAGTCAACCACATAAGACGGCTTCACTGCAGTGCTCCATGCTTCCGCACTGCATGAAGGCGAGTGAAGGCAGAGGAGTGCGTGTCGCACGAGAATGTGAGCGCGGGATGGGGAGGGACTGGGGAGGGACGTATTACCGTGATGTCAGGGTCGGTGCAGTCGAGCGGGATGGAGTACCATGCAGCATATAGTGTTCTAGGGTCATGTTCTAAAAGGCCGGGCTATGAGTTATGGTTGGCGGGGAAGATTTGGCACTCTTCAAAAGCAAGCTGGGTGTGGCGGGACGTACGGTGGTGTCGGGGTCGGTGCAGTCAAGCGGGTTGCAGTACCACGCGGCCTCGTCGCTCTTGTCCTTGCAGTCGGCCGTCCCGTCACACAGCTTGCTCGGGTCCACGCACTGCCCGAGACCCGGACACTCCGCCTGTTGAATGGTTGTGACCATTCACATAGCACGGGGGCAGATACGAGAACAGAAGCTGATGAGTCTATTTTAGAGTCGACTCAAAAATAGACATTCTGCCTGTTGAATGGTTGTGACCATAGCACGGGGGCAGATATGAGAACAGACGGTGCACATGTGCCAACAGACGGAAGGTCAGTGCGCGACTTAAGCTGGAGGTAGTGGATTTGCCAGTGGGACTGAAGGAAGCGCCGCGAAACAGGGGGTTTGGGGGGGTGGGAGGGAGGCGCAAGCGAGTGGGAAAAAGGAAGCCGGAGTGATACGTAAATGGCAAAAAGGGCATGAAAAGAGCGTGGAAAGAACGCGGAAAGAGTGCAGAAAGTACGGGGATCCGCACTAGAGCGTCGAGAGCGGGGGGTGCTAGGCTGACTGAGAGTGAGGCAGTGCACGAGACAGGAGAGAGGAGTGGTGGCGATGGGGGAAACGGGGAAGAGGGAACGTGTGGAAGGGACAGGAGGGGAGCAGCAGGGCGGGGAGTAGCGAGGAGTGGAGAGAGCAGAGAGGGAGCAGAGAGGGAGCAGAGAGGGAGCAGAGAGGGAGGGAGCCGAGAGAGAGCGAGCCGAGAGGGAGCCGGGAGGGAGACGGGAGGGAGCCGGGAGGGAGCAGAGAGGGAGCAGGGTGGGGGGCGTACCAGGTCACCGCAGTTGAGTTGAGCCGCCACCTGCGGAGGAACGAGCACGGGGGAACGGAGGGCAAGGGGAAATGAGAGCTGCGGGCAGCAGGAAGGCGCCCGGACGAGCGCGTATCAGCGCTGCGCGCGGAACGAATTTTGAGACTCACGGTCCCGAAGACCGTGCATCAGCGCTGCGTGCGGGTACTACCCGGACAGGTAGTATCTGTAAGCGGGTCGGACAGTGCGTTCAGGCATTGCGCGTGAGCCGTCTGTTGCGGTGACCGCGGTTTGGTGCGCGCGGACCGTACCAGGGTCGTGAGCGAGAGGAGGGTGAGAAGTTGCGCCGTGGCACAAAAGACGTGCACGGCGTGCCGTTGATGCCAGCTGGCCCTCGCCATCGGACGGATCTCGTCGACCGGAACGACCATGCAATGCGACAAGTATCAAGTGTAGACTCCTTTTATGCTCTTTTGAAAAATCTCTGTTACCAATTAAGAGAATAATATGTGGAAGGCTCCGGGATATGCAGGCCTGTGTTTGGACTCCCTCGATCTACGGAACGAATAGTGATTAGAGCACTCTGATCAGATTCGCTCTGGTCCCTCTGATCCCTTACTCGTACTTGACGGAATTACAGCGAGCGTCTATAGCGCGACAGAGCGTTTCTGCTAGCGGTGGCGTTTCTCTAAAGCGAGCCTACTGAAGGAAGATATGTGGGCAGCGAGCGTCCACCAAACATTGCTATGGCGATCTGGTGTACCTAACTACTTGCACAAACCTGCCTTGTGGTGGGTGGGTGAACGCGCCCTGGCGCATTCTCAACCCAACTGCTCTCGGCTCGAGGCGACTCCCGACTTTCATGACTCCTCACAGCCCAGCCGCGCAAGCTTTCGCTCTGTGCTGCCGATAGTCGCGCTAGGTCTTCCTGCCAAGTCAACGCCCAACTGATGAGAGCACTTCCAACTGTGCTGTCGTGGCCAACAGTACTCCACGCTGTACTCGCTACGTTTTGATCTGCTTGGCGCGCCGAAATTTGTGGAAGCCACTATCTACAGTGCGAGCGTGGTGGACAGGCGCAGTGGGAGGGTTGGTTGGTTTTCGGCCATTTTCAGGTGCATGCAACTTAGCCTAGGAACACAATTCAGGTGCATACCAGGTTGCGTACAATTTGCTCAGGTTAAACAATGTCTCCCGTTAATTCAGACGCTTCTCAAGATTTTATTCGAATTGAGGCACAAAAGGTCTGAAATAGATGCAATTTCGGGCTACGCAAATTGGAATCGGAATGGTTGGCTCTCGATGCTGCATTTTCTGACGTCACTGAGTGCAATGATTGCATTTTGTCCAATTTCTACGCAAATTTACGGGAGACATTTATTAACCTGAGAAAACTGTACGCAACCTGGTATGCACCTGAATAGCGGTTCTAGGCTAAGTTGTATGCACCTGAAAATGGCCGGTTGGTTTTGCTCGCTGCTCGAAAGAGAGAGCCGGACGGGAGGGGCGGGACGCGAACAGGATGCGGAAACGGATGGGTTGGGATGGGCTAGCTGTGAATGGAGCGAGGGGGCCAGCAAGGCAAGCGAGCGAGGTGCGGGCGGAAGAGCGAAAGACAAATCTGTCCCAGGGGATTCTCCAGGTAACGTCGATCAGAGGCCAAAATGCGAATGCCCCACCAGGTTACGTGGGGCTCCCGTCCCGAAGCGCATGCTAGAAACCAGATGAAAGATACTCGGCCAATGGATGCGCTTCAGTTTTTATCATGAATACCGTGGGGATGGTGAACATGCAGCATATCCTGTTACAACCACTTCGCTTTACGAATAGCATACGCTACTACAAAACGCGAATTCACCTCCTCGTCATCTTGGTACCATCAAGTCAGACCAGGCCAAGATACATATCGAACCACCTTATATATAAAAAAAAATACAGCGAATAACAAGATATTAATTACACGTTTCTATTCTCAGCCCCCGACATCCACCTTCCTGTTTCTTGTGTTGCCCTCTTTGTTGCCACCACCACTCCCAACAACTACATCCGTAAAGACCACTTTAACCCCTACACTTACCCCATCGTCAGATAATGAAACACTTTGTTTTGTTAATCCTGCACTGGTAGCACTGCTTGTGTCACTAGACCCACCCTCGTTTGTGTCGCCTCCTGGATCAGTAGACCCAGCATCACCGCCACCATCACCGCCACCATCACCACCACTATCACCACTAGCATCACCATCACCAGCGTCACCGCCAGCATCACCACCAGTGCCACCACCCGCACCGCCCCCACCCACTTTGCCACCCACTTTCTGTGCCTCACTCGCCGCCCGAGCAGCCGCCTGCTGCCTCACCGCAGCCTCTTTGGCAGCTAGCTTAGCTGCCGCCTTAGCCGCAACCAACTCCCTCTTCACTCTCTCCACCTCCGCCTGCTTCACCCACTTCAACCCCAGCGCATCCGCGGCTTCCGCCCACTTCACCGCACTCAACCCCTCATCACCGGCGTCCACCGCCTCTCGAGCCGCCGCTTCCGCCGCCGCCTGCGCTTCCCCAGCCTCTCTCACTACCTCCTCCGCCTGACTCTTAGCTGAAACCAGCCGGTCCACCTCAGCATCCGCCTCACGCTTATCCTCCAGCGCTTTATCTGCTGCAGCCTGCTTCTCTGCTGCAGCAGCCGCGGCAGCACTGGCCTTTTCAGCCATCTGGGCTAGCCGGGCCGCAGTCACCCTCTCTCTGAACGTCCTCTTCTTCTCCTCCTTTTTCTCCTTAGCCGCATCGCGCTCGGCTCGAGCCGCGTCCTTTCGGGCCGTCCCCCGCCTCTTCTTATCTTCTAGCTCCGGTTTGCTCCTCTCTGCTTCGTTCACAAGCTCTTGCCGCTTCTCCTCCACTGCATTAGCAGCCTCCCCAGCCGCTTCCTCCTTTGCATCTGCCTCCTCTCTCGCCTGGTCCGCTCTGGCCCTTGCAGCATCTGCCTCTTTCTGCGCTTGCTTCGCCTCCTCCCGCCTCTTCTTCCCACTCGCCCCGCCTCTTGAACTTTTGGCTTCTCTTGCTTTTTTGTCTGCCCGTGCTTGAGCGGCCTCTGCGTCTTTCTCCCTCTGCTGCGCAATCGCATTCGCCTTTTCAGCATCGGTTTTTGCAGCCTCGGCTGCCTGAGCAGCCTTCTGATACTCCCGCTTTTTCTGCTCCAGAGGGGAGAGCTGCTTCTCAGGTGGAGGTGGGGGGGGTGGCGGCGTCTCAGGTTCTTCTTCAGATTCACCCGACTCTTCATCCTCTGAGTCCTCCCCCTCCCCATCACCACCCTCTTCTGTTCCATCTCCCTCACCATCTCCTGACTCTCCTTCTCCACTCTCCCCTCCCTCCTCTCCTCCCTCTTCACCTCCTCCCTCACCGCCCTCCTCGCCGCTTCCCCCCTCCTCACCGCTTCCCCCCTCCTCGCCACTTCCCTCCTCCTCGCCACTTCCCCCCTCCTCGCCGCTTTCCCCCTCCTCGCCGCTTCCCTCCTCCTCGCCGCTTCCCCCCTCCTCGCCGCTTCCCCCCTCCCTCTCCGCTTCCCCCATCCTCTCCACTCCCCCCCTCCTCTCCGCTTCCTCCCTCATCTCCACTATCCCCCTCCCCTCCGCTCCCTCCCTCCTCTCCGCCTCCCCCCTCACTCCCTCCCTCTCCCCCTTCCTCTGTTCCTCCTTCCGAAGGTTCCTGTGAACCTTCCCCCGACCCTGACGAATCACCTGGTGAAGCACCACCAGGGGTTTCATCTCCACCTGGATTGTCCACGTCAGCTGGCGGCGGAGGTGGAGCTACATCTTCTGGGGGGGTCGTGTCTTCGTTCGCCGGCGGAGGTGGTGGAGTTGCATCTCCTGTGTTTGCGGTTTCATCTCCAGGAGGAGTTTCATCTGCCGGAAGGCTCCCATCCGTCGATGTTCCTTCGCCAGTTCCAGTTTCATCAACTGGTGCTGTTGTGTCATCTGTTCCCGTATCAGCCGTTCCCGTATCATCTGTTCCCGTATCAGCTGTTCCCGTATCATCTGTTCCCGTATCAGCCGTTCCCGTATCATCCGTTCCCGAATCATCTGTTCCCGTATCATCCGTTCCCGTATCATCTGTTCCCGTATCAGCCGTTCCTGAATCAGCCGTCCCGGAATCATCCGTTCCCGAATCAGCCGTCCCCGAATCAGTCGTTCCCGAATCAGCCGTCCCCGAATCAGCCGTCCCCGAATCAGTCGTTCCCGTATCAGTCGTTTCCGTATTAGTTGTTCCCGTATCAGCCGTCCCCGAATCAGTCGTTCCCGTATCTGTCGTTTCCGTATCAGTCGTTCCCGTATCAGCTGTCCCCGTATCAGGGGTCGTGCCACCCTCATCAGCGTCACAACCCTCCTCGTCGCTCCCATCGTTACAGTCGCGCGTACCGTCGCACATGCGACTATCCTCGTAGCATTGCACGCCATCGTCGCACTTGCTCCATCCGGTGGGGCAATCGTACGTCGCGCAGAACGCGGCGTCCTCGTCGGAAGGCGCGTCCACGTCGCTGCAGTCGGGCGACCCGTCGCACACCTGCGTGTCGCTTATGCACTCGTCGGTCGTCGCACACACGAACTGCGATGGAGGAAGGGAAAGAAAAGGGGAGGAAGGAAAGTTCCGGGTCGAGTCTTAGCATCGCACTCCTTGGTTGTCACGCTCACGAAATGAACACGAGAATACTGAAGGAATATTATGGAGAGCACTACGACGGCGAGAGAGATTCTGCTTATGGGAATGATGTTGCGCTAGGAATTCGGTAGCGTTTGGGTAGCGTTGGTCTCAAATGACTAAGTGAGAATTTGAGTAGAGATTGGACTTCACTAGGAAAATAGAATATATGAAACACACAAGCAAACACAAACATATAAAGGCAAGCAAGCGTTCACAAAAGGTAGCGAGGGCGCTGCGAGTAACCCAACCCACACGAAAGTGCTGTGGGAGTTGGCGAACGCGCCCCGCCAAACTTCCATCCAACTCAGCAGCGAAAACCTTCCGAGCACGCAACTCCATCCGACTCAGCTTGGGAGTGGCGTGCCTCATAAGGAAGCACACAAAGACTCCCACGACTCTACTTCCCAGCACCGACTTCAGCAGATTCCTTACTGCAGCTCGCATTCACCCGTAGTCACACTTGACTGCCATCGAACCTGTGCGACGGTGCCGAGTAGACCAGGTCGTCGGTCGTCAACCTGCCAAGTCTAACATTTCGCGAGGGCCCTTGCTGTCGTAGGGCCCTCTAACACTCCCCTGCCATACTACAGCAAGGCCCTTTATAATCACAGGGCATGCATAAACACATACACACCAAACAAAGGGAAACACACACAAACGAAGCACTCTCAAAGTGCAAACACGCACCGCACCAGCCATGGATAGGCCATGGCACCATCCACATCACGGAGTGTCTAGGTCTCACTCCCCTCGCTCGAGAGCCTCACCTGCCCCACAGCCTCGAAGCAACGACTGAAGGCGGGGAAATGCAATGCCTTGGTAAGGTAGTCAGCAGGCTGCTCGCTCGTAGGGATGTACTGCAGCTGCAGCTTCCTGCGCTTGACCATGTGCTGCAGCCACATGTGACGACGCTCCATGTGCTTGAGGCTCCCCTTGAGCCCCATGCCACCTGCCACTGAAATGGCGGAGGAGTTGTCCACAAAGAGAGTAGTGGGAACCTCACTCCTCAGCAGTTGAAACTCTGCCAGCAGGAAGCGCAGCCGACGCGCCTCCTTCCCCGCCTCCACAGCAGCAACGTACTCAGACTCAGTGGAAGAGAGGGTGGCGCAACGAATCCTCTGGCTCGCCCACGAGACAGCAGCACCTCCGAGCACGAAGACATAGCCACCAGTGCTAGTCCTGTTCTGCTTGTCTCCCGCATCATCCGCATCGGCATAGCCCACCAGCTCCAAGGACTCAGGCCCACCACCAAACTCCAGCGCAACATCCCTGCTCCCCACCAAGTACGCCAAGCACCGGTCCAACTCCTTCCAGTGCTGGTCACTCCGCACAGTCTGGCCTGACCCCAGCTTGCTGCAGGCAAAGGAGATGTCGGGACGAGTGGTACAGGCTGCGAACTGCAAGGATCCCACCTTCTGCCTGTACTCCTCCTCCTGGCGAGACTGCCATCCCGCATCCTCAAAGGTCTGCACACTGAAAGGGTCAGAGGAAAGGGGGGTGCGAGGCACTCGCAGCGGCTGCTCCCCGTCGAAGAAGCGCCTATGGACCTTGTCCACGTAGGCCCCCTGGTGCAGCCACAGCCTCCTCGTAGGCCTGTCCCGAATCAGCTGCAGCCCCAGGTACTTCTCCACAGGGCTAATCTCCCGCAGCTGAAACGCACTCTGCAGCAGCTCACGTAGCTCCCCCAGCATGCTCTGACTGCGGCTGGCAGCAAGCAAATCATCCACATACACCAGCAGCCAGCACATCTCCCCGTCAGCATCACTCTTGAAGTACAAAGCCTCATCCACTTTGCTCTTCTTCCATCCAGCCCCAAGCAGCACCCCATCCAAGGCCTCATACCACAGCATCGGGCTTTGCTTGAGGCCATACAGACTCTTCAACAACTTACAGACACGAGGAGTCCCATCCTCGTAGTAGCTCGGCTGCTCCATGTACAGGTCTCGGTCCAGCACGCCATGGAGGAACGCATTCTTCACATCTAGCTGCATCAGCTCCAAGTCAAGTGCAGCTGCGATCGCCAGAAGTACGCGCGCCGTCACATAGCTTCCCACGGGGGCGTACGTCTCCTCATAGTCCACCCCTGCCACCTGCGTGAACCCCTTCACCACCAGCCGCGCCTTCTCACGCTCCACTACCCCATCAGGTCGGAACTTGGTGTTCAGGATCCAGCGGTTCTTCATCACATTCACCCCTGGCGGACGCGGAACCAACTCCCACGTCCCCTGCTCAATCAAGCTCCGCATCTCCTCATCCATCGCCTCCTTCACCTTGTCGCCCTTCCAGCAGCCCAAGGCCTCCTTCACTGTCATCTTCGCTATATCCCACTGCCTCTCAGGGTCAGCCACCACGTCAGGGTCCAGGTCCGTCCACTCTTCGTCCTCCTCCTCGTCATCCAATCCCGCCGGCTCAATCACTAAAGCCCAAGCATACTTAAGAGGCGGGATACCACGGGTGATGCGAGTGGAGCGACGCAGTGGCGCAGTGATCGTCCCAGAAGCCAACACACGACCACCATCTCTGATTCCCCACAGCTCCTGCTCCCCTGTCTGCGGCTCCCCTGTCTGCTGCTCCCCTAGCTGCTGGTCCACCATCTGCTGCTCCTCAATCTGTTCCTCCCCTATCTGCTGCTCCCCACTCTGCTGCTCCCCTAACTGCTGCTCCCCTATCTCCTGCCCCCCACTCTGCTGTACTCCATCCATGCTGCTCTCGTCCTGCAGCTGCTCAGTCTCAAGGCGCTGCCCGTCGGTGATCTCCACAGACGGTGGCACCACGATCCCCCCCTCACCAACGGGCGGCGCCGTGGAAGATGAAGAGGAGGGTGGAGCAGGTGCAGGAGGGATGGAGGGTGGAAGGGGAGAGGGAATAACAGGAGGAGGAGGGGAAGCCAAGGGGGGTGAGGATGAAGAAGGTGGGGCAGGGGGAACCACACGAGGGTAAACTGAAGGCGGAGGTGGGGTGGGGACCGAGGTAGGGACATAGGGCATAGCAGGAGGTGCGACCACCTCCTCCTCCTCCACCGCCTCCTCAAGAGTGATCGGGAAGTGAGAGGGAAGGGGCTCATAGGGCATTGGACGCCCCCCATGCTCTTGCCGATGCCACGCCTTCCATCCTGCCAAGGACATGGTCTCATAGAACACAGCTTCCACAGTGGTGATGAGGCGGTTGGACTCCAAGTCCAGCACGGTCCAGCCCTTGCTCGCTGCGGACACCCCCAAGTGCAACCCCCAGCGAGCCTTAGGTGCCAGCTTCCCCCCCCGCTGCGACTGAGGCAACATGTACTGCACCATGCAGCCCCATACCCGCACCATACTGACATCGGGTTTGTGTCGAAAGGCGAGCTCGTACGGCGTCACACCAGAGGGCAGCGAGGCGTGCTCCACGCGGTTGCGCACCCAGACGGCCTGCGCCAACGCCAGGTGCCACCAATGATGCTGTACACCCATGTGCAGTAGCATCGTCCGCACCGCCTCCACAATGCTGCGCATCTCCCTCTCGGCCATCCCGTTCTGCTCCGGCGTGTACGGGCACGTGAGGTCATGGATGATGCCTTTGCCGTCGAGGAAGAGCGTGAAGTCATGCCCCAGGAACTCGCCACCCCGATCAGTGCGCAGCGCCTGCACCGTGGTCTTGCACTGCCGCTCTGCCATCGGGAGCCACTTCTGAAACGCCGCCAGCGCATCACTCTTCTGAGCCAAAGGGTAGGCCCAGACGTACCGCGACTTGCGATCCTTCAGCACCAGGAAGTAGCGGCTGCCGTCCTTAGCTGTTTCACGGAAAGGGCCACACAGGTCAGCATGCACCACCCCAAGCAACTCATCCTCCTCCGCACCCACTGGCGGGAAGGTATGACGAGTGATCTTCCCCCCAACACAGGAGACACACGGTATGCCTGATTTGCCCCCCTTCTCCAGGTCCAAGCCCTTCACTGACCCGTGAGACGCAGTGCGCTCGATGGCATCAATACCAACGTGTGCCATACGCGCATGCCACATGTCCACCTTAGACCGCACGCCCGTCGTCAAGGTACGAAGTGCCACCGTTTCGCCTTCCTGCTGCTGCGACAAACACGGTTGGAAGTTCGTGCAGAGAACACGCCCCTTGTACTCTGCACGCCCAAGAAGTGACCCATCTGGTGCCCGCAGCAGAGTCACGTCGCCTGCATCCAGCAGTTGCACACCACTATCACGCAGCTGCCCAGCAGAAAGAAGACTCGCCTGCACTCCAGGTACGTACAGCACGTCAGACACCAAGAGACGCCTGCCCCCTTCTCCAAGAAGAGCGACTGTGCCTCGCCCCTGCACGTCCTGAAGCGCGCCGTTGAAGCCTTTCACTTGTTTGATACTACCGCCGCTGCTCATCTCCACAAAGGCAGAACGATCTCCCATGAGATGGTGGGAGCATCCACTATCAAGTAGCACGACGCTCGGGTTCGCCTTCACAGCAGCTGCAAGAGCCTGTAAGCCCTCCCCGGCCTCAGGCTCCAGCACGACAAGAGGAGTCTGCTCTACAACGGGCTTCACCATCGCACATGATGACTGCCTGCTCCCCTTAGAGCCATCGTCCCCCTTGCCACTCGCGCCGCTGCCTCCAGAACCCTCTCCACCCGTGTCTGCCTCCTTATCCGCCCGCTGCTGACAGTACTTAGCAACATGCCCTGTCTGTCCACACACGTAGCACTTCCCCTTGAAGCCACCTTTCCCCCCCTTTGGCGGACCATCCTTAGCCCCTTTCCACTTCTCTCCTCCACCTCCAACCCCACCCCCAGTCTTAGGCTGCTGCTGCTGTGCCGTAGTGGGAGGGGAAGGGGATGAAGTCTGCTGGGATTGGGGCTTACCCTTCTTGGTAAAGACCTGGTTGGCCTGGGGAAGAAATTGGTCCTTCCGTCCCTCCGCTGCCAGCGTACACTCCTCCTCGATAATGTAGCTAGCGAGGGTGTCCTCGTCCAACTCCTTGCGTACCTGCGGCAGCTTCAGCATCCTGCGTAAGAGGTTGTACTGCTGCGGCAACCCCTTCACGACGTGAGTAATGTACGACGCCTGCGAGTAATCGACGCCGGCCATCCTCAGGTTCACTAGGATCTGCTGCGCACGGTTGCAATAGGACGTAGCGGACTCGTGCTCACCCATCTCGAGGTTAGTGAGCGCCTGCTCTAACTGACCGATGTACAGATCGTCCTTCGCCATGTACGTGCGCATAATAAACTGCCATGCCTGATAGCCGGCATCTACCTTCATGCGACACCCCTTAAGGGCAATCTGTACGGTTGGGGAGCAGCATCGGGAAATCGTGGTGAACGTCAGTAACTGCATTGCGCGGAACTGAGTGAGATGCGCAACTGCCTGCGTTGGTGGAATAGGAGTGGTACCGTCAATGAATCGCTTTAGTTGAGCGATCTCAAGCTGCGGCTCGATCGATTCTACCCACGTCGATAGGTCGTGGCGTCCTTCGAGCGGCTTAGGCACGACGATTCTGTCTGGAGTGAATTTGAAGTAGCCATAGTTGGGGGCTATTCCCTCATCCCTCGACATCGATCCAATCGGGGTAATGCCCGGCATAGCTCCACTATCGTACTCCTCCGCATTCCCTCCTCCAGCAGCGCTCTGTCGTCCTAAGTTCGTACGCTCGTGTGACGCCGCCGCACGATGAACACGCTCCTGTACACCGCCGACGCTAGTCGTACTAAACCGAGTTGGTCCTCGCAGGACCCCACGCGACATCAACCCATCAACCTCCTCGTCATCGTCACCTCCGTCATTGACAGCCATGTCCCACGCACTAGTGCCTCCCGCAGCTTGCTCTACATGTGGCGAGGGATGATCGCGACGCTGACGAGAGCGTAATCCCTCCAACATGAGCTCGTAATCTACATTACTAAGCTCGCCACGGGAACGACGTGCCACGAGCTCCTCCTCTAGTGCGCAAAAAATTAACGGCCTCAACGTCCGCCTCCTCCGAACTCATCCTCTACGACGCCTCGATAAGGTGCCACAAATTAAAATAAATTGTTCCTTCCTTAAATCCCTCGTCTCGGGGTCACCTCACAAGGGTCCTCAGACGAGTGGTAATAAATTACCAAACGCCCTATCCTTGGGTCCGAGAACGTAACTGGAGGGAAATTAAGAGAGGTTCAACTTAATTTAATATGCGCCCTTCACTAACGCCGCACGCCAAGGCGAGTTTACGAACGCTAAGAAAGTCGACGACGGAATTCTATGCGTGTTCGTTCCACGCTCACCGCACCATGAAGGAATATTATGGAGAGCACTACGACGGCGAGAGAGATTCTGCTTATGGGAATGATGTTGCGCTAGGAATTCGGTAGCGTTTGGGTAGCGTTGGTCTCAAATGACTAAGTGAGAATTTGAGTAGAGATTGGACTTCACTAGGAAAATAGAATATATGAAACACACAAGCAAACACAAACATATAAAGGCAAGCAAGCGTTCACAAAAGGTAGCGAGGGCGCTGCGAGTAACCCAACCCACACGAAAGTGCTGTGGGAGTTGGCGAACGCGCCCCGCCAAACTTCCATCCAACTCAGCAGCGAAAACCTTCCGAGCACGCAACTCCATCCGACTCAGCTTGGGAGTGGCGTGCCTCATAAGGAAGCACACAAAGACTCCCACGACTCTACTTCCCAGCACCGACTTCAGCAGATTCCTTACTGCAGCTCGCATTCACCCGTAGTCACACTTGACTGCCATCGAACCTGTGCGACGGTGCCGAGTAGACCAGGTCGTCGGTCGTCAACCTGCCAAGTCTAACATTTCGCGAGGGCCCTTGCTGTCGTAGGGCCCTCTAACAAATACGCACCAAGGATTCGTCGTCAGGACAGGCATCCAGCGCCGCAGCTCTGGTTACCAACATCGCGAATGTCGACAGCATCGCAAGCGTCACGAGCGTCGGCATTATCGCGAGCAGTCGTCGAGGCCTCATTTTTGCCATTGACATGCGATTCACCTGTGCAGAGCTGCGCGCATTCTCACGTGGCGCGAAGCCTTGCGACGATTGAATGTTACCACTAAGCTCAGCCCTCGCGAGCGCAACTAGTGTTCTTCGAACAAGACGCTGCGTCGAATATCGGTGGTCTCAAAACCCGAGTCGACCGAGGTTGCACATTTGATGGAATGCGAAGGGAAGTTCGAGAGAAGGGGAGGGAGAGAGGGAGAAGGGAAGAGCAACGAACACACTCCAGCTGAGGTGGGTGCGACAGGTCGGGCTTTCCCCGCTTGTAGCTGTCCTTGTGCTGGTTACAGTAGTGCATTCTGTGCATGGGGGCGTTGCCTTCTGGTGCTGTTACATGATCACGCCAGCTAAACTCAGTGGACCGCACAGAAACACGGTCGTTGATGCAATAACCGCTTCACACTACAGAATGAATCGTGGTTCCAGTTAGGCATTTCCCGGCAACAGGTGCGACTCGAGAAGTCATGTTGAGTTGGTGCGCTGTTTGTCATCTGCGACAAGATAAGTCATTGGCTGGCCGGACCTGAGGTGGGGAGGTGTGTGGCGTTGTTTGAATGGTTGTGGCGAAAACGGACAGACCACGTTGAAAGACATGACGAATCTCGCGACATTGTTCACGAAGTGGATTCTGCCATATGCGAAATGTTTGTGCCAAGCGAGTTGAGACATGTGCAGGTAAAACGGCAGATGTCCACGTCAGCAGGTGCAGCTGAAACAGGTGGGTAATGCTTCCTGAAGGCGAAACGCAGGTGAATTTCGAGCATACGCCATACAGGCAGCCTTATCCACCCGGAATTCGCCATCACAATTTTCGGCAATTCCCCTCGTATACGATCATACCGGAGACAATTTCTCAACACATATCTCATAACGAATTGTCACACAGCCTCCCTCACACACCTGTCGCCTCGCCATCCAGCCCACATCCTACAAAGAGATTTGAGTCAATCGCCCACGGAATTTATCACGTGCGGCCAACAATAACCTCGTTTCTAATCCGCTCCTATGGCGTGCGCGATCTCCGCAACTCCCGCCGCGGGAACCAATCTTCTCCCCCAAACCCCGAACCCTCAGTCCTCGCTCTCGCGACACAACGTAACTCCTTCTCGCCTCGTTTCGTTTCCCGTTCACTTGCACACCAATGCGCTTCGCCGAACATTCTCACTGCGCGAATATTTCCCTTCCTCTGACACACGTTCCCGAACCATCCGCCTAGTTTCCCGCCACACAAGCCAAGATTCTTTGTCCATAGGGCGCAAGCAAACTATGGCGGCAATGCGAGCGCAATTGGCGGCGGATACTGCGGGGGTGGAGCGGCTAGAGATAACGCAGCCTGACGACTGGCACTTGCACGTGCGGGACGGCGCTGCCCTGCAATCCGTTGTGCCATTCAGGTAAGACCTCAGGTGAAATCTCAGGTGGAAAGTCAGGTGCCAGGTCTGTGCCGTCCTCCTAGCGATGGTCATGCAAAATGCACGCGCAACCATTCTCCTCTTCTCTCTCTCTCCCCTTTCTCCCTTCTTCCCCTTCTTGTCCCCCTTCTTCCCCTTCTTGTCCCCCTTCTTCCCCTTCTTGTCCCCCTTCTTCCCCTTCTTGTCCCCCTTCTTCCCCTTCTTGTCCCCTTCTTCCCCTTCTTGTCCCCCTTCTTCCCCTTCTTGTCCCCCTTCTTTCCCCTTCTTTCTCGTCCCCCTTCTTCCCCTTCTCGTCCCCCTTCTTCCCCTTCTCGTCCCCCTTCTTCCCTTCTCTCTCCGGTCCCCTTCTCCCCTTCTTGTCCCCTTCTTCCCCTTCTTGTCCCCCTTCTTCCCCTTCTTGTCCCCCTTCTTCCCCTTCTTGTCCCCCTTCTTCTTCCCCTTCTTGTCCCCCTTCTTCCCTTTCTTGTCCCCCCTTCTTCCCCTTCTTCCCCCTCTTCCCCCTTCTTTCCCCTTCTTGTTCCCCTTCTTTCTTCCCCTCTTGTCCCCTTCTTCCCCTTCTTGTCCCCCTTCTTCCCCTTCTTGTCCCCTTCTTCCCCTTCTTGTCCCCCTTCTTCTTCTTCCCCTTCTTGTCCCCCTTCTTTGTCCCCCTTCTTTTGTCCCCTTCTTCCCCTTCTTGTCCCCCTTCTTCCCCTTCTTGTCCCCCTTCTTCCCCTTCTTGTCCCCCTTCTTCCCCTTCTTGTCCCCCTTCTTCCCCTTCTTGTCCCCCTCTTTTCCCCTTCTTGTCCCCCTTCTTCCCCTTCTTGTCCCCCTTCTTCCCCTTCTTGTCCCCTTCTTCCCCTTCTTGTCCCCCTTCTTCCCCTTCTTGTCCCCCTTCTTCCCCTTCTTGTCCCCCTTCTTCCCCTTCTTGTCCCCCGTCTTCTTCCCCTTCTTGTCCCCCTTCTTTCTTCTTGTCCCTTCTTGTCCCCCTCTTTTCTTCCTTCTTCCCCTTCTTGTCCCCCTTCTTCCCCTTCTTGTCCCCCTTCTTCCCCTTCTTGTCCCCTTCTTTCTTCCCCTTCTTGTCCCCCTTCTTCCCTTCTTGTCCCCCTTCTCCCCTTCTTGTCCCCTTCTTCCCCTTCTTGTCCCCCTTCTTCCCCTTCTTGTCCCCCTTCTTCTCCCCTTCTTGTCCCCCTTCTTCCCCTTCTTGTCCCCCTTCTTCCCCTTCTTGTCCCCCTTCTTCCCCTTCTTGTCCCCCTTCTTTTCTTCCCCTTCTTGTCCCCCTTCTTCCCCTTCTTGTCCCCTTCTTCCCCTTCTTGTCCCCCTTCTTCCCCTTCTTGTCCCCCTTCTTCCCCTTCTTGTCCCCCTCTTTTCCCTTCTTGTCCCCCTTCTTCTTCTTCCCCTTCTTGTCCCCCTTCTTCCCCTTCTTGTCCCCCTTCTTCCCCTTCTTGTCCCCCTTCTTCCCCTTCTTGTCCCCCTTCTTCCCTTCTTGTCCCCTTCTTCTTCCCCTTCTTGTCCCCCTTCTTCCCCTTCTTGTCCCCCTTCTTCCCCTTCTTGTCCCCCTTCTTCTTCCCCTTCTTGTCCCCCTTCTTCCCCTTCTCTTCTTCCCCTTCTTGTCCCCCTTCTTCCCCTTCTTGTCCCCCTTCTTTTTCCCTTCTTGTCCCCCTTCCTTCTTCCCCTTCTTGTCCCCCTTCTTCCCCTTCTTGTCCCCCTTCTTCTTCCCCTTCTTGTCCCCCTTCTTCCCTCTTTCCCCTTCTTGTCCCCCTTCTTCCCCTTCTTGTCCCCCTTCTTCCCTTCTTGTCCCCCTTCTTCCCCTTCTTGTCCCCCTTCTTCCCCTTCTTGTCCCCCTTCTTCCCCTTCTTGTCCCCCTTCTTCCCCTTCTTGTCCCCCTTCTTCCCCTTCTTGTCCCCCTTCTTCCCCTTCTTGTCCCCCTTCTTTTTCTTCGTCCCTTCTTGTCCCCCTTCTTCCCCTCTTGTCCCCCTTCTTCCCCTTCTTGTCCCCCTTCTTCCCCTTCTTGTCCCCCTTCTTCTTCCCTTCTTGTCCCCCTTCTTTTCTTCTTGTTCTTCTTTTTCCCCTTCTTGTCCCCCTTCTTCCCCTTCTTGTCCCCCTTCTTCCCCTTCTTGGCCCCCTTCTTCCCCTTCTTGTCCCCCTTCTTGTTCCCCTTCTTGTCCCCCTTCTTCGTCCCTTCTTGTCCCCCTTCTTCCCCTTCTTGTCCCCCTTCTTCCCCTTCTTGTCCCCCTTCTTCCCCTTCTTGTCCCCCTTCTTCCTCCCCTTCTTGTCCCCCTTCTTCCCCTTCTTGTCCCCCTTCTTCCCCTTCTTGTCCCCCTTCTTCCCTTCTTGTCCCCCTTCTTTCTTCCCCTTCTTGTCCCCCTTCTTCCCCCTTGTCCCCCTTCTTTCCCCTTCTTGTCCCCCTTCTTCCCCTTCTTGTCCCCCTTCTCCCCTTCTTGTCCCCCTTCTTCCCCTTCTTGTCCCCCTTCTTCCCCTTCTTGTCCCCCTTCTTCCCCTTCTTGTCCCCCTTCTTTTTCCCCTTCTTGTCCCCCTTCTTCCCCCTTCTTGTCCCCCTTCTTCCCCTTCTTGTCCCCCTTCTTCCCCTTCTTGTCCCCCTTCTTCCCCCTTCTTGTCCCCCTTCTTCCCCTTCTTGTCCCCCTTCTTCCCCTTCTTGTCCCCCTTCTTCCCTTCTTGTCCCCCTTCTTCCCCTTCTTGTCCCCCTTCTTCCCCTTCTTGTCCCCCTTCTTCGTCCCCTTTGTCCCCTTCTTCTTCCCTTCTTGTCCCCCTTCTTCCCCTTCTTGTCCCCCTTCTCCCCTTCTTGTCCCCCTTCTTCCCCCCTGCTACACACGCTCCTCCTCGCTCACCCTTCTCCCTTTCTCTCCACCCTTCCTCCCCTTCCCCACTTCCCTTCATCTTCCCCTCTCCCCCACCTTCCCTCCCCTTCCGCTCTTCCCCACCTTCCCCCCTTCCCCACAGCGCGGCTGTCTTCCACCGAGCAGTAATCATGCCCAACCTGCGCCCACCGGTCACCACCGCACTGGCAGCAGCAGAGTACCGCGAGCGGGTGCTGGCAGCAGTGCCGGAGGGGAGGCGCGGGGAGGAGGGCTTTAATCCGCTCATGACACTCTATCTCACAGATGACACCACACCGGAAGAAGTGCAGAAAGCAAGTGAGTGCAGAGAGCAAGTGAGTGCAGAGAGCAAGTGAGTGTAGAGAGCAAGTGAGTGTAGAGAGCAAGTGAGTGCAGAAAGCAGCATAGTGCTGGCAGCAGAGGGGAGGCGGGCTTTAAGCCGCTGATGACGCTGTACCTTACAGACGACACCACACCGGAGGAAGTGCATCGATCGAGTGAGGCTGTGTGTGTGTTTGGGCTCGCATGAGCACACTCAGTCACGTGTTCCGGTAATGTAGGTCGTCCAAGGGAGAGGGGAGCAGGAGAGGTCACTCAGTGCAGCACAGTGCTGGCAGCAGTGGGGCCTACAGACAAACCATCACAACGTTCCTTGCCATACTTATGAGGTCCTCCTTTCCCTCAACTTTGAGGCGCCTCAAAAGCTCTCCCTTTCTCCCCTCCCTTGATGCCTTAACCAGAGGATGGAGGCCTTGTGGTGGCATTCAAGCTCTACCCCGCGGGAGCAACAGCCAACTCTCAAATTCGCCTGATTGACTTATAAGTTCACTAAAACAAGCTCACTAAACCAAGCTCTCTCTGCTCAATCGTTTCCCTCCTCCTTGCAGAGGACGGAGGTCTAGTGGTGGCATTCAAGCTCTACCCCGCGGGAGCAACGACCAACTCAGCAGCGGGAGTGACGGACCTCTTTGGGCGCTGCTTTCCTGCAATAGAGCACATGGCGCATGTTGGCATGCCGCTGCTGGTGGGTGTGATGGTGAAGGGTGGAATGGTGGTGGGTGCATGTGCGCATGCGCCTGCACCTGTCAACGCTGCTTCCCTGCGATGGAGCCCAAGGCGCATGTTGGCATGCCGCTGCTGGTGGGTGAGACAGGGGAGAGGGGAAGGGAGTGGGGTTAGTGTTGACACGACCAACTCAGCAGCGGGAGTGATGGACCTCTTTGGCCGCTGCTTCCCTGCGATGGAGTACATGGCGCAGATTGGCATGCCGCTGCTGGTGGGCGTGCTGCGGGAGTGTGTGGGCACAAGAGGGTGAGTGGGGTTGGTGGTAGCGTTGCCAACTCAGCAGCAGGAGCGCGATACCTATTTGGGCGCTGCTTCCCTCCCATAGAGGACACATGGTGCATGTGTGCGCGTGCATACCTCTGCTCTATTCAGAGTGGCCTCCCTGCCATTCACCACATGGCGCATGTAGGGATGCCGCTGCTGCTGGGTGTGATTGGGGATGCCGCTGCTGGTGGGTGTGATTGGGGGGTGCGGGGAACAAGGGTGGAAAGACGAGGCAGGTATGCTGTCTTATTGCAGGAGCTTTCCAAAACCAACCTGTAGCATTTGCTCCACTCAAGGCCACTTCTTCCTCCTCCCAACCTTTCCCCTCCCCCACCTCAGCTGCACAGAGAGGTGGTGGATCCATCAGTCAATACATTCGATCACGAGAAGCAGTTCATCCATCAAATGCTCTCGCCTCTCCTGTGAAGGAGGCCAACACTCCAACCTTCCCTCTTCCATCCCTCCCTTTCCCCCTGCAGCTGCACGGAGAGGTAGTGGATCCATCAGTAGACATGTTCGGCCGCGAGAAGCAGTTCATGCATCGAATCCTCTCGCCCCTCCTAGCCCCACAGCACGTGCCTATCCACTCCTTAACCTTTCCTTACCCCTCCCAACTCCCCACTTCTCAGCTGCACGGAGAGGTAGTGGATCCATCAGTAGACATGTTCGGCCGCGAGAAGCAGTTCATCCATGGAGTGCTCTCGCCTCTCCTAGCCCGCCTGCCGGTCCTCTCCCAAGCATGTCACCACCCTTTTTCCATGGAGTTTGTTTCGTTGTCCTAAACAACACGAGTTGATGGAAGTAAGGCCTCCGCAGCCCACCTGTCCTCTTTTGACAGCTCTTGCCTCTCCTAGCCCGCCTGCCGGCCCTCTCCCATCCCAAGCATGTCACCACCCTCACTCTACCCTTTCCTTTCCCATCCCTCCCCTCTCTCAGCTGCATGGAGAGGTGGTGGACCCATCAGTTGACATGTTTGACCGCGAGGAGGAGTTCATTCATCAAGTGCTCTCGCCCCTCCTAGCCCGCCTGCGATACACCCTGCTCGCTCCCCTCCTCCTGCTTTGTCCCTGCCCCCCACACCCCCTGTTCGCCTCAGCTCCACGGGGAGGTGGTGGACCCATCAGTTGACATGTTCGACCGCGAGAAGGAGTTCATTCACCGGGTTCTCTCGCCTCTCCTAGCCCGCCTGCCCACCCTGCGAGTGGTTCTCGAGCATGTCACCACCGCAGATGCGGTCGAGTTTGTGTTGAAAGCACCTGAGGGGCGGGTGGCTGCTACAGTGACGCCACAGCACCTGCTGTGGAACCGTAACGCGCTGTTCACGGGGGGCATTCGCCCGCACCACTTCTGCCTGCCCGTGTTGAAGAGAGAAACCCACCGTAAGTCTCCCTTTCTCAGTCCTGTCTGCCCATGCACTTCACTCCGTTTCACCTGAGGGACGGCACCTGCTGTGGAACCGCAACGCGCTCTTTACGGGGGGCATTCGCCCGCACCACTTCTGCTTGCCTGTGCTCAAGCGAGAGACACACTGTAAGTCCCTTTGTTTTCCGAGAGGTGGTGAGACACAAGACTCGAACGCTGTTCAAAGAGATGCAGAGAGAGTCACAAGTCCCTTCATTTTGTTCTCTCCTCTAGTGCGTCCTACATCTGTGTTCTCCATTTTTCCTCCTTCCCCCTCCTCCTTCCCCTCTACCAGGCCAAGCCATTGTCGCAGCAGTGACGGGCGGCAGCACTCGTTTCTTCCTCGGCACGGACAGCGCACCTCACGAACGCACCACTAAGGAGGCGCCATGTGGCTGCGCCGGGATCTTCTCTGCGCACGCCGCCCTGCCGCTATACGCCCGAGCGTTTGAGCAGGTGAGAGAGACATAATACTGATGAGTCTAGGGGAATCCACTGTCACCTCACTGGCGCTGTGTGGCTGCGCCGGGATCTTCTCTGCCCACGCCGCCCTGCCTCTCTTTCGCCCGAGCGTTCGAGCAGGTGAGTGTGATGTGGTAGCGGCCGGATCTTTGAAGCTTCAAAGTGAAAATCATGCATGATTGACTCAAAGTGAAAATCATGCATGATTGACTCAAAGGGACTCCAGGTGAATCCACTCTAACGTCATTGAGAGACCTTCTCTGCGCACGCTGCTCTGCCTCTCTACGCCCGAGCATTTGAGCAGGCAGGAGCACTGGACAAGCTAGAGGCATTCACGAGCTTCAGCGGACCGCGCTTCTACGGCCTGCCTCGCGACTTCACCCCCTCACCCTTCCCTCCCTCACCCTTCCCTCCCTCACCCTTCCCTCCCTCACCCTTCCCTCCCTCACCCTTCCCTCCCTCACCCTTCCCTCCCTCACCCTTCCCTCCCTTCCCCGTTATCTCTATCCCTCGACTCCTATCCAGGCGGGAGCACTGGACAAGCTAGAGGCGTTCACCAGCTTCAACGGGCCGGACTTCTATGGCCTGCCCCGCAATTCTCGCCGCATCACTCTCTTTCGCCAGCCATGGACCGTGCCCGACTCGTACCCGTACAGCGATGGCGGATCCCTCGTGCCCATGCTGGCAGGCGAGCAGCTGGAGTGGCAGGTGTTTCCTTTGGATCACTGAGTGAATGTTCAACCACATATGAACCAAGCGTGAACACTCCATTCATACAGATGGGGATCAATCACTCCTACCGCATCACTCTCATCCGCCAGTTGTGGGCCATGACAGAGTCGTACCCGGATGGGGGTGGGAGCTCTCTGGTGCAAGTGCTGGCAGGGGAGCAACAGTGGCAGGTGCTGCCATTGGATCACTGAACCGAGCTCTTTTTGACGCCAATAACTCGCACCGCATCACACTCATCCACCACACCGCATCACACTCATCCGCCAACCGTGGGCTGTACCTGAGTCATACCCATCTGGTGATGGGGGCTCTCTGGCGCCTGTGCTGGCAGTGCTGGCAGGGGAGCAACTGAAGTGCTGTGCTGCCTCTTGGTACCTGATAAGTGGGTTGCTGTCTGATGTCTGATCAACTAAGCAAATTGGGTACACTGGGAAGCACAGTACACTCCACTCCTTGTGGTTAGTTCATGTTGCTCTAGTGGTGCGAATAAAGAGCATACGGTGGTGGGATACACTCTCACCTCTTTCTTTGTTCGTTATATTGCTCAGTAAGCTTCAAATCAGGCACCCTGGTGGGAAGGGAAGCCTACTTGACTTGCATAGCACTCAATGCCGTTCACCTGTCCTGTCTGCTTCACGCCCAGCTGTCAGCACCAGCACCAGCACCAGTGCACCACTCTGCCCCATGCCATGCCCCACCATCACACATCTACCTATCTGCCCATCTGTCCGACCAATGCCTCTGTGCCGTCACGCCCCTGCCAGCCCCATCACATCTATACTGTCATCATCCCCTATCTTCCCCATCCCACACCCGCAGCCTGCCCCAGCCTGCACCATCACCTGGTACGAGTTGGTTTTCGAGAATTATCAAAAACCAACTCCCACACCCGCAGCCTGCCCCAGCCTGCCCCATCACCTGGCGCCACTCTGCACCTAAGCACTAGCCTGCCCCATCACTTGATGGCGTTTGATCAGCGGCAGCAGAAACACAATCAACGAGTTTATAGGCCCACTCCTGAGGCACCTCAAAAGGCCTCTCTACGCCCCTGCCTGCCCCATGACCCTATGCCGTTTGATGAGCTGCAGCAGAAACACATTCCACGAGTCGATAGGTCCCGGCAGGCACCAGTGCAGGCAGTCCTGCGGGGGCGGATACTTGGAGTCAGGATGCTTCTTCCAGTGTTTCTCTAGCCCTGCAGTACTGTTCAGCCCTCTGTACGGCCCCGGATGCCCATCAACCCGCACCCCTGCACTTGGCATGATGTCCATTAAGGAAAACCGCCACTTGTAGTCATCTCCTCCCAATTCCTTGATAGCCTCGTTATAAGCTGCCTTCTGCTCGTTATAGACCGTGTTACCGTATGTGTTCTCGTAGGTGTAGTTGCTGCCGCGAGGCTCGGCCAGGCCTGCGCACGAGCCTCCGGTGTTCCACTGCCCGCCCTCGTAGTGGTCCGGGGAGTAGGTTCGGAAGACGAACAGCTGCTTCGGGTTCGCCTTGACAGCCGCTGCCACGTCAGCAAAGACCGTCCGAATGGCGATTGAGAAAGCAGCAGTGTTGTTCAGAGGAACCTGTATGTCCTTCAGAACATCCTTCTCTTTATCCCTCAGTATATCAGGCATCCATCTGTCACTGGCTGTTTTGTTGTCAACTGGAGACTGTGAATCTTCATTTGTAACCCTTCCCTCCAACCTCCTCCGCTGCTCCCTCTGTTGTTCCTGCCCACCGCTCTCACCTCCCTGCCTTTCCTGCTGCCCCACACTGGCTTCAGAAACACTCCCTTCCTCACTTCCTCCACCTCCTACCGCTTCCCCTCTCGTCTCCTCTCCTCCCACCCCTCCTCTCGCATCCCCATTCCCCATTCCTCCCGCCCCCTCCATCTCCTTCCCATGCTCCTCCCACCACCCGCCCTGTGACCCAACCACGCGCCCCCCCACCACAAAGAGCGCGGGCGTGACAAACCAGTGCCCCGTGCACAGCACCACTACATCATACCTCCCCACGTCCCCAAACCATTTCTCCCACGTCTTTTCCAGGTGCAGGCGCGGAAGCTTCGCAGGGGCGGAGGGCAGCGCGGAGGGGGGAGGGTCGGGGGACTCGTGCACGAGCCAAGCGGACCAGATGCGCGCTATGGTGACCTTGGCGCGCGGGAACACCATTCGGATGAGATTCTTGCTGCCCCGGAGATTGGGGGTCTCCACCTGGGTGTTTGTCAGGAGGAGAAGGGGAGGGAGGTGAAGGGTAGGGGAGGGGGGAGGGTCGGGGGACTCGTGCACGAGCCACGCAGACCAGATGCGCGCTATGGTGACCTTGGCGCGCGGGAACACCATGCGGATCAGATTCTTGTTGCCTTGCAGGTGGGGGGTTTCCACCTGGTGTTTAGTGCGACGGGAAGAGAAGGGAAGGGAAGAGGAGGGAAGGGGAGGGGAGGGGAAGGGAGGGGACGGACTCAGGGGCGCTTTAGGTCGAGCCATGCGGACCAGATGCGCACTATGGTGAGCTTGGCCCAGGGGAAGACCATGCGGATTACGTTCTTGTTGCCTCGCAGATGGGGGGTCTCAACCTGGATGACGGGAGGAAGAGAAGGGAGCAGGGAGCAGGGAGCAGGGAGCAGGGAGCAGGGAGCAGGGAGCAGGGAGCAGGGAGCAGGGAGCAGGGAGCAGGGAGCAGGGAGCAGGTTGAGACCCCCCATCTGCGAGGTTGACTTGAGATTAGTTTTGAGAATTCTCAAAACTAATCTCAAACGAGAAGGGAGCAGGGAGCAGGTTGAGACCCCCCATCTGCGAGGTTGACTTGACCACGCTGATTAGGCTCTTTCCCCCTCGCTCCCTTCCCCATGCCCCTCGTGCACCTCCCCTCCCATACCCTCCCCTCCCATGCCCCTAAATTTATCCCTTGTTGCTTACCTGACTCAGCAGGCAAATGAGTGACTCCATGAGGTTCCGTGCGACAGAGTCCCCAACGAACAGCACGCTCTTCCCTCGCATCAACTCCACTGCGTTGAATCTCGGCAGCGCCCCGCACTCCCCCCCCCTCCCCCCGCCCCCTTGAACCACTGCCGATTGCTCACCTGGCTGAGCAGGCAGACGAGCGATTCCATGTGGTTCCGCGCCACAGAGTCCCCAACAAACAATACACTCTTCCCTCGCATCACGTGCATGAACTCCACCGCATCAAACCGCGGCAGCGCCCCGCACTCCTCTCGCCCCCCCGGCCGCCACCGCCACCGCTCGTACGCGCTGTCGGGCCGGCCGTTGCCCTGGCAGTTCTGGTGCTGCGAAATGGTGGCGCACGTGTTGTTGGTGTAGAGCGGCGGGTCCAAGTCTGGCTGCCATGAGCCATGGTACAGGTCGCAGTCTGCAGGGACTGGTGAAAGGGGGTGGGGGAAGGAGGGGGGACGGGATCACCCAGGGGAACGAGGAGAGAGAACATGGGGATTCAATCTTGGTCTGGCCGCCACCGCCACCGCTCGTACCCACTGTCGGGCCGGCCGTTGCCCTGGCAGTTCTGGTGCGCGAGATGGCGCCGCACGTGTGTGTGTGTGTGTGTGTGTGTGTGTGTGTGTGTGTGTGTGTGTGTGTGTGTGTGTGTGTGTGTGTGTGTGTTTTTAATTTTAATTTTGGTGCCGCACGTGCTGTTGGTGTAGAGCGGCGGGTGCAAGTCCGGCTGTCACGTGCCATGGTACAGGCTGCAGTCCGCAGGGACTGGAGAAAAGGGCAGGGGGAGGTGGGAAGCTTTAGAGCGACCTTTCGCTTGCCACACCGCAGCAGCTTTGGCAACGCCAGAGCATGAGGGCGGTACGGAGGATTGGTTAAGCAGTGTGGTACAAGGTGAGGGGAAAGTGAGAGGGGGATATTGTCTGGATAAGTGGGGACGCTCTATCCGTTTCTTGAAAATTTTCCAACGACCTTTAACTTGCCGTCCGCCAGCGGCCAGAGGAATATGCGGAACGTGCGTGGGGAAATGGGTGGGGAAGAAAGTGGGAGGAAGACAAGACGGAGAAACAGAAGCTTCTGATTTGCGAACATACCGTCTAGTTGGACCTTCTCTTTGCCCTCCTCACGCCGCAGACGCTTCGTCACCTTCTCCTTCTCCGTCTCCTTCCTCTTCCCCTTTTTCTTCCCTTTCATTCCCTTCTTCTCCTTCGTCTCCTTCTCCTTCTTCTTCTCCTCCTCCTCCTCTTCATTCCCCACTTGCTCCACCTCAATCCCCCTCTTCTCCTCTTTCCTCTCCTCTACCTCTTTCTTTCCTACGCCTCGGCCCCCTCCCTCGCTCTCCACCACCACAATGTCATCCTGCCGCCCCTCCGATGATTTCTGGGTTCCCTCGGAAAGCCTTTCCTCTCCCTGACCATCTCCGTTCCCTCCATCTCCCATCCCTTCATCCCTCACATCGGTTTCCACTTTCACTCCAACGCTTCCCTCCCGGTTACTCTCACTCATGCTCTCCTCCTTGCCTCCATCGCTCTCCTCTTTTCCCATCTCCCCGCTGCTGTCTGCCGTTCTCTCCCCATTTGAGCCGTCCACCCCATCTCCCGCTTCCTCTCTACTTCGCCCACGATCAGGTAACCCGTTGTCGCCGCCCCCGCTCGCCTCTCCCACTCGCTCAACCGCTTTCTCTTGCTCCTTTTTCTCTGCATCGGGCAACCCTTGACTGCCCTCCTCCACACGTGATACGATCGCTTTTTCAGGCTCGCTGTCTACGCGTTCACTCGCTGCTGCCAAGCCACCGTGCGACGCTTGCGACGGTAACAACGACATCGGCGAAGACTCGACGACGATCTCCTCTCGCCACGGCTGCCGGTCCGCGGACTGCCACCTCCCGGTTTCACCTCCGCTTCGGCGCAGCAAGCCCCAGACGAGCAGGCACGCGAGGAGCGGCAGCACGAGGAACGAAAGAGTGCGTTTCGACTGGAATGCACGGATAATCCACATGAATACGCGGCCTACGCCGTCCTCCCTTCGTGATTTGGTGCGTGGAAGGAGATTGCCGCCGGAAAAGGCGGCTGATGGAGATCGATGTCCCGTGAAGAAGTAATTGCACGACTCGCTGCGCTTCGGCATCTGATTGAGAGATCCTGACCGTTGAGCGATTTCCGCGAGGGCTTTCGAAAGGAATGTCATGATGAAGGTTTTAAACGCAGAGATGTGCGGAGGTAGAGGTGAGGCAATGCACGGCTGTATGGGTAAACGCCTAGAATGGCACTCAGGAAGGAGAAAGCGCGAAAGGCTTTTGCCGTTACATCCTGGGCCGCGGAATGAGAGACCTTGCCGAAGCAGGTTCGCGGGTTATGGGAAATGAAACGATGAACTCAACAATAAGGAGGAACAATTTCAAACTCTGTAATTCTCAGATCTGATTACTTTGGAGCATTATTCCACACCCAGGAATCCACGATCATTCAGCCAACGTTCGAGACTTTCTAACGGAACTCCGTCCGCGATCCTTGAAATCAAAGAGTCGCCTCGACGTGCAGATGTCGTGATTAAGCTCCGAGCTTGAAAGCGAAATACATATTCTAAAAGCCTACTAGTGAAGTGAGAGAGACTGACCATGGAATAAGTTGCTGGAAAACGATGCGAGGAGTACGTAAGACTGATAAGCCAGATAGCCTCGCCGAGTCTATAAGGTATCTGCGCTTGGGGTGAGCCCTATAGCTTACCTAGAAGTCATCCAGCCTCGAGACTTGAGAGAGCTGGCAACCCAGACGGCATGCGGCAGGATCCGTCCGTCAGAGCGAACTGTCTGTTGTGCAATTGCCGACAGAATCAAAGGATCCTCCCTGAATTTCACTTCCCGCCTAAACTTATGATTGGCTGGTTGGTTCGATGCGCCATGGTAACTCTCTGACACTATCACGAACCCGCTTCAGCGCAAACCGTACAATGAAAAGCACTATTCAATCCAAAGCAAATCCTCCTTCCAGAAGAACTGTACACCATCAGGAATCAATCAAATTAGCTTAACACAGGTACCATTTGTACTAGCTCAGTACAAATGAAAGTAAAAATCTCGTAACGGATGAACAAATCACACCTCACTGGGCAGCTGCTGGCAACAGTGGGGAATGCACAGGTGAGGACGATGACGACGTCATGGACGAATGTGGACTGCACATGCCATCAGCTGGCGACAACAGGTGGTGCTGACGTGGCATCGTCAAAGCCTGCCTCAGGTGGATCTCCAGCCGTCTTGAACTGGACACATCCGACGGTTGAGACCGCTCAACCGAACTCCCATGATGCTGCCTCGGCTGAAGAGTTGACGTAGGAGCGGCGGATTGGGCGGCGGAAGAGGAAGAGGACGAAGAGGCGGTGGTGTGGGTGCGGGGAAGGGTGAGGTCGTCAGTTGCAGCAGCTACAGGGCTGTCTATGGAACACAGGGACTGCAGAAAAGGAGGGGGGGAAAGGAAAATAGTGAGAAATGGTTTGAACAGTGAACTAAAGTAGAATGGGTGGAGGGAGGGTGAGATCATCAGCTGCCGCAGCTCCGGGGCTGTCAATGGAGCAGAGGGACTGCAGAACAAAAAAGGGGGGGGGGGGTGGGGGTGAAGGGGGGCGGGGGGATGAGGGTGGTTTGAGGGGCGATGGGGAGAGGCAGTAAAAGAGAAGTTCGGTGCATGAGAAAGATAGGCAATAATTGGGGCGACGGGTGAGGTCATCAGGTGCAGCATCATTGGGGCGACGGGTGAGGTCATCAGGTGCAGCATCAACCGCACACCACCCCTTCTTACCGGTGAGCCAGTGAAGCTGCTGGCGCCGGATTCGCCCTCCTCGCTGCCCTCCGACATGATGGTGGGGAACATGGGGCGGCGCAGTGATCCCGCCCCCCTGCCTGCCCCCCTGGGCTGCACGGGCCATGCTGGCAGCACCCGTGGCTGTGGCTGTAGCGGGGGGAGGCTGCTGCGGCTGCTGCTGCTGCGGCTGCGAGTGCTGCTGCTGCTGCTGCTGCTGTCGGGGTGGTTGTAGGGGCAGCTGCTGCGGCGGCTGCTGCTGCTGCTGCTGGGGTGGCTGTGAAGGTATTTGCGGGGATGGCTGCTGCTGCTGCTGCTGCTGCTGCTGTTTGCTCAGTTGAGCCTGCTGGGTCTTCTGTGTTTGCGGCCCCTGCTGCTGTATCTGCTGTTCCTGCCGCACCTGGGTTGCTGGGGATGATGAGGACGCAGAAACCACCTCCCTCTCCTGCCTCTCGCCTTTCACATCTGAAGCTGCCCCACCTACCCCGCCACCACCACTGCACCCATTACCAGCCACTGCTCCCACTGACGAAACCTCCTTGGCCCCAGGTGACCGCAGCACCTTTCCCTCACTCCCACCACTACCCACACCGCCACCAGCACCCCCACCACCCCCTGAAACCACTCCACTAGGAGACGAATTCAGCTCCAAAGGTGGAGGCGGGAGGGCGTATAACTCAGTGACCTTGGGCGGAGAGAGAGCAGGAGCAGCCATCGCTGCATAATAGCTGTTACTCGGTCCAATCGGACCCGATTTGATCAGCCTCTCTCCCCGTATCTGCCCCGTCCCGCTGCTGCTGAACCCACCACTGCCACTGCCGCCGCCGCCGCCGCTGCCACTGCTGCTGCCGCTGCCACCAGCGCCGGTAAGGCCTGGAATGCCGGCCGAGGAGAGCAAACCACTGCCTCCGTAGAACGTGCTGCAGGCTATGGGGCCACTCAGGGCCTTGCTGGGTAAACCACCCTGGAAAACAGGCGAGGCTCCAAACCCTAATCCGCTGCTACTGGGCCCAAACCCGAATCCACCGCTACTGCCCCCAAACCCTAATCCGTCACTAGGGCTGGTGTTGAAACCGTAAGCAGGGTGGAAGGGGTAGCTTTGACCCACACCCAGTCCTGTTTGCACTCCCGTCGAAACTCCACCTGAAACCCCCCCTGAAACTCCCGTAGAAACTCCAGGTGAAATCCCCATTGAAACTGCTGTCGGAACTGCAGGCCCGGTGGCCCCTGTCGGGCCAGCGTAGGCATACCCTTGTGCTGGTCCCGTGGGAGGAGTGGCAGCAGTGGCAGAACCTGGTGGTGCTGCGCCTGGGGCTTGGCTGGGGGTAGTTTGGAGGGGTTTTATGAAGATTGGCGGTTGGAAAGGCATTGCAGGTTGAGTGGACATGGGTGGTTGAGAGGGGATAGGTGATTGGGAGGACATAGGAGGTTGAGAGGGCATGGTTCCTAGAACGTATGCCTGCTGGAAACTGGATGAGAAGGCGGGTGCTGACGACGGGGGGTAGGAAGCGGAGGGAGGGAAGGAGGAAGGAGGGTAGGACGCAGAGGGATCAAATAAAGCCATGGCTGCTCCTGCTCCTGCTCTTCCCACTCCTGCTGTTCCTGCTGCTCCTGCTGCTCCTAACGCTGACCCAGCGCCACCACCGCTGCCTCTCAGAATGGGCCCCGAATGGCTTACTCTCTTCGCTGGGGCCTGATGCCCGGGCATAGGCATGGTTGCACCTCCAGTCAGCCCACCTGTGAATCCACCTGCCAAACCACCTGAAAAGCCTCCTGCCAATCCACCTGAAGGACCTCCTGCTAATCCACCTGCTGGGCCTTCCCTGCTGGCAGAGCCAAAGCTGAACCGCCCTCCCACACCTCCGCCTGCTCCACCTGCCGAACCACCCGCCGAGCCGCCTGCCGAGCCACCTGCCGAACCGCCTCCAGAGCCTGTAGGAATGGTAGTAGAAACGGCTGTAGCAGCCGCAGCAGCAGAGGCAGCAGCACCTCCTGCTGCAGCCTGCTCAACAGCAGAAGGGCGGGGAAGCGGGCCAGACATTTGCATGGCGAAGGGACCCACGTGTGCTGCTCTCCCCCTCAACCCACCCCCACCCCCCGCTGCTGCTGCAGCCACAGCAGCTGACAGCACAGGTGTTTGTAGCACAGCAGCAGCAGGTAGAGGTGCTGGGGGAGTGGGAGTGGCAGCAGCGGCAGCAACAAGTGCAGGGAAGGAAGTGGCGCATGGAGCAGCAGCAGAACCTGGGGCACCTGGCGCGTTACTTGAAGGATTCCCTAGGGTACTGCCTGGAGCTCTGAGAACGGAGGGAGTACCCATATTTGCTCCAGGTGCTGCTGCTGCTGCCGCTGCTGCCGCTGCTGCAGGAGTGGTGGTTGTAGCACCGCCAGCAGCAGCAGCAGGAGCGTGAGTGGCAGCAGCGGCAGTGCTAGGGAGGGCAGACGGTGAGAAGATGGGGCCGGACTTTGACCGCGAGTGGGGTCGGGGGTTGGAGGAGGAAGCGGAGGAGGAGGAGGGAACAACGAGGGTGGACGAGCCTACAGAGGAACTTTGCAGGTGCGTATTTGCTCTCCCAACACGCATTTGCTGCCCCCTTAGCTGCTGCCCCTGAGAATGCTGCTGCTGCTGTTTCGCCTGTTGCTGCTGTTGTTGTTGGTGAAGCTGCGTCACTTGCTGCTGCTGTGGCTGCCTGTGCAGAAGCTGTTGTGGCTGGGGAGCCACACCCAAGGTCTGGTTACCAGCAGCAGCGGTTACAGAACTGCTGCTGCTGCTGTGGGGGCTATCGGAGGACTTGCTTCGGGGAAAGCCAGGGTGCAACCGTCTCCTCGCCTGCTGTGGCAGCATGTGCAGCTGCTGCCCTTGCTGCTGCTGCTGCCTTACAGCCACCTTATGCTGTTGCTGCTGTTGCTGTTGCTGCCCTAGTGGCTGTTGCTGCTGCTGCCCTTTCTGTTGCACTAGATGCTGCTGCTGACCCTGACCAGCGTGCTGCTGCACCACCCTTGCAGAACCAGCTGCAGATGCTGCAGCTATAGCAGAGGAACAAGGAGCAGCAGCAGCAGGTGTAGGGACAGCAGGGAGCGGCGCCAAATACTCGCTTTCAGCTGACCTGTTACGGGGAAGAAGGGGCCTAGACGTCACAGAGCCGTCAGGACGCACAACGGGCCTTAGAGGGGCTGAATAGCTGCTCCTGCCCCTCCCTCTACTTGCATCCTGTGCTGCCGCTGCCGCCGCTGCCGCTGCTGCTCCTGCTGCTGCTGCTGATCCTGATAATGATGCCGCTGCAGCAGGTGTTACTGCTACTCCTGGGCCTTGAACAGTGGCAGGTCCTGTGATGGAGGGGTGCGCTGCAAAGGCAGCAGCAGCAGCAGATGCAGAAGCAACAGCTGGAGAGATGGTGGTGGTGCTGCTGCTGCTAGTGGTAGTGGTTTGGGTGGAGTGGGATGGAGGAGGGGAGGGCAGGGGCGTGGAGGTGGGGGGAGCAGGGAGAGGGGCGGAGGTGGGAAGCGAAGGCAGGGGGGCGGAGGTCGGGGGCGGGGGGAGTGTGGTGGATGTGTCTTGAGATGAGGTGACCTGCGCCACACTGCCTGCTGCCACGCCTCCCCAGTCATCATCCTCGTCATAATCACCCTCATCAACGCTACAAAGCAGCGGCACGCCCCCCATCCCCAGCTCCTCCACCAAATACCCCATCATCCCATCCAGCTGCCCCAGCTGCAGCTGGGATCGTCTCAGCAGCCGGCTCTTCGCCACGTGGTGCCTCACTACCTGAGAGAGTAGCGCCCTAGGCCGCCTCTGCTCTAAGGCGAGTATCCTACACCCTAGGGTCATTGCTACTTCATCGAATTCCTCCTTGGCTGCTCGTTCTTCTTCGCCCATCTCCTCCTCTTCCTCCTCCTCATCTCTCTCCCCCTCCTCTGGCTCTCGCCTGCCCCTGCCTCGTGCTGCCTCTCCTTCCCAGTCCGTCTCGCCAACTGATGCTGTTCCTCTTGCCACTGCCGCCGCCCCTACTCCGCCTGCTACTGCTGCTGCTGATGCAGAACTAGCTCCGCCCCCTCCCCCTCCCCCACCCCCGCCCCCGCCCCCACCTACCCCACCCCCACCTCCGCCCACCCCTCCAGTGCATCCAATGCGTGTAGTAGCAGGGGATGGCAAATGGGTGCGCGCTGCTGCTCTGGCCTCTGCGTACGTGCGCCTGAAAGAGACACGTGTGAGGGGAGCCAGCAGGAGGGGGGGTTGGGAAGAGATATGATTTTCAGGCACCTCCAGATTCGTGGGTGCGTGCTGCTCTTTTGGCTTCTGCATGTGTGCCATGGAATGGAAAGCCAAAAGGAGAAGGAAGCCAAAAGGAGAAGGAAGCCAAAAGGAGAAGGAAGCCAAAAGGAGAAGGAAGCCAAAAGGAGAAGGAAGCCAAAAGGAGAAGAAAGCCAAAAGGAGAAGAAAGCCAAAAGGAGAAGAAAGCCAAAAGGAGAAGAAAGCCAAAAGGAGAAGAAAGCCAAAAGGAGAAGAAAGCCAAAAGGAGAAGAAAGCCAAAAGGAGAAGAAAGCCAAAAGGAGAAGAAAGCCAAAAGGAGAAGAAAGCCAAAAGGAGAAGAAAGCCAAAAGGAGAAGAAAGCCAAAAGGAGAAGAAAGCCAAAAGGAGAAGAAAGCCAAAAGGAGAAGAAAGCCAAAAGGAGAAGAAAGCCAAAAGGAGAAGAAAGCCAAAAGGAGAAGAAAGCCAAAAGGAGAAGAAAGCCAAAAGGAGAAGAAAGCCAAAAGGAGAAGAAAGCCAAAAGGAGAAGGAAGCCAAAAGGAGAAGGAAGCCAAAAGGAGAAGGAAGCCAAAAGGAGAAGAAAGCCAAAAGGAGAAGAAAGCCAAAAGGAGAAGGAAGCCAAAAGGAGAAGGAAGCCAAAAGGAGAAGGAAGCCAAAAGGAGAAGGAAGCCAAAAGGAGAAGGAAGCCAAAAGGAGAAGGAAGCCAAAAGGAGAAGGAAGCCAAAAGGAGAAGGAAGCCAAAAGGAGAAGGAAGCCAAAAGGAGAAGGAAGCCAAAAGGAGAAGGAAGCCAAAAGGAGAAGGAAGCCAAAAGGAGAAGGAAGCCAAAAGGAGAAGGAAGCCAAAAGGAGAAGGAAGCCAAAAGGAGAAGGAAGCCAAAAGGAGAAGGAAGCCAAAAGGAGAAGGAAGCCAAAAGGAGAAGGAAGCCAAAAGGAGAAGGAAGCCAAAAGGAGAAGGAAGCCAAAAGGAGAAGGAAGCCAAAAGGAGAAGGAAGCCAAAAGGAGAAGGAAGCCAAAAGGAGAAGGAAGCCAAAAGGAGAAGAAAGCCAAAAGGAGAAGAAAGCCAAAAGGAGAAGAAAGCCAAAAGGAGAAGAAAGCCAAAAGGAGAAGAAAGCCAAAAGGAGAAGGAAGCCAAAAGGAGAAGGAAGCCAAAAGGAGAAGGAAGCCAAAAGGAGAAGAAAGCCAAAAGGAGAAGAAAGCCAAAAGGAGAAGAAAGCCAAAAGGAGAAGAAAGCCAAAAGGAGAAGAAAGCCAAAAGGAGAAGGAAGCCAAAAGGAGAAGGAAGCCAAAAGGAGAAGGAAGCCAAAAGGAGAAGGAAGCCAAAAGGAGAAGGAAGCCAAAAGGAGAAGAAAGCCAAAAGGAGAAGAAAGCCAAAAGGAGAAGAAAGCCAAAAGGAGAAGAAAGCCAAAAGGAGAAGAAAGCCAAAAGGAGAAGAAAGCCAAAAGGAGAAGAAAGCCAAAAGGAGAAGAAAGCCAAAAGGAGAAGAAAGCCAAAAGGAGAAGAAAGCCAAAAGGAGAAGAAAGCCAAAAGGAGAAGGAAGCCAAAAGGAGAAGGAAGCCAAAAGGAGAAGGAAGCCAAAAGGAGAAGAAAGCCAAAAGGAGAAGAAAGCCAAAAGGAGAAGAAAGCCAAAAGGAGAAGAAAGCCAAAAGGAGAAGGAAGCCAAAAGGAGAAGGAAGCCAAAAGGAGAAGAAAGCCAAAAGGAGAAGAAAGCCAAAAGGAGAAGGAAGCCAAAAGGAGAAGGAAGCCAAAAGGAGAAGGAAGCCAAAAGGAGAAGGAAGCCAAAAGGAGAAGGAAGCCAAAAGGAGAAGGAAGCCAAAAGGAGAAGGAAGCCAAAAGGAGAAGGAAGCCAAAAGGAGAAGGAAGCCAAAAGGAGAAGGAAGCCAAAAGGAGAAGGAAGCCAAAAGGAGAAGGAAGCCAAAAGGAGAAGGAAGCCAAAAGGAGAAGGAAGCCAAAAGGAGAAGGAAGCCAAAAGGAGAAGGAAGCCAAAAGGAGAAGGAAGCCAAAAGGAGAAGGAAGCCAAAAGGAGAAGAAAGCCAAAAGGAGAAGAAAGCCAAAAGGAGAAGAAAGCCAAAAGGAGAAGAAAGCCAAAAGGAGAAGAAAGCCAAAAGGAGAAGAAAGCCAAAAGGAGAAGGAAGCCAAAATTAGAAGGAAGCCAAAAGGAGAAGGAAGCCAAAAGGAGAAGGAAGCCAAAAGGAGAAGGAAGCCAAAAGGAGAAGGAAGCCAAAAGGAGAAGGAAGCCAAAAGGAGAAGGAAGCCAAAAGGAGAAGAAAGCCAAAAGGAGAAGAAAGCCAAAAGGAGAAGAAAGCCAAAAGGAGAAGAAAGCCAAAAGGAGAAGAAAGCCAAAAGGAGAAGAAAGCCAAAAGGAGAAGAAAGCCAAAAGGAGAAGGATGGGGCAGGGCATGGGTGTGCGGGGCAGGTGCGTGAGTGAGCAAGTGAGCGTCGGTCAGAAACAGATGAACAGATGCCCATGGATGGGGAGGGAAGGAACGGACGATAGCACAGGAGGGCACAGATAGCACAGGAGGGCACAGATAGCACAGGAGGGCACAGATAGCACAGGAACGAGCAGAGCAATGCGTGACTCACCTCTTTGCCTCATACAGCTTCCTTGTCTCCTGCTCACCCACACACACAGTGAAGAAAGCAGGGAGAATGAAGAGCATAATGGGGAGGAGGAGGGCACTACACACAAGGAGAATGTCTTTGTACAACACAGAGACATGGAACAGAGCAAAGAGTACAGAACACATGGTGAGAGCTAGGTTCTCTCAATCAGAGGAACACACGGTGAGGGGCAAGCCGCATGCAGTGAAGGCCAACGCACAGAGCAGGAGAAACGGTGCTGCAAGGGATAAAAGCTGTAAGGGGAGAGCGCAGAGAAGCAGTGGGCTCGAAAGAGGTGGGACTAAAGGCCCTCCACGCACCTCCACTTGGTGGATTTCCACTAGCAGAGACTCGGTTGGCTCTGCTATGGACTGTGCTAGATGCATGGCCTGGTAGGGGCGGATGCATGTACACATGCACACACACACGCACACGCGCGTGCACACACACACACATGCGCGCACGCACGCACAAACACACAGGCGCACACACACACAGCCATTCAAAAACACGCAGACACACAAGTTGATTCACATGTGCGCAGCAGGACCAGGAACGGAAGCAAAATTCTAGTGGCGCCTCGAAACAATTCCGCAGCACACGGCTGACCGGGGGTGGGGGGGTCATGCTTGCGCCACCCACACTGGAAGGCCTGAGGCTTAAGCTACTCCATGGAGACCCAACTACAGACAGCACTGTGGTACACGCGTACATAGTAATGGAAGAGCTGTCCGATGCGGTCCTCCACCACAGCTACATGCTGAAACACCTCGCCTACGTTACCGTCCTCTATAGCGCCAAACGCACCCGCCACAAACGAGGACAGCTCCCGAAACGCGTCAGAGAACTCTGGAGGGGAAACGGAGAGGCAAGCGGAGAATCAGCAGAGGGGGAGGAAGGACGATAAAATTAAAGCATGTTCTGTGAGACGTATGTGCCTTGTCATACATCCATCCACCCACCCATCCCATCCTCCCTCCCACCCATCCACACACCCATCCACCCACTCACCCACACACACATTCACCCAACCACCCATCCATTCACCTACAGCGCGCTGCTGCGCGTTGGCGACGCAGCACAGCGGTTCCTCGTACAGTCCAGGCCAACACCCACCCCAGTGATTCATCCACACGTTTATCCACCCATCCACACATATATCCACCCATCTACACACCTATCCACCCATCCATTCACCTGCAGCGCGCTGCTGCGCGTTGGCGACGAGAAACAGCAGCCCCTCGTACTTGTCCCGCATCTCGCGAACCTCCTGCGAGCGGGGTGGACGGGCGACAGACGAAAGCGAGGTGACGAAACAGTCACCTCCTGCCAGAGGGACAGACGGCCGACAGATGAAGGCAACTGCGGGAACGAGTCTCAACGCACGGGCTAAACGCTGAGTCAAGGTGAGTCATGGTGAGTCATGGTTAGTCATGGTGAATAAATGCGGGGCAGGAAACGGGACAGAGAACAAACCGCGACGGTGTGTCTCGAGGTGATTTATAACGCGAGTCGACAGCGCTTCGAGAGACGTGAGGAAGTCTAGAAGCGGCTGCCGTCAAGGAAACTTGTCTGAATGCAACTACGACGCAAGCAACATATATCTAGCTGCAAGAAATATTCTCGAGTTGGCTTGAGAGTCATTCCTTACTACACCAGGTGGAGAAAACATTTTCCACAGCAGCTATACAAGGTCGCCAGGGTTATTGGGCCGACTCGAACGTCGCAAGGACTCGAACGTCGCAAGGACTCGAACATCGCAAGGACTCGAACGTCGCAACGACGTGGCTGACCTGCATGCCGCGGCGGAACTCGTCCTCTATCGACGCCGTCTGCGGCGTCAGCGGCGGGCCGAACGAATCCCCGTCGAGCGCGTCGCTATCGACATACTTTCCGAATCTCCCGGGAACGTCAACCTCCACGAACGGAAGGCCTCTTCCGCTCTCCGCTCCACCTTCCTGGACCTTTCCCTTCCCTCCCATCAGTTTCTTCCACTTCATGTTCTTGCTGTAATTAAAGTTACCTCGATACTTTGTCTCCGCTAGAGGCACACCAAACCTACACTATAAGGACCGAAACCGTGAGAACTACTAACGACAACCTTGCGCGCTTTTCTACATGGAACGTCTGGAATAATCTGATCCAAAGGTAGGAAGGATGAGGCAGTTTGGAAGAACTTGAGACCTGGGTTTTGAACTTATCATTTACGAAGGCTGGGTGTACTTCAGTCTCTGATTTGTACCTCAAGGGATTGGTGTGGTGCTGCTGGGAACGTCACGGAACAGCAAAAACACAACAAAGCCGAGACTAGACTGCTTGTCATCAGACGAAGGGGACGACCTACTCAAGTTGGTTGGTGGTGGTACGGATTTGGAGGTTGAGCGTAAGAGGGTAAGTCAGAGAAAGCGTAGCAGTTGGGTTTAAATCGCCGCCATGGCTCCTCGTCTTATCACACCACGGCCCAGTTTGGCAGGCATCAAAAAACCGGGCGAGGGGGATGGGCTACAGTGAACCGACCACCCTGGAACCTTCCCTCATAAGCGTGTGAGATATTATCAAGGTTCGATATAAGCGGACTACGCCGAACCTAACAATAATGGAATGCCAACCAAACACCCCGTTATCCGATGGCATTTCCAACTGACCGTTTCTTCAACGACCCCATTTTCCCTAGCAAAGAGCCCATTTTCGGACACCCCGCACCATGCGGCCTCGAGGCCCCGCACCATGCGGGGTATCAGTGATTCGGGGCAATCAAAAGTGACTGCCAGCCAATCACATTATCACGCGCAACTGCCTACCATCTTCTGCGAAACCCTAAATTTCGATTGATGCCATCAATCTACACCCAATTAATGCCAACCAAACACTCAGACCCATTTTTTCGAAGGTGCACTGCAGCTACAGTCCGATTTTTTCGAAAATGCCCAGGTGGCATTTTTTGGGGGCCCGTTAAAAATGCCCATCATGGCCATAATGGCCATGATGCCTGCCAAACTGGGCCCACGTGAGTCAGTGAGAACAGTACACTCGTGTTGCATTGTACAGTACCTCGGACCGTACTGTACGCCCCTAGAGGTTGTCATGTCATCAATTTTGATAAGTTCGGTTCGGGACGCAAACCCCTAGGCCATCGATTGGCTTCCTCGATTTTCTCCTGCCTGACAGAACCTGCATTTTGCCTGTGATTGTACGGAGCGCCTGTGGGAATCTCGCTTCCAGGGGGCAGGATCTGGTGCTGTAACGAGTGAGGGTGCGTGCGAGACAGATTTTGTACACCGCCTTGAAACCGTTCAGTTCCGAGCCTGCGTGGCTGTGGGAGGTGATTGGTCTCCCAGCAAACTGACGCTCCGTCACGACAGAGACGGAAAACTAACGAGCCAACCGACAACTGTGAGTTCTCCCTGAATCGAACCACATGTACAATACAATTCATTATCACCTTTGCACCAAAAAATACAACCTTCTTTGACCATGAGAGATTTAACACAATGTATAAGCCGCCTGGGTCATTTAAATGGTTCCAGAATGTTTTCAAACCCAGTGTTATCAGTTCATATTGCTGGATTTATAGCCTATTATTATATTAATATTCAATGACATTTTATGGAAAAATATGGGATCCTTCATCATATTAGAATTGTTTGTCTATAGAGTTTTATAAATAAATTACCTTATAATTCTATAAGGATTGTTAGCCCTTTAAGCAGAGGGTTTACTAGAGCCTGTAGACATTTCCAAGTTTGTAAAATGATGTATGTACTCTTGCAAGAGTAAACACACTTGATTGACATTAACACATTTCATTTAAGCGAGACGCGCTATTTCATTCGAAAGTTCTCTCATCCGTGCGGATTTCAGTCGTTAACGTGGCGTCATTCTGTAGCCCCATTGAATCCTTGATGTCATTCTTTGGCTCTGCCAGCAAGGACGCTCCACTCAGCAGTGAGGCATTGCCGCTCCTGCTGACATCAGCATCACGGGGGATCAGTTGGGCCGAGCGCATCTGTGTCCATGTCAGCAAGTCCCTCGATTTCGATTCCATAATTTGGAGATGGCACGGGGGAAACTTCTTGGTGGTGGAGGGGGCATCAGGAAAATCTGCCTGAACTCTGAACCATGAGATGGCATGGCCTGACCAGGCCCTGAAAATTGACTAGAATAGAGAAATTTTGTTACAGCGGACCAAGCAGGAAAGAAGCTGAGCTTTGCCTGCGGGCATCATATTAGCAAGACGAAGGCATTTCTTGAAGTGCATTCAAGAAACTGGGCTCAGTTCTTGATTCAGGACGTGTTGGTGCTTCTAGGCCCTTGAACTTTCCAGTTCTTGCTATTGCGAGCTAACTATTCGTGAGCCATGGCGACTCAAGCTGCGACACTAAGCGGAGCTAGTGCTCTTGTCGGAGCCGCTGTAGGCAAGGGAGTGAAGAAGCAAGCGGGTGTTTCCAAGAAGCTGAACCAGGCGCGGTTGTCCGTGTCCGCGTCAGCGTCTTCGAAAGACAATGAGGTTGCTATAACGTGATGATGTCGTCACGATGCATATCTGTTGTGAAATTGACACTTGCACTGGAAGGTTCATTACGTGTCCGATTGTCAAAATGCCCATGACATCTCGGAATATTCGCAGACGCATATTGGCAGTAGACATCATGGCTTTCTTCTTTCCCCTTTTTCTGCATTCCGTCGTCACGTTCACCTTTCAACTCCTCGTTTATGGCATGTCACAGTAATCAAATTATGGTCCATGTTATTTTTCCCTGTCCAGCCAACTTCCTCCACCAACCTCTTCTCAAAGCTGGCCACTGGCCTGGCGGCAGTAGCGACGACAATCTCCCTCACCGCTGGTCCGATGGATGCCGTCGCTCTCGCTGCCGGCACCCCCGCCATCAACCCGGCCATCCCGGACGTTGGCGTGCTTATCAAGGGTCAGCCAATCAAGGACGCGCGCGCGCTGCTCCGGTACGCGCTGCCTATCAACAACCAGGCGATTAAGGAGGTGCAGCAGCCGCTGGAAGCCATCACTGAAGATCTCAGGCTGCCTGGCGCGAAGGCATTCGACCCAGTCGAGAGGGTAAGGACCGGGTGGTAAACCCATTCAAAATTCTCTTTCCCTCTAGCGCGGAAGCATGCGTCTAGCCGCTCAAATGTTAGCAGCTTCCTTGAAGTCAGAAGGAGGCGTCTCAAGTGTCGTAACGAATGACTGCCTTCTATTTCCTCTCCCTCTTTTCAGCAAATCATCCTCATTCCGTTCCCCGTTTCATCCCCCCTCTTTCTATCGCCCCCACTTTACTCCTCCCCTCCCGGTCCCCTCCACGCGCCTTTCCTGTTCGCCTTTCCGCTTTCTTTTCTGTTCGCGCGTGCACAGAACATCCGCCAGGCCAACCGCGTGCTGAACCAGAGCAAGGACAAGATTCTGGCGGGCGTGGCGGAGAAGAACAAGGCCGAGGGGCGCGAGCTGATTGAGAAGCTGCAGGACGGGCTGCAGGAGTTCCAGAAGATCGTGGAGCGCCGCAACCGGGAGAGCATCCAGCCCAAGCAGAAGGAGCTGCTGGCTATCGTCGGCGAGTGAGTGTGGAAAGAAAGAAGAGGGATGATTCTCGGAGGGAAAGGGTGGCTTCCAGAAAGGTGACGCCAAGGGATTGACGCGTTTTTAGGAGTTGCGGAGCAGTTTTGAGTGCGGGCAGGACGCCATCCAATCCAGCTCAAGCAGTAGAAACTGTTGGCCGTAGTCGGCGAGTGAGTGACGGGTGTATGCGCGGATGGGAGGAGAGACTTCGGGTTGAGAGAAATTAGGCTATCGGGGAAAGGGTGACAGGGGATGGTGCTCCGGGATTTTATGCTGTGGAGCGCGACGCAGGGAGCAGCCAGTCTGAGAAGAAAACTCTGTGTGAGGACAGAATACTGAGCAAAAGAGTGTTGCGAGAGGAGCTTCTGAACATGGTGTATTTCCTCTCGTCTTCCCTCCCCGTCTTATTTCCTCTTCCTCTCTAAGCCTCCCTTCCTCTTTCGTCTTGATGCCGATGCCTCACCCTCCCGCCACCGCCCTTACTATTGAGAAGGCGATGGTCGGGTTCCTCACAGGCCGCTTCACAGCCCCTAAAATCGTTTGTTTTCGCATTGCGTTTCTTTCCCACCCCCACTCCACCCTCCACCTGCAGCATTGAAGAGGCGATGGTGGGGGCATTCCCGTACGAGATCCCAGCGGAGTTCAAGGGGTCCCCCGTGCTCAAGGGGCGCGCGAATGTGGAGATGGTGGTGCGCCCGCTCAACAACCCCAACCTCCGCGAGGTGGTCTTTGAGATCGTTGTGGATGGTTACAACGCGCCGGTTACCAGCGGTAACTTTGTGGACCTGGTGAAGAGGGGCTTCTATGACGGCATGGAGATCCAAAGAGGTGGGTACTGTTGCCATGCCATGTGCCACCTTCTGCTCTCTTCTTCCAAACGTCCCGTGGGAATCCAAGCTTGCAGCATTGCACTACGTGTACCTCAACTTTTCTCTCGCTCCCCTCAACCCCCCACCCATTTGTACTCCTTCGTGTGCTGCTTCCCTTCCTGTGCTGCTTTCCTCGCAGCTGATGGCTTTGTGGTGCAGACTGGAGACCCCGAGGGGCCTGCAGAGGGCTTTGTGGATCCTGCCACGGGCAAGGAGCGCAGGATTCCTCTGGAGGTGTTTGTCGAAGGGGACAAGGAGCCCGTGTATCATGACACCTTGGAGGTGAGCAACTTGAGACGTCTCAAAACAGGAGCGCAGGATTCCTCTGGAGGTGTTTGTTAAAAGGGGACAAGGAGCCCGTGTATCATGACAGCTTGGAGGTGAGAAACTTGAGACGTCATGAAACAGGAGCGCAGGATTCCTCTGGAGGTGAGACTTGAGATGTCTCAAAACAGGAGCGCAGGATTCCTCTGGAGGTGTTTGTAGAGGGGGATAAGGAACCCGTGTGCCATGACACTCTGGAGGTGAGACTTGCAGTGAAACCACATCAAGCACACCAACAGACATGGGGAGCTGCTACACATCAAGCACGATGGACCATCGAACCATTCACTTCTGACTCTCTCATTTCGTAGATGTAAGAATTGTTGGGTCAATACAGTTGTGTCACACCCCTGAGACTTGCGGCTCATGCAATTTGGTAGCTCTCGTGTCAGCCTATCCATCCATAGCACTGTCCGTCCATGAGCCATGCGTGTTTCAGTCCCTGTCATTTTAACCCATCTCAGCCCGTCTTCCTGCCTGATGTGCTGCAGGACCTGGGCAGGTACCGTGCTCTCCCCAAGATTCCATTCAACGCCTTCGGCACCATGGCCATGGCCCGCGAGGTATGTCCGATTCGTGAATCTCGTGCAGTCTCACCTTTTCCTCCCTCTGTGCCGCTGCCAGCATCTCAATGTCAGTTTTGAATGTTTGTGAAAAAAAGAAAATCCTTTGACCATACGCTCAAATTGCAATCGCATGCTATTTCCCATAAAGCCTGCCTTGGTTGGATTCTAAAGGCAATTTTTTGTTTGCTTTCTTTCTGTTTCTGCGCAACAGGAGTTTGACAATGACAGTGCCTCCAGCCAGATCTTCTGGCTGCTGAAGGAGAGTGAGCTGACCCCCAGCAGCGCCAACATTCTCGATGGCCGTTACGCTGTCTTTGGTTACATTGTGGAGAATGCCGACTTCCTTGCCGACCTTAAAGTGGGGGATGTCATCTCGAGTATGAAGGTCACCCAAGGGCTTGACAACCTGGAAATTTTGAAATAGAGTGGAGGAGGCGTGCATGTCCTGGTCATGTATGAGGACCGAGGGACCACTCATTTTTGGCAGAGGTTTGTGTGCAGCATTTGTGCAAGAAGCAGCACGTCTTAATCGGGAGTTTCTCTGCTCGGGTTGGTTTGTTAGATCCTCCAGTGTCAGTTAGTGTTGTGAGGTTTTGTATGTATTTCGGCTGTTGATGATTCACTCAGATCTAAAGTGTGGAATTGCTAAAACTACACATGAAAGAGTGGTTGGTGTGTTTCTTCATAGGAAGTACTGTCCACCTCTACTTTTGCCTCAGGTCAAAAGAAATTCGTAACAATGTTATTCCGTATGCCTCATGAGGGTGACCGCTTTTTTTCCTCACTGAGTGACATATATATGCCTCACTAGAGCCGTTTGCACCACTTCATCCCACCATCAGAGTGGGTCCGTGCCGTATCAAACCAACTTTAGACGGAGCGACCTAGAACTAGAAACAGGCCCTGGACCTCCTGTTTCAGGAATCAGAAGGGAGGACCCAACAACACTGATGATCATGCGTGCAAGAACTCCTGGCTGCTCCTGCTTGCTCAACCACCCCGCCATGCCTACCGTCATTGTCGTCGGGCAAGATCAGGGTGAAAACGCGACTGTGCGATCCGCCTAAATTAACCTCCTTTTACGCTTCGCTTGCTTGCTTTCTCGCTTGCTGGACAACGGCTACCGACGAGCTTCACATTGACAACAACTGACGCGAGTATTAATCATCGCGAAAGCGTTATTCCTCAAACTTCCTTATTTAAGAGTTATTGATTGATCCAAAGCTTACCTCGCATTGTCGTCTCGGTGGTTTATATCGCGCATGGAAGCAATGGTTTCGCAGGGTAGCTTATCCTCTGACGACACGAAAGCGGTCAAGTCTTCCGAGCCTCATTGCCTGTCCAACGAGCAAAAAACCACCTCCGAAGGCTCTAATGGTTCTAGTGGCTCGAACCGCTCGGATGGTTTGAGTCGTTCGAACTTCTCGAATGGCTCTCCGGTCGTCGTGCTCTCATACCGTCAAGCTGCGCGTCTCGCCGCCATGTCGACCATGGTTCTCGCGCTGCTGCTCGCCGCTGCCTTCCATCTCGGCCGAATGTCCATCGGAGAAATCGCAGCCGTTGATTCGTCACACCTGAACAATATCCCCTCATCAAATGCAGTATCGTTCAGCGATGTCTCAACATCAATCTCCCCCGAAACCCCTCGGCGTCGCGTGCTGAGGTCCCGAGGCCGTCCCAGACCGGCCAAACTCGCCAAAAAACCAGCTCCCGCCGAAAATCCTGCTCCCGCCGAAAATCCTGCTCCCGCCGAAAATCCTGCTCCCACGGAAAAGCCTGCTCCCGCCAAAAAGCGCGCTCCCGCCAGAAAGCCTGCTCCTCGCAAGAAAAAGGCGCAAGCAGAGGCAAAAGTAGAGGTGAATGAGGAGGCGAAAGAGGAGAGTAAGAGCGGCGGAGAGATCAGGGAGGTGGTTGAGGTCCCGGCTGATCAGGCCGCTGCTGCTGACGACGATGCGGCAAAAGCGGCAGAAGCAGCGGCTGCTGCGGCTGCAGCAGCTGCGAATGGCGCTGGTGGTGGTGATGCAGGAGGGGGTGCTGGTGGTGCTGAGGCAGGTGGCTCTGCTGCTGCTGCTGCTGCTGCTGACTCTGCTGGAGAGCCTGCCACGCCTGCTGCTACAGTTGACGCGACTACTGGTGCGTCAGACGCCACAAGCTCCACGTCAGCTTCTGCGGAGTCCACGTCAGCGGCCCCTGCAACGACGGTTGACCCAATGACGTACTACACGGCGGAGGGGTTGCAGCGGCTGCAGGACCCGTGTGGGGGAATTGGTGGTGCCAGCGGGAATCCAGGCAGCAGCGGCAACCAGAGGTGCTACAATCGGTGCCACAGGCGAACGAGGTCTGGGTATTGTGTGAAGGAGCTACTCTCACTCTATGACGAGGCGTACAGGTGAGGTCAACGAAACTACCAAGTAGCATCTGTAGTACCTTGAAGTTAGCGCAGAGTTCACAGGCGAACGTGGTCGGGGTACTGTGCCAACGGGCTGTTCTCACTCTATGACGAAGGCATACTCGTGGGTGAGATGGTATGGTGAAGCAAGCACACAGGGCTTAACAAAACGTTCAGGTAGTTTCTATTCTATGCCTTCAAGTTAGCGCTCACAGGCTAACGCGGTCTGGGTACTATGTGAAGGAGCTGCTGTCGCTATATGACGAGGCGTTCATGTGAGGTCAAGAAAACGTTCAGGCACTTTAGTTTCCACACCTTCAAGCTAGCGTAGCGTTCACAGGCGAACAAGGTTGGGGTTTGCATCAAGGAGCTACTCTCACTCTATGACGAGGCGTACAGGTGAGGTCAAGGAAACGTTCATGCAGTTTAGTTTCTGTACCAGCTCGAGAGTGCAGCCTCCTTACCATTCCTCCTGCCACCCCATGCTCCCTCCACACCTCCTTCCCACACCCCCTCTCCACCCATCTCCCCTCGCCCTCAGCCCGCTGTGGCCGGCACAGGTGGACCTGGTGGTGCGCAGCTACCTGTCGGACAACTTCTTCCTCCTCCCATCCCCCACTCCCCTCCCCCCATCCCTCTCCCACCTCCCCCGTGTGGAACCTCGTTTTCCCCAACCAGCCCCTTATGGCCCGCAAGGGTCGACCTGGTGGTGCGCAGCTACGTGTCGGACAACTTCTTCCTCACGGCGTTCCTCTTCGCCAGCATCGAGCAGATGTGGCCAGCTGGCATTGGTGACGTCATCCTGGTGCTGGATGAAAGCGATCGCCACGTGGAAGACATCGTGCCGCCCTGGGTCAAGGTGGGTCAACGCCCTGGGTCAAGGTGGGTCAACGCCCTGGGTCAAGGTGAGTCAACACCCTTGGTCAAGGTGAGTCAAGGTCAGCGTTCCTCTCCTAAAGTCAAGGTGGGTCAACGCGGGTCAAGGTGGGCCAAGGGGGGTCATGGAGGGCATTGAACCTCCTTCCAACACTGAATTGCTTGCCTCTCATCTATCAGCAACCCGTTCCCCTGCCCTTTCCCTCCCAGTTTCCTCTCTGTGTACACTCTCCCTTGAACATACGCTGTTGTTGCTACGATGGCCAAACAAACTTCTTGCATGTTTATGTGTGTGCCGCTGCTTCACTCTCTAACTCACCAGATCTACTACGAGAAAGACTACCTGGGTCTGATCTGACGCCCAAGCTCCTGCAGCAGTGGAGCTGTCCTTTACCCACTTTCCTCAACCCTTCCACCACCTCCGTCCCCGTCCTGTGCTGCCCCCCTGCCCCATTGTCCCCTCCAACGAGTGATGATCAGATCTACTACGAGAAGAACTATCTGGGTCTGACGCCCAAGCTGCTGAAGCAGTGGAGCTACCTTCAGTTGCTGTAACCCTTCATTTGCTACCTTCCCTCCCATTCCCTCCCCTGCCTTCCCCACAAGCGGTGATCAGATCTACTACGAGAAGAACTACCTCGGTCTGACGCCCAAGCTGGTGCAGCAGTGGAGCTACCTGTGGGCTGACAACTACACCACCGCGCCCTACATCGCCATCATTGATGATGACGTCATCTTCAACCTCAAGGTTAGCCGCATGTGTGGGGCATTTGTGCATGTGTGCGTGCGTGCATGTCCACGCGCAGGTCCGACGTCTCTTTATCAAACATTCTTTCCTCGGCATTTTCGCATCAGTCATTCCTCTTCACACCCAAACTGCCACCCTCCCCTTCCTCCCCTCCTCCCCTCCCCATCTCCCCCTTCCCCCAGGTGACTCCTGGACTGCTCTTCAATTTAACGGACGGCAAGCCGTTCATGATCGGCAGCAAGAGCACGCAGGGGAAGAACTGGCGCACCTCCTCGCGCTACTTCGTGGGCCCCGGCCACTACCACGCCAACTTCATGGTGCAGCTGCCCTTCGTCTTCCCACGTGCTGTGCTGCCCAAGTTCCGAGACCACGTGGGGCAGCTGCACGGGCGCAAGTTCGGGGGGAGCTTCGATGCGGCCTTTAAGTTCTGGTCCGTGAGAGGACCCATTGCGGATCGTTCTCATGTCGCGCACACAACTCTTGGGAACTACATGTGGTTCTTTGCCAATGACTCGGTAAGCCCTGACCGTGCTTTTTGAGGCACTTCTGAATTAACGGGATGTGGTTCTTTGTCTGTAGAAACCGTGGTTAATTTCAAGCCAGAACTGTTCCTCACACTGTCTCTCATGTCCCCACTCTCTCATATCACAGGCACATTGGGCCTTCGAGTGGGAGTCCCGCACGCCCATCCCGCGAGTCGGTGTGCACATCCCCCACACTCACGAGTTCCGCAACGCCTCTGGCTCCGCTGCCGGCCCTCCCCAACGGCTTGTGAAGACTTATGTTGACTTGACCGGAACGTACGCCCATGAAGGGCTCTGTAATGCATTCCCGGAGGGGGAATTGGCTCATTGCGAGGATGCGTCGAGGGAGCAGAGCCAGATTTGGAGGTATGCTTTAAGTGGGAGCGAGTGGTCGATTTTCCAAAGCGGGACGGTGAATGGGACGGTGATGCACGATGATTATAAGTGGGAGTTGAAGTGCATGTATGAGCGCGTGGTGGGGGCGAAGACGGGGGAGTGGAAGGAGGATGTGGAGGGGAAGCGGCGGGAGCTGGTGAAGGAATTGACGAAGAACTGCATCGTTCCACACTCCAACAAGTACTGAGGAGCAAGTGCAGTGTAAGGTTAGGAATTTCTCCTCTGCTGTTTTATGGCTGGCATGAATTCTCTTTGCTTGGTTCTAATTTGTTTAGCAATGCTGGATTACAATGGTGATGTATCAATAAGGCGTGAGCTGTTCACAATGGCAAGCAATGCAAGATTGCTTTATGCAAGTGCAAGATTACAATGGTGATGTATCAATAAGGCGTGAGCTGTCATTCGTTATTTTCAGGGCTGTGCCTAACTGTATGTGTGATTCGCTTGGGAAAGCTAGTTCACTCATCTAGGTTAGTACGTCTCGCTATTGCACGAAATCACTGCTAGTTGGCTGCCATCCTTGGCAATTGTTCCTTTGCAAGGTTCGCTCTGGTGCGCGAAGGTCTAAAGCGGTGAAAAGTGTAACCGTTCCCAAACGTATCAAATCGCGTTAGACCCTTCCAATGTTTTAAAGCAGTCACCTCACCTCCCCCTCACCAGCCTCTAGAACGAATTCCCCTTGGGGAGTTTGTCTGGTAAGAAAGCCATCAACACATACAGCCAGAGATTAGCTGCTCCCGTTGAGGTATTCCACATAAAGCCAGTCTATCCCTCGACTCGTAGCCTGACGAGCCGCACGAATGCTCGCTCACTCACATATTCGTTCACAGGCGGCTGGTCCTTAGTTCCACGCGCACGTCGTCAAATGACGCGGCTTCTTCCACGCGTTCTTATCAACGACCTTCAGCTAGTTCCTGGGGGTCTGGCAACGATTAGATGGCATTGCAAGTACGATGTCTGCTGTTGTTTCTTGCGACTTGAGTTGTGAAATACAGGCGAACAGTTCCTTATTCGCAGCTCATCGCGTTTGCAAACGACGGGGATCGTTTCCCGTTCCCGCGTCAGAGCAGCTTGCATTTCCTAAATGACTTTGAACCTTTGAGGTGATTCAGAAGGCTCCTCGCGCTGAAAAAGGGATGAAGCGACTGAATGACGACCATCATCATGATGACGCTGCTGGAGTCGCTTCATCCGATGCTGTGATGATCATTTCGTGGCCACAGGCAGTGCGTCTGTTTGTCGGCTCCGCCGTAATTCTTATTATTCTCCTTTCGCTTGCTTTCCAGCTCGGTCGAATCTCGTCGTTGCGTCAACCACCACCGATCGATGCATATTATAGTTATGATAATTCTTTGTTAGGCTTCAAGAAGCTCACTCGGAACAGAATGTACGCACTGACGTTTTCCGTCAACTCGTCTCGACGTCGCATCCTCGTCTCTGACCCAGCGGATTCCAGGACACCTGAAACCCCTTCCGCTACATCGAATTTGTCGCAATTCTCGGCATTCGCAGACGGCGGTTCTGCATTACTAACGGAAACGTCAGCAGAGAGTAAACCAGCCGAATCTGGCAAATCTGACGAATTTGACTTTTGGAGTGAGCTTGCAGCTCACACAGCCGATGCCGGAAATTCTATTCTGAACACCACAGGTTCGAACCTTGTAGCGAAGGGAGCAGATGGAGTTTCAGAGGGGAGTAACGATCGCGGTTCAGGTGACAACAGTGTGAGTAGCGATGAGAGTGACGAGAGGTACTATACAGCGGATGGGTTGCAGCGGCTGCAGGATCCGTGTGGGGGGATAGGTGGCGTCAGTGACAAGGACAGCAGCAGCAATTACAGCGACAGCAATGGCAGCAGCTACAGCAGCAGTCGGAGGTGCTACAATCGGCGGTGCTACAGGCGAACGAAATCGGGGTACTGTGTCAAGGAGCTGCTGTCGCTATATGACGAAGCGTACCGCCCGCTGTGGCCGGCACAGGTGGACCTCCTGATTCGCAGCTACGTGTCGGACAACTTCTTCCTCACGGCGTTCCTCTTTGCCAGCATCGAGCAGATGTGGCCAGCTGGCATTGGTGACGTCATCCTGGTGCTCGATGAAAAAGACCGCCACGTGGAAGACATCGTGCCGCCCTGGGTCAAGGTGGGTCAACGCCCTGGGTCAAGGTGGGTCAACGCCCTGGGTCAAGGTGAGTCAACGCTCTGGGTCAAGGTGGGTCAACGCCCTGGGTCAAGGTGGGTCAACGCAGGTCAGCCAGCGTGGGTCCATGAGAGCTATCAGCCTGTTATCACCACACCAATCTTTTGCATGTTCACTATTTCTTTTGTTCCTCTTTCACGTTTTCCCCAGTCAGATTTATTATGAGAAGAACTTTTTGGATTTGCCCGGGAAAATACTTCAGCAGTGGAGCTACCTGTGGGCCGACAACTACACCACTGCACCATACATTGCCATCATAGATGATGACGTCATCTTTAACCTCAAGGTGAGCCGCAGATGGTATTGCTGAAAGGAATGATGCGTCATTCATTCATGGACCGACAACTTCACCACAGCACCATGGTTCACACCATCATGTATGATGTTTGGCTCATTGCCTGGCTGGCTGGCTCAATGTCCGGCTCAGTGCCCGGCTGGCTCAGTGCCTGGCTGGCTCAGTGTCTGGCTGGCTCAGTGCCTGGCTGGCTCAGTGCCTGGCTGGCTCATTGCCTGGCTGGCTTAATGTCTGGCTTAAGTTGTGGCTCGATGCTTGGCTGAAGATTGTCTCACTGACCGACTCGATTTCTAGGCAGAATCCTGGCCAATGGATGGCTCTCAAATCTCTAGCTTAATGCATGGCTCAATGCCTGGCTCCTCCCAGGTGACCCCAGGGCTGTTGTTCAACCTGACGGACGGCAAGCCATATGTGATCGGGCAGCAAGAACACGCAGTCAAATTAGTGGAAGCCTTCCCATCACCCTTCCCAACACCTTCAACCACCCCCCTCCCAGGTGACCCCAGGACTGCTGTTCAACCTGACCAATGGCAGGCCATACGTGATCGGCAGCAAGAACACGCAGTCAGACAACTGGAAGCCGTCCTCCTACTACTTTGTCGGCCGCTACCACGCCAACTACATGGTGCAGCTGCCCTTTGTCTTCCCACGCGCCGTGCTGCCGGGGTTCAGAAGGAGGGCAGCAAAGCGGCACAAGAAGGACTTTGATGCTGCAGTCAAGTACTTTGCAGATCACGGGCCGTCTTTTGCCAAGTGAGCTTTCAACATGGTAGTCCGGTTCTTTTGTCCATTTCCTGTCGCAAATTTTGTTCCGGTTTCTCATACTCCCCCACAACTTCCCTGACTTTCCAATCACTAGTTTTGTTGTCTTGTTTTGCTTTTAGTGTTTTTGTGTAACCCCTCCACATGTCCTCTTAATTGCAGGACTCAGATAGCACACACAACACTTGGCAATTATATGTGGTTTTTTGCCAATGAAACTGTAAGCACTGACTCTTTGCTCCGTGCATGATTGGACACCATCACGTGGATCTTAAACCACAGACATGCATGCCAAGCCACATACATTCATGCTACAGTACACACATTATGCCAAGCCACATACATTCATGCTACACTACACACATTATGCCAAGCCACATACATTCATGCTACACTACACACATTATGCCAAGCCACATACATTTATGCTACACTACACACATTATGCCAAGCCACATACACTCATGCTACACTACACACATTATGCTGAGCCTCACACATGCATGCCAAGCCACAAACATCTAGACACCTTTACCCACCTATGCTCCCCTTCTTTTCGTCGTCTACTCCAACTCTGAAATATATTTCACGCTCTTTCTGTTTTTTATTCTTTAACATTAGGTCCACTGGGTGCTTGAGTGGACGCCAGTTACACCGATACCACGAGTGGGTGTGCATATTCCTTACACAATGAAGTTTCGAAACATTACTGGCCATTCAGGCCCAGAACACCGGCTGGCCAAGGCATATGTTGATGTTGTGGGGTTCTATGCGCATGAAGGCATGTGCCATGCTTTTCCCGAAGGGAAATTGAGAAATTGTGAGGATGTTGCGGGCCCGCAGGACCAAATATGGAGGTACGCTATGGATTGGGATGATTGGCCCATGATACGAAAGCACGTGCAGGGTGCAAAGGTTTTGTATGATCGGTACCAGTGGGAACTACAGTGTATGTATAGCCAGGTTGTGTTAGCAAGAACGTGTGATTGGAGGGATGAGGTGGAGCTTAAACGCAAGATGTTGGCGGAGGAGTTGAGAAAGAAATGTATCGCTTCAATCTATACCGCATAGTTGCTTCTCTGATGGCTGTTTTGTCTAGAGGGTTTTGTGAAGACCAGAGAAAGCAAGCAAGCCACTCCGGCAACCAGCTTCTCCGCTTCACCCTGTTTTTGTTTTGAAATACCGGTATGGCGGAATGACTTTCACCTCAAGTGAAGGAGTCTTTACCGTAACGTACAGTAGAAACCCGTTTCTGGAAACAGTTCTGCCTTCCCCAGATGTGAGTTCAACCTGTGCCCGGAACGCAGGTAGGCTGCCACCATCACACACGCCGTTTTCCACGTTTCTTGCCAGTTACCCGTTGACTGTTGACTCCGTCAATGGCAGCTGAGACAGGTTCAAAACGGATTTTTTTTTGTGAGAAGGGCAGGGACGACGGCAGAATGTGACCTCTCTGGTTCAATCAAGATTGTAAACCTTGACCCCTGATCTGGAAGTCGTTCAGGTGCCTTCCCTGGGTGACACAATTCGCAGGTGATACAGTGGACTAGTAGGAAGGACTGGCCGACCGACACCACAACAGGGGAAGTAAAAGTCGGTCCGTAACTGGGGCAGGAACCAGAGAAACATGACTACGAATCGAATACTCTCCAAACTTTACGAGAGGTAGCATATTCTTTGAGAAAAGCCCAATAACTCTGTCAATACAAGGATACACGACTGTTTTTCAGCCTCAAAGCCATCAGTTCCCAGTCAGCCTGAACCAGCAAATGTTTCTCATCAGCAGCCCGCCTCCCCCTCCCTAACCACCAGCCATGCCACAACCATCACCATCATCCCCTCACGGGTGGGGAGGGCTCGATGCTCTGGTTGGTTGCGATCGCATTGGGGACTTCATCGACACAATTTCGCCACAGCCAATCACTGGCTCAGTTTTCAAGGTCGCTACTTCGTTTCGTAGCTCCCAAGTTTTCCCGCTTCCCGGCTTCTCCCGCTTCCTCGGGAATCTCGCAGTGGAACAGCCAGAGCCTTGAAAGCATTCTGGAGTTGTATGTATTCGGTGACCATTGAAGAACCATTCAGTAGAACCACCAATCACCCACCCACCGGCCAACTAACGGCAGGTAGCATTCAGTTTCCCACTAAAGTCGGTTCCTTGAGTTTGAGATATCTCGCTCTCGTGATACGTACATATCGTTTTGTGATCTCCCGTCTACGTCGAGCACTCTCAAAGATTTCAGTCTGCTGTCAAAGATTCGACTCGCCAATTCTTACTCGAGCAGTGGAGGTGGTACTAGTTTGTTGTGAAGCGCTTCTGGCAACACCGACACGCGGTGATACCGCAACATTACAGGAGAAAGAAGGTTGATTTCAATATGGATTTCCCGACTCGGTTGCTGCATGGGTGTAAGTGATAGTGACATCGAGACCTCATCTGAAACTACGAAACTTCCGACTTTTCACGCCTGGTTTCCTCTCCTGAAGAATGCTTGATACACCGACAACACACCGAAGGAGAATCGTGCGCGAAAGACTATCTTGATCGGCTGGTTTATTCAGCTCACCATTTCCGTGCATAGCTTACGAGCCGCCTCCCTTCAGATGGCGTTCGACACCATGAGAAAGACGGATTCCGTCGCCATTTCTCCTAAGCAACCAAAAGACATCCAGTATAAATCCCACGCCTCCCCATTTCTCATCTTAACTCGCCGACAAGCCCTATGCCTAGGTCTAATGTCCGGAATCACCCTCGTCGTCCTCCTCGCAATCGCCAACACCCTCGGCCGAGTCAGCTCAATCAGCGGTAAATCTCTATTAGACCGGCCGTTCAACTCTCTCCTAACGGATCGTGACTATGCCGACGCGGATGTTAAAGCGGGGATGTACGGCTCCACGGACGGTTTTTCTGACGTCGAAGGGTCATCGGAGAAAAGCTCTGGAGGGATGCGGGTGGGGATCGAAGCGCAAATCGATCCGTGCGGAGGGATCGGGTTGAGTCCGGGGAACGACAACTGCTTCGGATCGTGTAAACGGCGGACCAAGCCGGGTCACTGCGTGAAGGAGCTGTTCAAGCTTTACGACGACGCCTACAAGTAAGTCTTTGCCTTCTTTTTTCTTCTTCCCTTTTTTCTCCCTTTCCCCCCATCCTCCCCAACTCCCTCCCCCCTCCCCCTATTTTCGTGACCATCTGTATTGTGTTTCTCGGTGCTCACGAGTAAGCTCGATCATTCAATTGCTCAGTAAGAGCTCAATTCCAGCTGTGCCGGATTCTTTCGACCGGCTCAAGATGTAAATTCCTTAACATTCTCTCTCTTCCCCACTCTCCCCTCACCCACCTTCTCCCCCCCCCCCAAACTCCCCCTTCCCACTCTTCCCCCCCTCCCCCTCTCCCTTTCCCACGTCACCCCCATAAACAGGCCTCTGTGGCCGGCGCGAGTGGACCTGCTGATCCGCAGCTACGTGTCGGACACGTTCTTCCTGCTGGAGATGCTCTTTGACAGCATCGAGCAGATGTGGCCACGTGGCATCGGTGACGTCATCCTGGTGCTGGACGAGGACAATCAGATTGTGGAGGACATCGTGCCCACGTGGATCAAGGTGAGTCAACGGGAGTCAACGGGGATCAACGGGAGTGATTGGGAGGTAACTGGAGTCCACGAAAGTCAACGCAAGTCACTCTTACAGAAGAAAAAGCGCTGCTTAAAGCCACCATGATTCCAATCACCACTAAGCTCATTTAGCAGAACGAAATCTGTAGCAAATGCGGTGCATTCCAGATGAGCAACAATTCAGAATGATTCAACATTCTGGTCCCGAGAGAGGGGGTAGATGTGGCTATTGTGTGAAAGCACAGTTGAATTCAAGAGAAAGGCCTTGATGGGTCGGAAAGAGTGTGGATTGATGCTTGCTCGACGTTATAGCTTGTTTGAAACCCTTGCTGCTCCGCTTGCCTATCTTCCCCCTCGAATGATCACCAGGTATATTACGAGAAGAACTACCTGAAGCTTCCTGGAAAGATCCTCCAGCAGTGGAGCTACCTGTGGGCGGACAACTACACCACTGCACCGTACATCGCCATCATAGATGATGACGTCATCTTCAACCTAAAGGTGAGCTCCTGAGTGCAAATGTTTAAAACGATACACGTGCCCTCATAAAATTCGACCTTGCGGACGGTATTCCCTATATGATCCGCAGCTGGCAGAAGCAAACGAACCAAATGTACTGGGTGCGTTCCCCTGCACTATGGCCCCACCATCCTCTTCCACCCTCTCCCACCCTCTCCCACCCACCCTCCCCACCTCCCCCATCCCTCCCTCTCCGCCTCTCCTCATCCCCACTGGTCTTCAACCTGAAATATAAGAACAAGCCCTTCATGGAGCCCCCTGCCCTCCGTCCTCTCTACCTATCCCACACCCATCTCTATCCTTCCCAACACTCCGCCACTCCAGGTGACCCCAGGCCTGCTTTTCAATCTGACGGATGGCAAGCCGTACGTGATAGGCAGCCGGCAGAAGCAGATGAACCACTGGGTGCCGTCAACGCATTACTTCGTGGGCAAGCCCTACTACTTCGCCAACTTCATGGTGCAGCTGCCCTTTGTCTTCCCGCGCGACGTGCTGCCCAAGTTCCGAGACCACGTCACGCGCCTCCGCGACGACAAGTTCCCGAGTTTTGATGCGGCCTTCCTCAACTTTGCGCGGCACGGGCCCAAGTTTGAAAGGTGGGTCGTGTTTTGTGAAGGTGCTGTCAGGAGTAAACAGGTGGGCTGCGGAGGTCTGATGTCCATCAACTCAAACTGTTTCTTAGGACGACGAAGCAAACTCCATGAAATGAATGAATGAGGGAGCTTGGAAAGCTTGTAAGCTAAAGCGTCTTAGAGAGCCAGATTGAACAAAATCGTCAACTTAGAATCAGCACTTGAGTAAACTAGTTTCGGTCCTTTCGGACCTTCATCAGTACAAACAAGCCTGAAGGCACGAGTCTTGGATGGTGCGTGAGAGTTTTGTGATGGTGTGTGAGAGTTTTGGACGCAGGTGCGAGCGAGCAGGCATGAGCCAGCAGGCACGAGTCAGGGTTTGGTGAGTTGGGTTGATTTGAAGAGGCACATGCATCAGAGCGAGACAGAGGAGATATTGTTAAACCAACAGCACCGCACAGCTGCGCACACTTGCAATTTTCTGGCAGAGATATGTGCCGTGCCCATGCTCATGGTTTCCTTGTGCCGCCTGTGTGTTTTTCCACCCCTTCCTTGTGCTGAGCAGGACGCAAATCGCCCACACGACTCTGGGCAATTTCATGTGGGCCTTCACACAAGACGAGGTGAGCAGGCAGGCAGGCAGGCAGGCAGGCATGTGGGATTCAAAGAATGTAGTCCCTTTGTGGTGACAGAGTAAGGGCTTTCACTGTCATGTGGGCCTTCACACAAGACGAGGTGAGCAGGCAGGCAGGCAGGCAGGCAGGCAGGCAGGCAGGCATGTGGGATTCAAAGAATGTAGTCCCTTTGTGGTGACAGAGTAAGGGCTTTCACTGTCATGTGGGCCTTCACACAAGACGAGGTGAGCAGAGAGGATAGGACCAGGTGAGCAGGCAGGACTGTGAGATGTGTTTGTGTGACATGCGACCGGAGTCTTGATGTGGTGACGCAGAAAGAGCTTGGACTGTATCGTATCATGTCATGCCATGCCATACCATGCCATGCCATGCCATACCATACCATACCATGCCATACCATACCATACCATACCATGCCATGCCATGCCATGCCATACCACGCCATGCCTAGCCACACCATACCATACCATCCCCTGCATAGGCATGCAAATGTCATACTCTGTTCATCATGCCTCCCTCGCCTTCTCCCCCCTCCATCAAACCCACAGGTGCACTGGGCACTAGAGTTGACCAACCACATGCCCGTCCCGCCTGTGGGGTGTGCATGTTCTATTTCGCCATACCATACCATACCATGCCACGCCATGCCAAGCTATGCCATATTATACCATGCCATGCCACGCCTTGCCACTGCATACCATACCATCCCCTGCATAGGCATGCACATGTCATACTCTGTTCATCATGCCTCCCTCACCTTCTCCCCCCTCCATCAAACCCACAGGTGCACTGGGCTCTAGAGTGGACCAACCACGTGCCCATCCCACGTGTGGGTGCGCACGTGGTGACTTTTGAGTCGACTCAAAATTCCAAGTCGTACTCTACTCTGCTCACCCTACCTCCCTCTTCTCCTCCATCTTCTCCCCAACCCACAGGTCCATTGGGCTTTAGAGTGGACCAACCACGTGCCCATCCCACGGGTGGGCGTGCACATGTCCTACTCCCAGCCCTTCCGCACAGCCACCAACAACAGCGACAATGCACCCCGCGTCGTCAAGATCTACGTGGCTCTAGCAGGGTACTACGCGCACGAGGCTCTATGCCACGCGTTTCCCAAGGGCGCACTCGATCGGTGCGGAGATGTGCTGAAATACGAGCAGCGGCAGATCTGGCAGTATGTAATGGACTGGTATGATTGGCCCGCGATCAAGCACAAGAGGCGGAACGCCACGTTTGTGTATGATTTGTATAAGCAGGAGTTGGCGTGTATGTATGGTAAGGTGGTGGATGCGCGCACTAACGAGTGGACGGATCGTATTATAGCGAGGCGGAGGGAGTTGGTGAATGAGATGACGAGAGACTGCGCCACTCCGCACTCTAATTGAAGTTGTAGGGTGCCTAGCTATGTGCTAATGCAAATATTTGGCTTATCTGCGGAACTAATTAGTAATAGTATACCAGTGTTACGCTGTACCCAAAAGAAACTGAGGTGCTCATAACGTTTGCATAAATGCTTTGCACTTGTACTGAGCCGCATTGACCTGTGGGTCATGTAGTATCCATGATAACGACGTCTTCATAGCATTATGTTCTGGCGAATGAGAGGGGAGTTGAGGGAAGAGTTAAAAGGAATTAACACAAAGTTTCGGCATTTATGGCTGTGCTTTGACGCACGTCAAGTATTTTAGGATCTTGTGTGTGATAATAACTTGATTAATATAGTACAGTAGTATAACAGCATGTTACAACAATTCCAATCAGTAACAAAAGAGAGTCACACATGCTGCTCCTCCTAATCCACAGACGCCCTGCTCCCATTCCCAACTAACCCTTCTTCGGCTGCACCTTCCTGTTCTGCTCCCCCTGCTTCGTCTTCTGTGCGACCCTCACTTGCACCCGCTTCACCTGGGCTGCAGCCTTCCCTTGCATTTTCTTCGCCCCCCCCTTCTGCTGCACCTTCTTCAGCTGTGCGGCACCTTGCTTCTTACCTTTCTCTGCTGCAGCCTGCAACGTGGTCTTGGCTTCATTCGCTTTCTTCTTCAGCCATGCCCAGAATCCTTCCCCGTTCTTCCCTTTCTTTGATTTGCTGCTTCCCCCATCCTGTTCACCTCCCACTGCATTTCCTCCCCTCTTGCCCCCGCTCGTCCCACCCGAGGGGTTGGAAGGAGTCAGATTCGGTTCTGGGGTAGTGCGAGTGGTAAACGCGGACCCTGGCTTAGAAGAGCCCCCCTTACTGCCATGGCCACTGGAGGATCTGCTTTGAGCACCAACCAAGGAGGTTCCTGTGCCAGTTTCAGGGCCGCTGTCCCCCCCTGAAGAATTACCTGAAGCATCACCAGAACCATCAGATGAAGCATCCCCTGAGAAAACACCTGCATTGTCACCTGCGGTGTCACCTGTGGTATCTCCTGTGGTATCACCTGAGGTATCACCTGAGTTAGCACCTGAGGTAGCACCTGAGGTAGCACCTGAGGTATCACCTGAGGTATCACCTGAGGTAGCACCTGAGGTAATACCTGTGGCTCCACTCGCTGCAGCTCCTCCTGTCCCTGGCACAACCCCTGAGTTCACCTTCTTCTTTCTCGCACTTCCTCCCTTTATAAGCTTCTTCGCTATCCCGCCAATGGCCTTTGCTGCGCCATTAGCTGCTTGGTTAACAGTACCCTGTGCGTTGCCAATCGCCTTGCTTACTGAACCCGCACCAGGAATCACCTGAGGAGGAACCTGCTTGGGTGCGGGTGGCACAGGTGTAGTAGCAGTGACTGTTCCTCCCGTTACAGTTCCACCCGTTTCAGTTCCCGTTACATCTCCAGATGATTTGTCCGAGGGCCCAGTTGTACCTCCTCCACTGGTGTCATCTCCAGACATGTCAGCTCCGGAAGAGATAATGTCAATTCTCTTGAGAAGAATCCGTACTGCCGTCTCCTCCACCCGAGCCACTGCCGTCGCCCCCGCCCGAGCCACTGCAGTCCGTTTCATCGCTCCCATCGCTGCAGTCCTGCACGCCGTTACACTTGAGCGTTTCATCTATGCACTGTACCACATTGCCACACTTCCAGTACCCATCCGGACACTCGTACACCGCACAGTAATCCTGATCCTCATCGGAAGGGAACAACCCCCCACTCGCTCCTCCTCCCAACCCACCACTTCCTCCTCCCCCTCCGCTCCCCGTGCCTCCCGAAACAGAGGGACAATCAGCCACGCCATCGCACACCATGCCTGAACCGCAGGTTTGGGCGTCGGGGCAGAGCACCTGGTTCGGAGAATTCGGGCAGGTGGCTCTGCTGTTGAAGTCAACACAGAAGCCCGGCCACTCGTCGGCGCCGAAAGGGCAGTCAGTTGAACCATCACATGCTGCAGCAGGGTCGATGCACCATAGCTTGTCCGATATGGTCGTGACTGGACAAGCAATCTGGTGGATGGGAGGGAAGGAGATGGGCGGGAAGGAAATGGGAGGAGAGCAGGAAGAAGAAGGGAATTGAGTGAGGAAAGGAAGAGGAGGGAGGGGTGTGCCGTGAAACGCTACAGCGGAGAGGTGGTTTTGCTGTGGAAGTCAACACAGAAGCCCGGCCACTCGTCGGCGCCAAAGGGGCAGTCGGTTGAACCGTCACACGCTGCAGCAGGGTCGATGCACCATAGCTTGTCAGATATGGTTGTGACTGGACAGGTGATCTGAAATGGGAGTAGGGGGGTGGATGGAAAAAGAGGGAATTCAGTGAGAAAAGGGAGGGGAAGGAGTGTGCCGTCGCATGCTGCGGCTGGGTAGGTTCACCAGAGCTTGTCTGGCATGGTTGTGACGAGGTGACTTTTGAGTCGACTCAAAAGGGACAGGCGATCTGGTGGGTGTAGGAGGAGAGCAGACAGAAGGGGAAGGAGAGAATTGAGTGAGAAGCGGGAGAAGAGTGTGCCATTACACACTGTCGCGGAGTATTTTTGAGTCGACTCAAAAATAGGCTCATCACACACGGATTTTGAGTCGACTCAAGAAGAGTGTGCCATTCCACACTGTAGCGGGGTCGAAACACGAGCCGTTATGATTGAGGTGACTTTTGAGTCGACTCAAAAGTCAACTCGGGAGAAGAGTGTGCCATTACACACTGTCGTGGGGATGGGAGAGGAGGGGTAGGAAGGGAAGGAGAGAATTGAGTGAGAAGCAGGAGAAGAGTGTGCCGTTACACACTGTCACGGGGTCGAAACACAAGCCGTTATGATTGTGACAGGACAGGGCATCTGATATGAGAGAAGGGAAGGGGATGGGAGAGGAGGGGTAGGTAGGAAGGGAAGGAGAGGAAGGAGGGTGAGAGGCCCCACAAGACATCACAAATGCACCCCTTGTGGTGAGTAGGGTGAGAGGCCCCACAAGAGGCCCCCTACTTCCTCCCCTCTACTTACAAATGCACCCCTTGTGAGTTGGGTGAGAGGCCCCCTACTTACTCCCCTCACTGCCTTACCATGTCAGGCGGACAGCCGTCCTCGTATCCCGCACACTCTATTTTTGAGTCGACTCAAAAGCCGTCCTCGTATCCCACACTCTCACGGAAGCTCGTCACTACCATCACTCCAATCACACGACAAGTCTGCAAGTAATGTTTACCATATCAGGCGGACAGCCGTCCTCGTATCCGCCGCACTCCCACGGCAGCTCGTCACTCTCGTCATTGCAATCAGCAACTCCGTCGCACAGCTGGTCGCTGCTCACGCACTGGTCCCAGGATGCACAGTACCACTGGCGGAGGGGGAGATGCGCGGAGAGGGATGGGGGGGAATAGGTGGGGGAAGAGGGGAAAATGTCAGGTCAGGGTAGCGGGAAAAGGGGGCCGCATAGCTGGTCGCCGCTCACGCACTGGTCCCAGGATGCACAGTACCACTGGCGGAGGGGGAGACGCGTGATGGGGGAGAGGGAGGGCAGGTGAGAGAGCCAGCATGAAAGGGAGTCGTATCTATGGTCAGCGAAAATGAGGCGGCAGAGGTGATACGATACGGCAGAGATGACACGATACGGCAGAGATGACACGATACGGCAGAGATGACACGATGCGGCAGAGATGACACGATACGGCAGAGATGACACGATACGGCAGAGATGACACGCGGCGGCTGCGAGTGACTCACCGAGTTGTCGTTCTGAGTGCACGAGACTGGGACGTGAGGGAGAGAGAGAAGGAGAGGGAGTCGCATGTGATGTAGGCAAAAGGAGGGACGGCAGGGATGAGTTGGTTTTTGAGAATTCTCAAAAACCAGAGGGAGTCGCATGTGATGTAGGCAAAAGGAGAGACGGCAGGGATGATACGCGTCGGCTGCGGGTGACGTAACTCACCGAGTTGTCGTTCTGAGCGCATGAGACTGGGAGGTCCTGCTGCTGCAGCCACTGCAGCTGCACGCTCTGCCATGTCAAATCATGCGTTAACGAGGCAGGAGAGGCAGGGGGGCAGGAGGGGCAGGGGGGCAGGAGGGGCAGGGGGAAAAAGGAGGGGCAGGAGAGGAGAGGAACGTGAGGACACACGCGCACGAGACTGGGAGGTCCTGCTGCTGCAGCCACTGCAGCTGCACGCTCTGCCATGTCAAATCATGCGTTAACGAGGCAGGAGAGGCAGGGGGGCAGGAGGGGCAGGGGGGCAGGAGGGGCAGGGGGGCAGGGGGAAAAAGGAGGGGCAGGAGAGGAGAGGAACGTGAGGACACACGCGCACTGGGAGGTCCTGCTGCTGTAGCCACTGCAGCTGCACGGTCTGCCATGTCGCGCAGTACGATAGAAGTGGGCAGGAGGGGCAGGAGGGGCAGGAGGGGCAGGAGGGGCAGGGAAGAAGAGGAGCGTTGGGACACAGCGGATGAGACTGGGAGTTATTGAAAATTCTTGAAACGAGCGACGGCGGGGAGGACGAGGAAAATGTGGAACGGTGACATCGCTTCCCCCACGCCTCTCCCCCCCCCCCTCCCCCCTCCCCCCTCACCCCTCCCCCCTCCCCCCTCACCCCTCCCCCCTCACCCTCCCACCCCCCTCCCCTCCCCCCGGAAAACATCCCATCCCCACCCGCCCACCCCCACCCGCCCTCGCTGTTCCGCTCCCCAACAAACACGCGCACGCGCGCACGCACACGCGCGCACCCGCACACGCGCGCACCCGCACACGCGCGCACCCGCACACGCGCGTACCTGAACGAGCGATGGGAGCAGCAGAAAGAGCACGCCAACACAAAGAGCTCGACTCCGCGCCGCGGCGCTGCTGCCTCGCACCGCCGCAACTGTCGCAGACGCCGCGCCGCGTCGAGTCGCCGCCATCGCGCCCGTCGATGCAACACAGATTCTCAGATCCCGAGAACTCTCAAAACCCGTCCTCGGCGCGCTGCGGCGACGTCGCTCCGTGGAGTGGGGATTGGCGGAGGAGCGAGTAGAACAGTGGCGCGCGACGCGGGGAGTTTAACTGAGTACCGTTGCCTCTCTCTACCTCCGTCTCCTATCTCAATCTGAGGGGACGTGCTATTTATGTATAATCCACGACACTCCAAGCACTCCTCGTATCTCATTGCATGATCCTCCCGCGCGGGCCCCCGCCTTGCGCGCCGAGAGTCGAGACAGTAGCTCTTGTCGACTCGACGGGGGTTGAAATCGACCCCCTGAAAGTTCAGGACTACGAGGCCAGCGGGGCACAGTGGGGTGGGCATTAGGGCGACGTGCCTCTCTGGTGAAACATCAGGGGCATCACTTATTGCTCGTGCCAAGTGACGGACATCGCCGCTCAATCCGGCCCGATTCATTCTCTCTTGCTGGCTTGATATCACGCGCTCTTGCGCTCTCGCGCTAATTGCTTTTCCCCCTCTCTTCTTCTCCCCCACCGCTCGATCACTCCTTTCGTGATACGCGCTCCGAAGCGCGAAGCTCGTTGAACCGCATGCTCTGATAAGAACGTTCGGATCGCGAATAGTGACGGATTCTCGTTCGTTGGTGTACGGCTGCGCTGCACAGTAATCACTCGATAAGCACTTGAGGCAAGGAATCCTAGCTAGATACTTACAGCTCCCGCAGCTTCGGTACAGGTATGGCAGGCTAGGACCAGAGCCTGGAGAGGTGCGGCTCTGGGAATGGGAGCCGATTTCAGCGAAGAGTCCTGGTGGGTGGTGATACAAACGCAATTCTATGGGTTAAATCTATTCTGGTCTGGTACGGTCTAACTTTAGTTCGGTGGGTGGCGGTGAAAGTGCGGAAGGTTTTGGTGGTTTACGAACCGAAGCAAGGGAAAAGAGGCACTCCTGCCCGCCGGCCTGGAAATGGCGGCTCTCCTTGCTTTTGAAATTCCGGCCGGGTACGGTGTACACTCTTACGCGCCTCGCTCCAAACAAATTTCCAGCTTTTCAGGTGACACAAATCTGAATCAATCAGAATTGATGCCGAGCCGATGAGCCTGGCTCGATTGAACCGCTGACTGCCTCCCTGGGTGGTTGTTGTGGTTCTTGTTGGTTGGTCGGTGGGTCAGGTGGGTGGTCTCGATTCTGTACATGGGTTGGTAAATTGTCGGAAAGCGGCGACCACCTGACATTGTCGAGCCGCAGGCAGTTTTCAGCTACTGGATTTCAGGTGGGAAGCTGAGTCCATAGTAGATATAACACAGTTAGTACAAGTTACATGAACAAAACTGGGTCTACTTACACAACGCTAATCACCTACTAAGCAGCCAATCCAAAAGGGTTTAGGGTTCTTCCACGCAATCCGCAGCCTCACAGCCTTGCAGAATATCCTGACCAAGTAACCCAAAACATCATGCAGCTTGTTCACCTAGTATGTTACAACAACTTGTCTTCAGTCATTATGTCATTGTTACCTGTGCTGTCAGACATGTTACTACCACACCATGCGTGTCTGCAATATTTTTGCTTCAATGGACCCCGTCTCTTGTACTAACACCCAACTCCTCTAATCCACTCAACCTTTTCTTGACCTTTGGTGGTTCTTTGCCTTCTGCTTCTGTCCCCCCTTTTTGCCATTCTTCTTTCCCTTCTTGTCCTTGCTCTGCTTGCTCATCTTGCCCTTCCCACTTAAGACCACACCTGAGGCAGCACCTGAACCAGCAGCAACCTTCTGCTGCAGTTTCTTCACCTGAGCAGCGCCCTGAACAGCCCCCTTGATCCCCTGAACAGGTTTCATAACACCTCCTCCTGTGGAGCCCCCACCACCCCCCTTCCCCTTCCTCCCCACCCCCACCCCTTTCTTCCTTGCTGCATCCAATGCATTCCTCACCGCATCTAACTGTTTTCCAGCCTTAGATACCGCCTCCCCCACCAAGCCCCCCACCAGTGGAGCCTTCACACTGCCACTGCTGCTGCTGCTGCCACTGCTGCTGCTGCCACTGCTGCTGCCTCCTGTTCCCCCAGTGGTACTAGGGGTTTTGGGAGTGGAGCTAGAGTCAGATGCGGTGTTTGCCGGGTCAGCACCAGCTCCACCTGCGTTTCCACCTGAAGAATCACCTGAAGCACTGCCTGCTCCAGTCCCAGCATTCCCATCCTGGCCTGAACCCGGTTGCTTGGGCTTCTTCCCGTCCTTCTTGACGTTGCGCTCCGTTATAAGCTTCTTCATTATCGCTGTAACCTCGCCGACCTTCTTCGCTGCACCCTGGGCTGCATCACTGACTGAGCTGCTTGCATCACCAAGAGCCTTTCCAAGTGACCCTGGAACAGGAGAAATAACAGGAAGAATCTTCTTGGGAGGAGGGTGGTCTTGAGACGGTGGTGGTTTGTCTGCTCCCTTCTCTTGACCCTTTTCTCCCCCTGCCCCTACTGTTACACCTTTTCCTCCCTCTCCCCCTCCCCCTGCATTCCCCCCTTCCGCCTCGTCCGCCGTACCACTCGTGTCAGTTTCATCTCCCCCCGTTCCGTCACCAGCGCCACCATCACCACCTCCAGTTTCATTTCCGCCTGTTTCATCGTCCGTGCCCCCTTCCACATCGGTGCTGGTTTCATCTCCTTTCATCGACAGAAGTAGCATCCTCGGACCCCTCTCCACTCGTTTCATCTCCAGATGTCCCGCCAGACGTACTCCCTGTAGCCCCTCCACCCGATGCATCTTCAGGAGGGGTCGTTACATCTTGAGGGGGAGGCGTTACAACTTGAGGAGGGGAAGTCGTACTGCCACTGCCACCACTACCAGAAGACACACTACAGCCCTTCTCATCGCTCCCATCCTTGCAATCCGCCTTGCCGTTACACTTGAGCGTTTCATCTATGCACTGCACCCCGTCGGAACACTTCCAATACCCCTCTGGACACCCGTAAGCCGAGCAGTAATCCTGATCCTCATCCGGAATAACCGTTCCTCCCCCTTCGGCCGCCACCGCAGGGCAGTTAGCCACGCCGTCGCATACCATACCTGTCACGCAGGCTTGTTTTCCGGGGCAGAGCACTTGCTTCGGAGACAACGGGCAGTCGAAGGACCTTTTGAGGTCGACACAAAAGCCCGGCCACTCGTCAGCGCCGTATGGGCAGTCAGGCGTGCCGTCGCATGCTGCTGCAGGGTCGAAGCACCAAGGGCCGTTGGCGATGTTTGTAAGCGGACAGGGCATCTGCGCAAGGGAAGGAGAAAAGGATAGGAGAGGGATTTGAACCCGCTCAAAGTTTGCGCTCCCTCGCCCCCTCACCCCCCACCTTGCCCCACCCCCCTTTACTTCCCCTCCCACCCCCGCCCCTTCTCCGATTCACCCGCTGCTTTACCATCTCAGGCGGACAGCCGTCATTGTATCCGCCGCATTCCCGCGGAAGCTTGTCGCTCTCTACACTACGATCCCCACACCCGCTCCGCTATTCACCCGCTTCCTTACCATCTCAGGCGGACAGCCGTCCTCGTATCCGCCGCATTCCCGCAGAGGCTTGTCGCTCTCGCCACGCTCTCGACACGCTCTCGACACTGCGATCCCCACACCCGCTCCGCTATTCACCCGCTGCCTTACCATCTCAGGCGGACAGCCGTCCTCGTATCCGCCGCACTCCCACTGCTCCTCGTCGCTCTCGTCGCGCAATCCGCCGTGCCGTCGCAGAGCTGGTCGCCGCTCACGCACTCGTCGCCCGACGCGCAGTACCACTGGCGGAGGGGGAGGTGGAAGGCGGGGAGCGGAAGAGAAGGGCGGCGCACAGTTAGTGAGAGGAAGAGGAGAAGGGAGGCGGGGAGCGGAAGGGAAGGGCGGCGCACAGTCAACGACGACCGCGCGAGGAAGAGGAGGGGGGAGGAAGAGGAGGGGGAGGAAGAGGAGAGGAAGAGGAGGGGGGAGGAAGTGGAGGGTGGAGGAAGAGGAGGGGGGAGGAAGAGGAGGGGGGAGAGCGCACCATGTTCTGATCCGAGTCGCAAGTGACGGCGCGGGACAGGTGAACGAAGGACGACAGCAGCAGCAGCGCGAGAAGCGGCGCGGAAAGCGGACTATTGCTTCTACGAGCCATGGCGGCTCTCGAGGCGCCGCAAATGCCGACGAAAGCTGGATACGGAATGGACGCGTGGGTGAACGGAATGAAATGGAAATAGCAAGGAGTGTGCCAGTGAAAAAAAAAAGCTACTATAATATTTTGCGAGTCTGCGACTCGACTAGGTTCTAATGCGGACCAATGGGATTGAGCTGAGCTGACACGGGACTAACACTACACAGTAAGAGCGGATAACTTTTTTGGTATTGCTAATGTAGGACTGCTTCAACCAGTAATCGCGTGGTGTGCGTTCAAAGCGAAAGATCAACGGGACGGAGGAAGAATGTCGGGCGGAAAGGCAAGCAGAGAGACTGTTGAAAAGCTTTCGGACACCTTGCGTGGCACCAGCAGCAAGGGGAAAGGTACAGACAGAGACGGGGATTTCCCAACCGTTCCATCTCCTGCTCTGTACCCAGGATCAGTATGGTTCGGGATCGATAACATGCTACTAGCGAGGATGTGAACTACTGTAGGTGCAGCACAAAGAAGAGTTTCGTTAGCAGCCTACTGGTTGATGAGTACAGTACAGTAAAAAGATGCGGCTGCAGTAACGACGAGCAGTTTGCAACATTGTTCGCCCCTGCCATGTTCGATTTGGCGGTTTGCAGTTGCCCAGGGCAGGTGGAAGTTTGCCGTTGCAGTTTGCCTTAGGCAAAAGGGCCAACAGAGGCGCATCAGAGCAAACACCTGAACGTGTTGTTGGCGGCGGTTTGGATGAGCCCGAATAGCGCGAACCAGCCAATGGTGTGCTGCCATACTGGATTGGAAGTTCCGCACTCGCGACTCGAACACGTAAACGACAGACTTGCGACTCGAAAAATGTTCAGCTGGCGTCTGGGGTACACTGACTGGTACAGTATGGCAGACAAACTGGATGCACATTTATCAAACGTGGCAACCTGGGGCACTGTTTCCGAACCGCAGGGGAGATCCCAGGAAATTTGCATTGAGAAGACCTTATCGAACCTTGAACATTCTAACAAATATCGCCTCATACTACTTAGAATACATCCTACATTATCTTAACCAATATTAGCAATTTCAAGGGACTACTCGTCTTTGTGAGGGGATGCAGACGCCTTGCTGGCGTCTTGGGACTTGGCTCCGCCACCCTTCTTGCGCATCTTGGCTTTAACGGTAAGCTTTGTGGCCACTGTAGCTACAGTGTTGGTGAAATTACCAACTGCCATGACTATAAGGAGAATGCCACAGGCAAAAATCTGTCAAACCAAGGGGGGAGAGGGGGGGAGAGAGGGAAGGAGGGGGGTTGGGGGAAGAGGGAGAGGGAGAGCCATAAGGGCAAGTCAATGTGATACTCTGGTGAGAAAATACAAGACTGAAGGCACAGCATGACAAAAAATACAGACATAGCAGAGCAGAAGGTAGACGCACCAACGCCTTCCCAATACCTACCTTGCGTAGCCACATCCTTTGCCCTCTCAGACCTTCCCCTTCATCCCCAATCCCCCAAACCTTCAGCCCTCCAATCCCCTGTCTTTACTACCCATGCCACCCACTTCCCTCCCCGTCCCCCCCGCCCTTTCCTGAATAATAAATCCTGGCAGCCAATCGGCCCATACCTGCCATTCCAACATCTCATAGAGTGATGTGCGGAGCAATTTTTGGGGGGCCTCAAAACTTCCACACCCCTCTCCTTCCCCCTTGTGAAGCGCTACCATGAGGCCATACCTGCCATTCGAACATCTCGTAGAGTGATGTGCGGAGCAGGCGCACACCGATATAGAGCTGGAAGAACTGCAGAGGACGAATGTGAGACAGGTGGGAGGGAAAGCAATGCGGTAAGGTTTGGTTAAGTGAGTGTACACAGCAGGCGCACACCGATTTAGAGCTGGAAGAACTACAGAGGAGGAACGTGAGGGATAGGGAGCAAGTCAAGTGGGAGACATTGCAATGGGGTGACGTGCGGTTGTTTGAATGCACACAAGAGGCGCACATCAATATGAGCTAGAAGAGCTGCAGAGGAAGAATGCGAGAGGAAAAGCTGGGATGCAGTGCAACATGGTGAAGTGTGGTTGAGAGATGTGCACAGCGGCGGCACTTTGAACAGAGGAATAGCACCATATGATGCAAAGGAGAGAAAAAGCATAGTGGGTGACCTGGAGTATGAAGAGAAGAGGGTAGAGCAGCACGAGCTGCCCCTTCATGCCCGCTGTCTCCCCCCACACCACATCCATCTGCCCTGCCTGTTGCCATGTGCCATACACCATACACCATACACCATACACCCATGCAGGCATGCACCCATGCACCATGCACCTATGCACCCATGCATCCATGCAGACATACACCCATGCAGACAGCCATGCAGCCACACAAGCATGAACTCATCGCCATGCATACGGGGAGAATATGGACACAGAGCAACAAGAGCTTGTTATTCTCCCCGTATGCTCTGTTGACACAGAGCAACAAGAATTGACTCAACGAAAAGGCAAGGCACTGCACTGCATCAAAGGACCAGCGCATTTCAAGCTCCACCCATCTTTCCCACTGATGCCCCACTCAACTTTCCCACTAATGCCCCACCCACACTAACGCCGCACCCACACTGGCGATAAAATAACGCCCCACTCACACTGACGCCCCACCCACCTTCCCCAGAGCTATTCTGGTGTAGAGGCGGCGGCGCTGGTAGCGGTTCTGCAGCAGCATGGCGACACCTTGAATGACGGCCCACATGAGGAAGAGCATGATGCCTTGCTGCTCGGGGGGATGGGGGCGGGGGAGCGAGAGAAGGGAGGGACACAAAAGGGGGATTTTAGAGCAGCAGTGCAGTCTCCTGTGCAGCAGCATCGCAACACCTTGGATGACGGCCCACATGAGAAAGAGCAACACATGTGGGCAACACCTCATGATGATGCTTTTCAACCCCTCAGCAACACATCTCAACCTCCCCTCACCTGTTTCATGGCACAGTCCGGCCCCTCAATGCCCCACGTGAGGCTCACAAGAGCCATGAGCATGGCGTAGTAGTGGTGGTAAATCCACCTGGGGGGGGAAGGCGGAAGGGGAAGAGGGGGGATTTGGGGAAAATGTGGGGTGGAAGTGTGTTGGTTGGATGGATAGATCTGCCCCGAGGGATGGTTTCGACTTGGATCCAACGGTCACAACACGTGAGGCTCACGAGGGCCATGAGCATGAGCATGAGCATGAGCATGAGCATGAGCATGAGCATGAGCATGAGCATGAGCATGAGCATGAGCATGAGCATGAGCATGAGCATGAGCATGAGCATGAGCATCCTGCCCTCGCCTCCTGCCCCCTCCTCTTCCCCTCTCTCTTTTCTTTCCTCCTCCCCTCTCCTCTTCCTCTCCTCTCCTCCCCTTCTCTCTTCCTCTCCCCTACTCCCTCACCAGGGCCGGATGTCACTGCCGTTGATGCGAAGGATGTTTTCTCGCAGGGCCAAGCTCGTGTAGAACAGCAGCAGCCACGCCTGGGTTAAGCGGGAGGAGACGGGGGAAGGGGGCGGGGGAGGAAGGAGGCTGGGGGTACGGAGTTAGTTTGCATTGCAAGGCTTCCCGCAGGGCCAAGCTCGTGTAGAACAGCAGCAGCCACGCCTCCGGGGAAAGGGGAGAGGGATGGGAACCTATGTTGCATTATACGCTGAGGCTTTTTTTCGTATCACGTTTATGCGTTCACGTATAAACGGAAAAACGTGATACGGGGACAAATACGCGGTACGCCTGGACGGGCAGCCCGTCGGAAAAAAAAAATGTTGCGACCGTTCTCGCAATCTGTGATTCTCCGTAACCTAATTTTGACATTTGAAAGTCGAATGCCTTCCCCCGCACCCATCCCCCCTCCCACCGCACATAACCTCACACCACCTCCCAAACCCAACCCTTCCCTTCCAACCACACTTCGGCTTTTAAGTCGGCAGCTTCGAAAACCTATGTCGACCGCTAATGTCGCAGCTGGACGCTGATCTGGCATTCGCAGCTTTTAAGTAGGCAGAGGGCGCAGATCTGGCATTCTGCCGCCAGTTCCGCGCGATTCTAGTATTCCGTCAGCAGATCCGCGCAGATCGGCAAGAAACATTGAACATAGGGACCATCACTCACTCCCTGACACTTTTTTCCCCTGCCCGGAACTTTTTTCCCCTGCCCGGGACACCGTATTTTGAGCGTATCGAGGGGGCGGAAATCCATCGTACGACGTTCGTACGTTGGCGTATAGTACGAACGCGACTGATACGCCAGTCGCGTATTTTGCAACATAGATGGGAACAGGGGTAGAGGAGGGAAAGGGGAAGGGGACACACTCTATTCTTGCAAAATCAATGATTCCCAATGCCAGCATCGTGTAGAGCAGCAGAAGCTATGGGCAAGATCGTGAGGGAGGAGGGAGGAGAGGAGGTGCAGGGCAGGGAAGGGTGTTTGTTTGCACTAGTCTGCTTTCCTGGTGCCAAGCTGGAGTGATAAAGCAGCAGCTCCACTCCTGGTGTCTCACCCCCGGTGCCCCTCTTCCCCAGTGCCCCTCTTCCCCAGTGCCCCTCTTCCCCAGTGCCCCTCTTCCCGAGTCCCCCCCCCCGCAACCAATCATCCCCAGTGGCCCCTTCCTTTCCCCCCAAGAGTTGCCTCCCCCAGTAACCCCCTCCACCAGTGGCCGCACCTGGTACACATGCACCACTACCCCCTCCCCACCTGGTACACATGCACCACTAGCCCGGGCAAGCAACGCTGGTTCATCGCCTGCTTGGCTGCCAGCAGCAGCAGCGGCGCACCGAGAAAGATGAGTGCAGTGCGGTCCTGCCAGGTGCAAAGAAGGTGCAGCGCATGAAAAGCAGGAGAGGGGAGAGAGCAGGATAGTGGGGAGAGCAGAAAAATGGGAAGAGAAGAAGGCAGAGAGCCTCACTTCGTTTAGGAAGAGTGGGGCGAAGTGAGGCCTCCTAAACGAAGCAACCTCTCGCCCTCCAGCTCTTGTACTTCGACTTGACCTTTAACGAGGCCTCTTATAGCGAATCGAGCACTCTCTCACACGGTAGGCGTTTTACACCCCTATGACCTACAGTGAGCTATTATATAACGAAGCAGCCACTCACTCACCCGGTGGCTGTTGTACTCCTCCTTGACCTATAGCGAGGCCTCTTATAATGAGGACACTTATAACGGAGCAAGCATTCACTCACCCTATAGCTGTTGTACTCCTCCTTGACCTTGAACCTTACGTCCCTGCGAGATGACCGCACGTTCACATGGCCCAGAAACAGCCACAGGAAGAAGCCTGGTGGAGAGGGGAGGGGGGAGGGGAGGGGGTCAGCGATTGCACTCCTCCCTTTGAACCTCACGCCCTGCGAGACGACCGCACGTTCACATGGCCCAGAAACAGCCACAGGAAGAAGCTTGGTGGGAGATGGCGTGGGGAGGGATGGCATGGGGAGGGATGGCATGGGGAGGGACGGCATGGGGAGCCAGGGACACGTGGCAGATAGCAGATGGCATGAGGAGGCAGGGAAACGAGGCAGCATGCGGAGGCAGGGACACGTGGCAGATAGCAGATGGCATCGAGATGGGGATGGGGAAGTGAGTGGGGAGGATTTGGGTTGGGATAGGGAGGATCTGGGATGGGGTGCGAGATGAATGGCTTACCGTTGGCCTTGTGAGGCAGCAACGCCGCTATATCCCCCTCGTACACCATGCTCCTGGCTCGCACCAGGTCCTCCTCCATCTGAATGGCTCACACGCGTGACCAGGGAGTGAGGAAAAAGTGGGGGGTGATTTGTGAAATAGTTCAGAGATACTCTTCCACCATCTAAAGGAGGACACCATGTTCCTGGTTCGCACCGGGTCCTCCTCCATCTGAGGGGCTCGCATGGGTGAGCAGGGAGGAGTGTGGGAAGAAGAGGGCGGGGGAGAGCATTCAGCTCACCATGTTCCTGGTTCGCACCGGGTCCTCCTCCATCTGAAAGGCTCGCATGGGTGAGCAGTGAGTGGGACAAAAGGGGGGTGAGGAGGGGAGGGGGGGCACTTGTGAAGCGGTTCAGAAATAGTCTTACCACACACACCATGCGCCTGGTTCGCACCGGGTCCTCCTCCATCTGAGGGGCTCGCATGGGTGAGCAGGGAGTGGAGGGAGGGCGAGGGAGGAAGGGGAGGGAACACACACTTAGTGCGCCATGCTCCTGGCTTGTATCCGACCCTCCTTCATCTGACGCAGCAGATCGTGATGCGGAAATACATGAGGGTTACGAAATTGTGGGCTATCTTTGTCGATCCTCTGGGTAGCGATGAAATTGACGGGGTGACGGTGACCGAATGCAGTGACGCGAGAAGTTCAAGATATCATTCTAGCAGCCGATAATCATCTTCCGATCTTCCGTGCCGTTCCACCAATTCGTTACGCAACAAAAGATCCGTAAACTGTCCTAAGGATCTGTTGCCTCCTTACTAATCTTGCGAGTCACCTGCTCTGCGACTTCAGGCGAAACCTCGTCTTTCGCCGCTGCGACGTTGACGCTCTTTCGCAGCGTGCGAAGCTCCTTTTCGAGCGCGATCGCACGCTCGCCGAGAGCGTCGCCCTCGCTCTTGAGTCGCTGGCTGTACCCCGCCGCTGTTTCCTGCAGCGCCTTGCATCGCTCCATCACGGCCTCTACGTCGGACAGAAGCTTCTGACCAGCTTCCGTTACGCCGTCCGGTAACGGTGCCATGTGGCCCGGACTTTCTGAATTGCCAGGATCCGCCATGGCTGAGTGAATTTAGGAAAAGTAAGGTAAAGATAGCTAGGTCTTTTTCCTGGAGGATTTTAAGGGCCTAAGGAATGAGTCAGAGACAAAATAGTGGCTGCAACTAAGCATGCAACTAATGGTGAGGAGGGAACAGACGCCATAAAACAGCAGAATCAGATTTTCCAAGAATAATCACCATTCACACCAACCACGAAAGAAAGAGCGCTTCGACAATCCCAAGGTTGACCTAGAATTCCCAAGATTGTTGGAGCCGTGGACTGAACGGTCAAGATCGGCGAAGAAGCCAGGATTTCGCTGCAGAACGGGAGTCGACGGAGCACCCACATTTGTCAACGGCCAGGAGTTGATCTTGCTTGCGGCTCAATCTGGAGCAGGCTGGGCCAGACATGAAGCCTTTTGGCTTTCCCGAGGCTCACGGCGAGGTTCGTGCGTTGCTTTTATCGGGGTGTGCTTTGCAACCTGAAGTGCATGCAGCTTCGCTTGTGGGTTTTGGAATGTTCTGTACGTTGAGCTGTATTTCTTGAAAAAGTGACGCTCGGCATCTCTCTATGTTTACACCACCTGCTTGAAACGCGTCCACGTCGAGCTGATGTCGTTGCTCCGCCAGTCAGCTCGTGCCACCAGTCCAGCTGCTGTCGTAACTTCGGAGAAGTTATGCTCCTTGCAACATTCGCGGAGCCTTCTGGGAGATGCCTGAGAGAACTGCGAGTCAAGAAACGACAAAGATCCTCCGAGTCGCCCATATACACGCGGCGCTTTTTGGAGCATGTGCGACCCGAAACGATGACTCTGCGAAGCCTCGCACCAGCAGTGTCTTGCACGCAGCAAAGCCCCCAATGTGGTCTGTGTTCGCAGCCCCGTTCACCGCCAGCCCGATCTGTCGGTGCCGTCGAGTTATCGGAGTGATTGCGACGAGGTGAGCGACGAAAGCGACGCACCTAGCCGAGGAGAGTCACAAGCTACACGCCGTCGCACGGTCTGCGAAACTCACCACGGCAGCTGTATACGACACCAAGCCTCCCTTCCCAGTCACCGTTGCGATTACCATCCACTACAAATAGACCGTCCCTCCGACACAATTCATCAGTAGCAAAATCAGCCCCCATCACAATCTTTTCTACTGCTATACCTCCGCAACAATCACTACTAATAAAAAATCAGCAGCAATCGGCATTTCTACGAGATTCGACCTCTCTCGGTTTTGCCAATTCTAACGGATTTTCTCACCTCTACCAGCACAATGGCGCATTTCTCTCTCCAGACTCCCGCCGCTCAGTACGAGCACGACGGTCGCAACGCGCATTCCTTAGGTTCGCAGCGCAGCTACTTAGCCGCCACTAGCTCAGACGACTCTGAAACGCGAATCTGGGTCGACGAGTCCGCAAATGCCAGCTCAACGTCCTCCAGCGTTCTCCCCTTCCCTACCGGCCGCCTAGAGGACTTTTTCGTTCTGGATTCTCACGTGTTAGGGTCCGGCCAGTTCGGGACCGTTCGACGATGCACGGAGCGGGTCACGGGCTCGCGCTTCGCCTGCAAGACCCTCCTAAAGGACGGGCTTAAGACCGAGGCGGAACGCGACGAAATTCGGAGGGAGATTAATCTGATGCAGAGGGTTTCGGTGGGCGGCGCGCACGCAGGAATCGTCCAGCTGCGCGCCGTTTTCGAGGACGACGTCGCAGTGCACCTCGTGATGGAGCTCTGCGAAGGCGGCGAGCTGTTCGACGAAGTTGTGCGACGCGGGCGATTCCACGAGCGCGACGCCGCGAGCGTTTTCGCGCAGATCGCAGCAGCCGTCGCACACTGCCATGCTCGCGGTGTCCTCCATCGCGACCTGAAACCCGAAAACATCCTGCTCGTGCGGGACCCATCTGTACCGCTCTGCGCCGCACCACTGATCACAAAAGTCGCAGACTTCGGCCTCGGCGTCGCGCTTGAGGCAGGCGAACGCACGAAAGGAGTCGCAGGGTCGCCGTTTTACATCGCACCCGAAGTCCTCACAGGCGATTACTCCCTCGGAGCCGACGTCTGGTCGCTCGGTGTCATTCTCTACATTCTCCTCAGCGGCGTGCCGCCTTTCTGGGGCGCGACGGATAAGGACGTATTTGTCGAGGTGCTTCGCGGCGTGGTTGATATGAGCGGGGCGGAGTGGGAAGGAGTGTCGGAAGAGGCGAAGCATCTCGTGCGGTGCCTGCTTCAAAAGGACGCTGCGAGAAGGCCGTCAGCTGCGGCTATCCTTTCCCACCCTTGGATCCTGCGCGCGTGCCGCGCCAGCAGCGCGGGTGCTCGCCAGCTGGCCCCTGTTACGACATCAGAAGCAGCGGACACGATTATGGCGTAAAATTTCAATTCGATGGTTGACAAAAGCTAGGGTTGGGCGGTACAAGAGTCAGGGGCGCTAATCTCCGGGTAGATTGTGTCGTACAGGGGAATGCCAAGCCAAGCCTCCTGGAGTCAGACGACGTCGCATGACCGCTTGCGAAGGCTTCAAACAGCGATGAGAGGCTTGTGAAGAGAGGCTTGGTTTGGCATTACTCCCTAGATGTTTGTACATTACATGTGTGCTGTACTTATATATTAAGTCAATTGTTCACATAAATATCATCTTCTGCAGCAGAATCATTGTCCCAACCCCCAGTGACTGCATAGGAGAAGGGAGATTAAATAGGTTCCTCACAAAAGAGAAGCGCCACTGACATAACTAGATCCTAAGACCCACGATTTCTAAAACAATTCCGATAGAAGGGTCAACTGCTCATATGGAGCAGCTGCAATGGTGGGAGTGCCGGACATTATTGCATTGCAGTGCAAAAGAAAGGAAATCCTTAACACATCTACTAACTTATTTACACATCATGGAGACTCGGTTGCGGGCCCGTTGGGTGGGCTCTGTCGCCTTTCAAGAATCTCCGTGTTGATGAAAGCCAGTTGGGAGAGGTTCTGAAATGTATCAATGAATGTCAAGGGGTGGGGGGGGGGGGGGGGGGGGGGGGGGAAGAAAGCGGAGAAACAGGAAGGCGTGGGGAAAACCAGAAAGAGGAATTGTTGCGGGGATGGATAAGCTTTCTGGCCGAGCTCAAGACCAGGACACTACTTGAGAGGAGAGGCCTGGGAAGACTTGCGTTTTCACTGTGGTGTCTGAAGTGAGAAACGTCCGGTTTTTTTCCAATTGAGTTTTACGGAAGCTCATCAGCCTATCAGCCTATCACCCTACCCATCCTACCTATTCAAGGCAGGAAGGCAGAATACCTTTAAGGAAAATCCTGAGTAGTCAACAGCACTGGACTGGAACACCGGCGTGTCACCCGCCTCATCGTGCTTATCGGCCCATCAGACTAGCACTACCCACTCTACCCATGCAGGTCAGGCAGCACACAGTACCTTGAAGGAAAAGCCTGAGAAGTCAACAGCACTGGACTGGAACGCCGGCATGTCCCCTGCCTCATCGTGCTGACAGGGGAGGGACGTGAGAGGGGAGAGACGTGAGAGGGGAGAGACGTGAGAGGGGAGAGACGTGAGAGGGGAGAGACGTGAGAGGGGAGGGATGTGAGAGGGGAGAGCAAGGAGGGGTGTAAGGGATGAGAGGGAGGAGAGCAGGGAGGAAGGTGACAGGGAGCAGGGGGCGGGGAGGGGCGGAGGGCAGAGGGTGAGAGGGGAGAAGTGGGTGGGAGAGGAGGAGAGGCAAGCACTGAGAGGCAAGCACTGAGAGGCAATGGATAAGAGGCAAAAGCACAAAAGAGGGGTTGGTTCATAGAGTTCGCTTTCGCAGGCGCTGAACAACCCCCCCATCCCCCCATCTCACCCGTTCCATCTCCAAATCTTCTGAATCACTTGTGCTGCCGCCGCTGCTGCTGTGCTTGCTGCTGCACCCATCTTCCCCCCCTACTCCCCCAGGCGCACCCCTTTGCCCCACAAACACCCACCCTACTCACCCGTTCCATCTCCAAATCTTCTGAATCACTTGTGCTGCCGCCGCTGCTGCTGTAGTTGCTGCTGCGCCCATCCGCCCCTCCTATTCCTCCCACGCCCTCCCCTCCTTCCAGAGCACTTGGTCCGTAGCGGCATGCAAAGTAGCTCGTGTCGTGTGCATTCTCCGGCTCGGGTATAAATGGGGGCTGATGAGGAGGGTAGTGGGGGAAAATTGGGCAAATTTGGGAAAATTGCGCTTTCCCCGCCTTCCAGTGCCTTTGCCCCGTAGCGGCATGCAAAGTAGCTCGTGTCATGAGCGTTCTCCGGCTCGGGCACGAATGGGGGCTGCCAGGGAGAGAGAGGAGCGGATTTTAGAAGCTGGGACACTAGATCAGTTGCAGCTCCGACACTAGAACAGCAACAGCAGTAGCATCAATGGGAGCAGCAAGAGATGGAAGAACAAGAAACAAACCTTTTTCGAGGAGAGAGTGTCCCAGTCGATGCTGCTTTAGAAACTCTCAGAGGCAACTCTAGCTCAGCAGCAGCAGGAAGAGCAGGAAGAGCAGGAAGAACAGGAAGAGCAAGGGTCAAACCTTTTCCAAGGAGAGGGTGTCCCAGTCGACGTTGCGAAAGAAGGGATGCCGCTTGATCTGCAGCACGTGTGAGAGTGGCGAAAGGAGGAGGAGCACCAGCAGCAGTAAGCGCAGAAACACACCTTTTCAGAGGAGAGGGTGTCCCAATCGATGTTGCGAAAGAAGGGATGCCCCTTGATCTGCAGCACGTGTGAGAGTGGCGAAAGGAGGAGGAGCACCAGCAGCAGTAAGCGCAGAAACACACCTTTTCAGAGGAGAGGGTGTCCCAATCGATGTTGCGAAAGAAGGGATGCCTCTTGATCTGCAGCACACGCGAGAGAGGTGGGTGGGAGGAGCACACATAACACGATTTCAGCCAAAAAAAAAAGCAGACACATAGTAGTAAAAAAAGAAAGAAAAAATAAGAAGAAAAGACATGAAGGGTAAGCAACACAACGGAAGGGGACAATTGGACTGGTTAACAAGCAACAGAACGAGTGAATGGAAAGCAACGTTATGGAGGGGTGGCAAGAAGTGGCAAGAGGTGGCAAGGGGGGTTGGCTGACCTCGTCTGCTCCCTGGGCGCCAAGTCGCTCATCCGGATCGAATGTGAGAAGCCTACAGACCACAGGAGAGAGCAGCAGGGAAACAACAAAGAGTGCAGTGCAGAGATCAAAAGGCTACACCCTTTCTTCTCGCGTTTCTTCTATCTCCCCCCTTCCTTCTCCACCCATTTTTTCGGACAATCGTAGGATAAAAAAGTGTGTCAGAGGTTGCTGGCACAGGCAATGAACAAACCTGTCAATAAGGTCCTTGGCTTCATATGACATGTCTTTGTTAGATTATACTACTCTTCTGTATCCTGCATTGATCCTATAAACCCTAGGATAGAGATAAGCACCCAAACCATGTTTGGGTGCACAAACTAGGGTTAACCCTAGTTGGGGGTTGGAACCCAACCTTGGCCAAATTATTGGCCCCCCCAATAATGTTGATCACTTTGGCCAACATTATTGGGACCCCCCAATAATTCTCCAACCCAACTTATTGGTGGGGGGCCAATAATGTTGGCTAGGGACCCAACCAACCCACCTTCCCTAGCTTCAACTATGTAAGCCCTTTTGATCCCTAATCAAATCAACAGTTCAATTCTAACATGCTATCAGAGCTCTTACGGCCAACGCCGCTCAAGATCCTAGGACCCCTCGCGCCACTTAGCGCACCTCTCGCCGGCTCTGCCGCGCCTCTCGCGCCACTTAGCGCGCCTCTCGCCGGCTCTGCCGCGCCTCTCGCGCCACTTAGCGCACCTCTCGCCGGCTCTGCCGCGCCCCTCGCGCCATCTCGACGCTCCTCTCCTCATCTCGACCGTCCGCCACGACGAACGCGACCGTCACCCGCGGACGCGACGAACGCCACCGTCAGCCACGGTCGCGACAAACGCGGCCGTCAGCCGCGGACGCGACGAACGCGGCCGTCAGCCGCGGACGCGACGAACGCGGCCGTCAGCCGCGTACGCAACGAACGCGGCCGTCAGCCGCGGACGCAACGAACGCGGCCGTCAGCCGCAGACGCGACGAACGCGGCCGTCAGCCGCGGACGCGACGAACGCGGCCGTCAGCCGCGGACGCGACGAACACGGCCGTCAGCCGCGGACACGACGAACGCGTGCAGCCGCCGCGGACGCGACGAACGCGTGCAGCAGCCGCGGACGCGACGAACGCGGGCAGCCGCCGCGGGCGCGACGACCGCGGGTAGCCGCCACGGACGCGACGAACGCGGGCAGCCGCCACGGACGCGACGAACGCGGGCAGCCGCCGCTGACGCGACGAACGCGGGCAGCAGCCGCGGACGCGACGAACGCGGGCAGCCGCCGCGGACGCGACGAACGCGGGCAGCAGCGAACGCGACCAGCCGGGGCATAACCAGCTGCGGACAGCACGCAGCCCATCCCCACCATCGACCGCGCTGTCCCTCCGGACAGCGTCGTCACCTCTAGCACCTCCACCCTCCCCTCCTCCTCCCTCCTTCACTCGTCATGGCTGACGATCCTTCTTCACTTGAGCTCGCCTCCATCGACAAACTCGAACTCCTCAACGGCACCACCACGGTCAATTGGGTGTCGTTTGAGAAAAGCCTCTTCACATACCTTGGCTCCGTTCGAGTGGGAGATTACTGCCTCCTCGACGTCGTCCTCGAAACACCTAATGGCCTCCCTCCCACCCCGCCCCCACTCCCAGGCTCCTCCCCCCCCGACGCCCCACCACTCCCGACCGAACCCGCCCCTCAAGCCCCTATTCTAGGGGCTTGGGAGGATGACCCGGACAGGTGGGCGCGCACCCTCAACAAGTACAACAAGGAGCGGGACGATTATGTCATCAAGAGCAGAGCACACGCGGCTGCCATCGCCGCTCACGAAGCTGCTACTGCAAAGCTTGCAGAGTTCAAAGCCATCTCCGAAGCGTACTCTACTAACCTTCGTAAGCACCACACGGACACTGCTGCATGGCGCATTGCTGACCGCCGTGCACTTACTATCATCTTTTCGTGCATTCCCTCCTCACTCAAATGTGACCTTCGCCCTCCATCCTCCCCCTCTCTCTGGAAGTCTCTCTCCTCCCAATATGATCATCAGGACTTACGCTCCCTCCTCTCCCTCTTTCGCACCTTCCAAGATATCACCCTTGACTCCTCCCTCAATGCCGCCTCCTTCACTCGGCGTCTCACGGACACTGCGCAATGCCTCAATGATCGAGGCATCTTGATCTCGGACACCCTCCTCACAGCTCGCATCCTTGACTGCCTCCCACCCACCTACGACACCTACCGCATCAACTTCACTTCCCAGCACATTCGTCCTCCTCCTGTGACTGTTACCATCGACTGGCTCCTTGACAGTGAGGCTGACCTCCTGCGTGACTCTGCAACGGTCAATGCTGTCCACGCTCGCAAAGGAACCAATACCACTGGCGGAAGCAGCAGCAGCGGACCTGGACGTGGTTCAAACAGAGGCGGGCGAGGAGGCGGTCGCGGAGGTGGACGAGGAGGACGCACTGGGGAACGAGGCGGCCGTGGAGCAACTACTCCATCCACAGGAGGGTTCCCCCCGTGCCAGTACGTCATTCGTCAAGGCCCCAACAAAGGTCAGACCTGCAACCAGACTACTCATCCCACTGACACGTGCTTCAAAGCCCTCACTGATGAATGGCTTGCACGAGGCAACACAGGTCCCCGTCCACGTTGGAAACTATCACCCTCGCCCCACCCCTCATGATGTTCGCACTCTCTCTGCCTATGCACCCTCTCCACCTAACCTCCATAATGTCCTCGCCCAGCACCTCTCCCCTCACGTTCTCCAACAAGTCCAACACCTCCTCCCTACGCCCACCACCACCTCCACGCCCCCCACCCTCACCCCTTCGCCTCCACCCACCCTCGCACCTCAAAACCCTCCCTCCCCCTATCCTCCTCTCTCCCCCTATCCTCCTCCTTACGCTGGCTGGCCCTACCCTCCGTACCCCCCATCTGTGTATGGTCATGGAACTGCTGCAACTGCTGCATCTGCTGCAACTGCTGCATCTGCTGCAACTGCTGCAACTGCTGAACAGACCCCCTCCTCCCCTCACCCCCCCGGCTTCACACCGTTTCCTTCTACAGGCTTCATAGGCCATATCTCCGCTACTAGCATTGATGATGATCCTATGTATGCCAATGCTATTAATGAGTCCTCATTCCAGTACTCCGTGTCCTCCTCCTCCTCCCAGGCCCTTGAATTCATACTTGACAGTGGAGCCACACACACGGTCCTTCGTGACGCAGGCACGCTCCTCCCCCTCTCTACTCCCTCCACAATACTTGGGGCTGACTCAAGCTTTGCAATACAAAGCCGCTACACCTCCACACTCCCCTGTCCCCTCTTTCCATCAGGTACCGTCACAGGTCTCTACATCCCCTCCCTTCGTAACAACCTGGTATCCCTTGGTGCCCTCTCAGCGGCAGGTGTCACCGCCATATTCCCTGGTCACGCAGCATATTGTGACTTATTTCACACCTCCTCCGGTCGCTTCCTCTGCCGTGTCCATCGGTGCCCCTCCACCCACATGTACACCTTCCCATCCTCCGTCCCACCCTTCACCAACTCTCCACACCTCATTCCCCCGCCCCTTCCCCCCCTCTCGACCCCCTCCTCCCCCTCCCCCATCGCCTCCCCCCCTCCCCTCGCCCCTTCCCCTCCCCCCCCTACCCCCCCCGCCCCTTCCCCTCCCCCCCCTACTCCCCCCGCCCCTTCCCCTCCCCCCCCTACTCCCCCCGCCCATCCCACTCCCCTTCCTCTCCTCCCATCTAACTCACCCCCCCCCCCTGTCACTGTCGTGATCTCACACACCCCACCATTCTCCTCCACCATCGCCTAGGCCATCCCAACTTTGCCACCCTTCGTCGCTCCATCCTCACTAAACTACTTGACGGCCTCCCCCTCACCCTTCCCCCCCTCCCTCCTTCCCCCTCCCCTCCTTGCTCAGTTTGTGTTGAAAGCAAGCTGAAGCAACAACCACATACAAGTAACCCCTCCTTCTCCCTCCAACCTCTTGACCTCGTCCACATGGACCTTTGGGGCCCTAACCCTTCCCCCACCAGGCAAGGACATCGCTACCTCCTCATCCTGGTGGACGATCACAGTCGATACTCCTCCGTCACCCTCCTTCGTACGAAGGCGGAGGCCCCGGCTGTCATCACTGCCTGGGCTGAACAAGCACGCAACCACTTCGGTCGCCCTGTTCGCCGCTTCCATTCCGATGGAGGTGATGAGTTCCTCAACCGCACCCTGTCCTCCTACTGCACCTCTCACGGCATCCTCCACACCTACACACTCCCTCACTCCCCTCAGCAGAATGGTGTGGCGGAGAGCCGCGTTCGGGAGATCACCAAAACTGCTCGGTGCCTCCTCGTTCATGCCTCCTGCCCACCTTCTCTTTGGGGCTATGCCATCCTTCACGCTGCCATACTCACTAACCTCTACCCCCACCCCTCCCGTCCCACCACCACCCCCACCGAACTATGGACCTCCAGCAAGCCTGACATCTCCTCTCTGCGCGTGTGGGGTTGCAAGGCGTATGTCCTCATACACCCTGCAGACCGGCCACGCGCAAGTGGAAAGCTCGCGTCCCGCACTCTCCCCTGTGTCTACCTTGGACACAACACCAACTCACCTGACTACCTTTTCCTCCACCCCCCTCAGGCCGCCTCATCCGTAGTCGGGACGTGGTCTTTGACGAGGCCACCCCGTACTACACCTCCCCTCCGCCCCTAACCCCCTTCCCCCATCTTCCCGGCCCCTCCTCTGGACTGACACCCTGCCCCTCCTCCCCTCCCCCGCCATGACCCCTCCCCCCCCTCCTCCTCCCCTCCCCCCCGCTCCCCTCTCTTCCAGCTCCTCCGGCGACATCCTCAAACCCCCCCTCCCTCCCCCTCCCACTCCACTACCTCACCTTCCGCTGCAACTCACCTCCCTCCACCTCCTCCCCCTCCTCCACCTCCCCCTCCCCCTTCCCCTCCATCCCCCCTCCCCACCTCTAACTCCCCTCCCCCCCCCCCCCCCCTCTTCCTCGGCGCCTCTCCCCTACCCTTGTCCTCCCCCACTATCCCCATACCCGCTCCCTGGACCCCATCCTTGGTCCCCCACAGACCGCCCCCTCCTCCCTCCTCGCCCTCACCGGAACTCCCCTTCCCCCCGCTTCAGTCCCCTCACTCCAGACCCACAGCGCAACCGCTCCACGCTCCTGAGTGCAACACCGCGCAGCCGAGCAGCAGCACTACCATGTCCCAGACTCGACCTCCAGCGCAGCTGTCTTGCATCTTCACCACCCCCCCTACCTCCTCCTCTCTCTCCTCTCCTCTATGAAGACACCCACGACGAACTCCTCTTCCTCCACCTCCTCGCGCCCTCCATCGCCCCCATCGTCCGCACCATGGCCGGCACTCCAGTTTTGCTTTTCTCAGGCACCCCCACCATCTTCACCCCCACCACATACGAGGAGGCTATTGCCTGCCTCGACGCACCGCTCTGGATTGAAGCTATGGTCAAGGAGAGTAACGCCTTCATCCACAACCGCTCCTTCATCGACGTCCCTCGCCCTGCCAAGACCAATGTGGTCAAGGGCAAATGGCTCTTTCGTGTCAAGCTTCACCCTGGCGAGGACCCAGTCTACAAAGCCCGCTATGTGGCGAAGGGCTTCACGCAGAAACACGGCTTTGACTTCTTCGAAACCTACTCACCCACTGCTTCTCCACCAGTTGTACGGGTGTTTCTCGACTTCGTCGGCAGACGCGGCATGCTACTACACTCCATGGATGTCACTACCGCCTTCCTCCAAGGCGACCTACACGAACTCATATTCATGGAACGCCCCCAAGGCTTTCACGCTCCACATGACCCGGCCACCGTTTGGAAGCTGCTGCGGCCAGTCTACGGCCTCAAGCAGGCACCCCGGGAGTGGCATGCCAAGCTCTCTTCCACCCTTCGCGAGCTTGGTTTCCGCCCCTCCCGAGTTGCCTCCAGCCTCTTCCTTCGGACTACTCCGTCCCCTTTTTACATTCTCGTATACGTCGACGATATGCTACTGGCCGCTGACACAGATGCTGAGCTGCAGAAGGTCAAGGACGAACTACAACGCCGCCTCGCCTGCAAAGACCTCGGGGAGGTCCGCAACTACCTTGGCATGGAGATCACCCGCGACCTCAAGGCCAAGACTATCTCCCTCTCTCAGTCCTTCTACGTTGAGAAGGTCCTTGAGAGGTTTGGAATGTCAAAGGCCAAGCCCATCGCCACGCCACTTGCAGTCGGGCACCAGCTCTCACCCCCTGCCACCCCCACCGACTCCTCGAACCCTTATGCAGAACTCGTTGGGGCCCTGATGTACGCCATGGTCTGCACCCGCCCCGACCTTGCATACCCCGTCAGTGTCCTGGCGCGGTTCGTTGGTGTCGGCAGGCACACAGAGGAACACATGACAGCAGCCCGATGTGTCCTACGCTACCTTCAGCACACGAAGAATTGTACCCTCACCCTCGGTGGAGCAGACCCACCGGTTCTCACTGGCTTCAGCGACTCGTCTTGGGCAGACTCGCAGCCCGACCGTCGCAGCTCACAGGGATATGGCTTCACCCTTGGGAGCGGCCTTATCAGCTGGCGCTCCACCCGCTCCTCCTCCATCGCCCTCTCCTCCTGTGAGGCCGAACTGTACGCGGTCACGATGGCAGCCCAAAAAGTACGATGGCAGCCCAAAAAGCACGCTGGCTCAGTTATCTCCTCACAGACCTTGGCTCACCACAGCCCTGTCCCACGCTCTGGTGTGACAACGCCAGCACCATCCACCTCACCAAAGAAGCTGTTTTTCATGGTCGCTCTAAACATATCGAGCTCCGACACTACTTCATCCGCGACCTTGTCCAGGATGGCCACATTACCGTACGCAAGATCGACTCCTCCTCCAACCCCGCCGACATATTCACCAAGGCCCTCGATCGCGCTACTCACTCGGCAATCTTACCCCTCCTGGGCCTTACTCCCCATGGTGACTGATTCAGGGGTTGCTGTCTTATCTCATCCAGGTTTATGGATCTCTGCAGGCTAAGGGGTTGTGTTAGATTATACTACTCTTTTGTATCCTGCATTGATCCTATAAACCCTAGGATAGAGATAAGCACCCAAACTATGTTTGGGTGCACAAACTAGGGTTAACCCTAGTTGGGGGTTGGAACCCAACCTTGGCCAAATTATTGGCCCCCAAGGTTGGGTTGGGAGATTATTGGCCCCCCCAATAATGTTGATCACTTTGGCCAACATTATTGGGACCCCCCAATAATTCTCCAACCCAACTTATTGGTGGGGGGCCAATAATGTTGGCTAGGTACCCAACCAACCCACCTTCCCTAGCTTCAACTATGTAAGCCCTCTTGATCCCTAATCAAATCAACGGTTCAATTCTAACAGTCTTCAGGCACGGCTGGCCATGTGATGTCTCTTGAGACGCCTCACAAGAGGAACAAAGTGTGTATTGAGTCGACTCAGAACACACCAGGCAATCCGCATACATATCAATAAGGTCCTTGGCTTCGTATGACATGTCTTCAGGCACGGCTGGCCATGAGGTGTCTCTTGATGTGCCTCACAAGTCACAGGCACGGCGTATACCTGTGAAGGCGGCACATACCGATAAAGGTGCCTACCTGTCAATAAGGTCCTTGGCTTCGTATGACATGTCTTCTGGCACGGCAGGCCATGTAATGTCACGGTTCAATATGTTGTCAAAGATTTGCTTATAAAGGGGATAAGCACAGGGGGTACGGTAGAGGATAACAGTGATGGAAATGGGAGGAGGGGAAGGAGGGACAATCTGTTGTCAAGGATTCACTTGTGAAGGGGATAAAGCAGGAAAAAAGCAGGATATGGGAGGAACGGAAGGACCAGCATCCAAACCCATTAGCTTTGCAGCATTTCCATTATGGGTTTGGATACGGGAGGAATGGAAGGACGTGTGCACAGAACAAGGAAACCTGGTATGCATCAAAACAACGACGTGTGCGTGCGCACAGGGTAGTGTTGGGGGGGGGGGGGTGGGGGAGGGGGTGTTGGGGTAGGGAGGGGGTTGTGGAGGGGGTGCTGTGCAATTAGTCGATTTTTGAGTCGACTCAAAAAAGTAGGGAGGGGGTGTTGGGGTAGGGAGGGGGTTGTGGAGGGGGTTGTGGAGGGGGTTGTGGAGGGGGTTGTGGAGGGGGTTGTGGAGGGGTTGCTGTGCAAGAGAATTGCAAGCGAACCACCATTTGTGCGAGCACAGAGGGGGGGGGGGGGAGAAAGGGGAGAGAGATACCTGAGGAGAGGGGGCGTTGAAGGGTGGGATGCCCACCAGCAGCTCATACAGCAGCACTCCCACCGACCACCAGTCCGCTACTGGACCTGCGAATGCAAGGGCGAGTGGAATGGGATGGAAGCGAGTGGTAAGTAATTGACAGCAGACAGGGTGGGATGCCCACCAGCAGCTCATACAGCAGCACTCCCACCGACCACCAGTCCGCTGCTGGACCTGCGAATGCAAGGGCGAGTGGAATGGGATGGAAGCGAGTGGTAAGTAATTGACAGCAGACAGGGTGGGATGCCCACCAGCAGCTCATACAGCAGCACTCCCACCGACCACCAGTCCGCTGCTGGACCTGCGAATGCAAGGGCGAGTGGAATGGGATGGAAGCGAGTGGTAAGTAATTGACAGCAGACAGGGTGGGATGCCCACCAGCAGCTCATACAGCAGCACTCCCACCGACCACCAGTCCGCTGCTGGACCTGCGAATGCAAGGGCGAGTGGAATGGGATGGAAGCGAGTGGTAAGTAATTGACAGCAGACAGGGTGGGATGCCCACCAGCAGCTCATACAGCAGCACTCCCACCGACCACCAGTCCGCTGCTGGACCTGCGAATGCAAGGGCGAGTGGAATGGGATGGAAGCGAGTGGTAAGTAATTGACAGCAGACAGGGTGGGATGCCCACCAGCAGCTCATACAGCAGCACTCCCACCGACCACCAGTCCGCTGCTGGACCTGCGAATGCAAGGGCGAGTGGAATGGGATGGAAGCGAGTGGTAAGTAATTGACAGCAGACAGGGTGGGATGCCCACCAGCAGCTCATACAGCAGCACTCCCACCGACCACCAGTCCGCTGCTGGACCTGCGAATGCAAGGGCGAGTGGAATGGGATGGAAGCGAGTGGTAAGTAATTGACAGCAGACAGGGTGGGATGCCCACCAGCAGCTCATACAGCAGCACTCCCACCGACCACCAGTCCGCTGCTGGACCTGCGAATGCAAGGGCGAGTGGAATGGGATGGAAGCGAGTGGTAAGTAATTGACAGCAGACAGGGTGGGATGCCCACCAGCAGCTCATACAGCAGCACTCCCACCGACCACCAGTCCGCTGCTGGACCTGCGAATGCAAGGGCGAGTGGAATGGGATGGAAGCGAGTGGTAAGTAATTGACAGCAGACAGGGTGGGATGCCCACCAGCAGCTCATACAGCAGCACTCCCACCGACCACCAGTCCGCTGCTGGACCTGCGAATGCAAGGGCGAGTGGAATGGGATGGAAGCGAGTGGTAAGTAATTGACAGCAGACAGGGTGGGATGCCCACCAGCAGCTCATACAGCAGCACTCCCACCGACCACCAGTCCGCTGCTGGACCTGCGAATGCAAGGGCGAGTGGAATGGGATGGAAGCGAGTGGTAAGTAATTGACAGCAGACAGGGTGGGATGCCCACCAGCAGCTCATACAGCAGCACTCCCACCGACCACCAGTCCGCTGCTGGACCTGCGAATGCAAGGGCGAGTGGAATGGGATGGAAGCGAGTGGTAAGTAATTGACAGCAGACAGGGTGGGATGCCCACCAGCAGCTCATACAGCAGCACTCCCACCGACCACCAGTCCGCTGCTGGACCTGCGAATGCAAGGGCGAGTGGAATGGGATGGAAGCGAGTGGTAAGTAATTGACAGCAGACAGGGTGGGATGCCCACCAGCAGCTCATACAGCAGCACTCCCACCGACCACCAGTCCGCTGCTGGACCTGCGAATGCAAGGGCGAGTGGAATGGGATGGAAGCGAGTGGTAAGTAATTGACAGCAGACAGGGTGGGATGCCCACCAGCAGCTCATACAGCAGCACTCCCACCGACCACCAGTCCGCTGTCGGGCCTGGGGGAAAGACATGGCAGGCAAGCAAGGGAAGAGGGGTTCAAGTTTCAGAGTCTTGGCGTGCAGGGCATGTATTGCAGGGCAGAGTTCTAAGAATTGAGGAAACATGGGGTATGTATGTGTAACATCGTGGCACCCAGGGTGCCATGCCTCAAAAACCACACAGCACCGCACTCCACCTCACAAAACCGCACACCATGTGGGAGTTCGAGCAGAATCTCCAAAGCCAAGTAATCTAGCCCACATATCATACCATGTAACACCCATCCCCCCACCAGGCCCCATCACCCAGCACCGCACTCCACCTCGCAAAACCACGCACCGTGTGGAAGGCCGAGCAGAATCTCAGGAGCCAAGTAGTCTGGCGTTCCCACTGCTTCCACTGCCACTCTCCCTCCCCCCTCCGCTCCTGCTCCCCTGCTCTCCCCTGCTGCTCCGTCTCCCCTTGCTCCTCCTCCTGCCCCTCCGCCCACTGCAGCTCCCCCTGTTCCTGCTGCCACCCTCCCTGTACCCTCTCCTGCTTCTCCTCCTTCCACTCGCCCTGCCTCTGTCCCTTCTCCTCCTTCCACTCGCCCTCCCTCTGTCCCTTCTCCTCCTACCGCTCCTCCAACCCCACCAGAAGCACAGGTGGCTTCACTGTTAGCATTCTCCTCCCCATTCTCCTCCCCATTTTCCTTGCCTGCCTCTGGGTTGTCGATGCAATCTCCCCCTCCCTTACGCTCATCACTCTCACCATTGCCGTTGCTGTTCCCCCACCCATTCCCGCTGCCAGTGCTACCGGTCCCATAACCCTCGCCAGCCCCCGTCAGGCGTCTCAGCAGGGAGGCATGCTGGGCCTGCTGCTGCCACCGCTGTGTGATGATCTGAGAGGGAGACGAACAGTGCATCCCCCCTCCCCCTCCCCCTACCCCTCCCCCTCCCCCTCCTCCCCCTCCTGCTGCGAAATGCGAAGGCGAGGAACAAAACGACCCCTGCTCCTCCTCCTCCTCCTCCTCCTCCCCCTCCGCCCCCCAACCCAGAAGGATGCAGAGGAGAAGAGCACCCAGACGCATGAAGCGGGGAGGCATAGCCGGGAGCATGCAGGGGGGAGGAATAGCCAGAGGCAGGGTTGGATTGGGGACCCGAGAGAGTGGACGGGGGTCCAGAGCGGGGCGAGGGGAACTCCTGCAGGCTGGATGCGGTCCAGAGCGGTGAGTCTGCTGCTGCACCTTCGGAGCTGACGCTGTATGAGTGGGGGAAGAGTTTGCCTGTGGATGGGGAGTGGGGAGGGTGGGGGAAAGGAGAGGAGAGGAGAGGAGGGGATGAATCAGTGGGGCAAGAGGCGCGAGTCTGTACCTGCTGCTTCCGTATTCAGGCTGTTAAGCAGGGGATGTGGGACAGCTTTCCAAAGGGAGGTGGTTACCACCAGGGGAGGTGGTTACCACCAGGGGAGGTGGTTACCGGGAGAGGTGTTTCACCAGTTTAGGTGCTTACCAGGGGAGGAAGGCGCGGAGGCGTGGTGGGAGGGGATGGGCTGCTGCTGATTGGTGGAGAGGTCCCCGGCACTGTTGATGAGCCCCACCCTGGACAGCCCAAAGTCCGTCAGCTGAGGGGTTGGTGAGGGGTGGTGAGGGGTGAAGAGGGGTGATGGGTGGTGATGGCAGATGATGGGGCTCTAAGGTCACTGTTGATGCGCCCCACCCTGGACAGCCCAAAGTCTGTCAGCTGCATGTCGAGCAGTGTGGGTGGGTGATGAGGGTGAGGAAGGGTGAAGAAGAGAGCTGAGGGGTGATGAGTGGTGACGGGAGGTGATGGACACACTAAGGGCGCTGTTGATTAGCCCCACCCTGGACAGACCATAAGTCCGCCAGCTGTAGGGCAGTGCGGGTGGGTGGTGAGGGGTGGTGAGGGTTGGTGAGGGTTGGTGGTGAGGGGTGGTGAGGGTTGGTGAGGGTTGGTGGTGAGGGGTGGTGAGGGTTGGTGAGGGTTGGGAGGGTTGGTGGGGCAAGGTATGACAAGGGAGCCACTCCAAACAAAATCAAAACCTGGAACGGCAATGCTTGAAAGTGCAATGAAAGGACAGCATGCGCATCTCACCTTGATGTGCCCGTCGTGTGCAATCAGCAGGTTGTCTGGTTTGATGTCCCGATGCACCACCCCCAAGGAGTGCAGAAACTCCAGTGCTTGCACCTTCTGAGACGGATAAGTAGCCATGAAAACAACTGCACACGCAACCCACGCACCTTGATGTGCCCATCGTGTGCGATAAGCAGGTTGTCTGGTTTGATGTCCCGATGCACCACTCCTAGCGAGTTAGCCTTGTGAGGAGCCTCAAAAGCCATGAAACAACGAGAGCAGCATCTCACCTCACCCATCTCACCTTGATGTGCCCATCATGTGCAATAAGCAGGTTGTCTGGCTTGATGTCCCGATGCACCACCCCCAGCGAGTGCAGATACTCCAGTGCTTGCACCTGGGGGGGTGGGGGGGCGAGAGGGGCGACGGGAGAGGATTTTGGGGGGGTGGAGAGTGGTGGTGGGGGCCGCAATGCACGACTCCTACCCACCCAGGATGGGATTGCAGATATTTCAACACCAAGGCGGCTAGGAGCCGATTGGTGGTCAGTGGGAGCCTGAGAGGTACCGCCTACAGGTCGGCCCCATCACGATACTTTATCACCATGTAGAGGTTCTCCCGACAGTCACGGATGTCAGAGCGTAGATCATTGAGTGCAGTACAAATTTGACCGTGTCAGTTCGTAAATAATTGTTCCGACAAAATACTGGACTGGCGAGTTCATATTTCATAACGTGCCCAAGTATCTGGTTCTTCTACCTTTACCAAATCCTCCCTCCCTTTCATTTTTAGTCATGGCAAACTTCCATAGCAATGGCAATGCTGATGCACTCGAGGGTATTCAACTTGTTTATGAGGCCAACGATAATACACATGGACACCATACTAGACAAAAAGTAGTGTCCATGTGTATTATCGTTGGCCTCATAAACAAGTTCAATACCCTCGAGTGCATCAGCATCGCCATTGCTATGGAAGTTTGCCAAGACTAAAAATGATAGGAAGGGAAAAATTGGTAAAGGTAAAAGAACCAGATACTTGGGCACGTTATGCAATATGAACTCCTTAGTCCAGTATTTATGGAAACCACAAAGAGTTCCGTGTCGGAAAAAAAATTTACGAACTGACACGGCCAAATTTGTACTGAAAGAGTAGAAGCAGTCAACGCCAGTCAATGGCAGTATGCACTCACCAACTCGGCAGTATAAAAGCATGCGGTGGATTCTTCCAGAGCCTCGCAGGCGCGCAGCAGCGAGAAGAGGTCGCCCCCATCCAGATACTCCATCACCATGTAGAGGTTCTCCCGACACGTGAACGAGTAGAAGCAGCGCACCACGAACGGGCTCCTGGCAGAAGCCAGGATGTTCCTCTCTGCCTGTACGCTCTCCACTGCGTTCTTTCGGATCATGTCCGCCTTGCGCAGGACCTATGGGAAGGGAGGATGGAGAGAAGGAGAGCGGTACATGCTTGAGGGAGTAGAAGCAGCGCACCACAAATGGGCACCTGCGTTCTTTCGGATCATATCAGCCTTCGGCAGCACCTGGGGAAGGGGGGAAGGGAGACGGTAATGTACGAGTGTAATTGCACCACACAGCACCGCACAGCACCGCACCAAAGGACGAGCTTATAGCTGCCTCCTTTCCGCTGTCCTTCCCTCTCTCCTCCCGCCATACCTTGATGGCAAACAGGTCTCCTGTCGTTCTCTTCTGCGCCAGGAACACCCTCCCATACGCGCCCTTGCTGATGGGCTTGATGATTTCAAAGTCATCAATCGTCGTGCGCTGCTCCTTCTCCCCCATCGCCCCTCCGCCCCCGCCCCCGCCTCCCCTGCTCCCAACGCTGCCAACGCTCCCCAGTGAGTGGGGCAGAGCCAGAGGGCCCCCAGCGGCGCTGCGGTTGCCGCTGGGAGAGGCAGCTGCTGCTTCGGGCCCGCTTTGAAATGCTTGAAGCTGCAGCACTCGTTGGTACTTCTCTCTAGAAAAAAGAGAAAGTGGGGAAGAGGGGAGCAGGGAGCAGAGGAGAGGAGAGGAGAGGAGGAGAGGAAAGAGAGGAATAGGGAGAGGGGAAGTTTGTGCTGGTGGGGGAGGCTGCTGCTGCTTCGGGAGAGAAATACCAACGAGTGCTTCGGGCGCGCTGTGATATGCTTTAAGCTGCAGCACTCGTTGCTACTTCTCTCTGGGAGAGGGAGGAGAGCAGCGTGCGAGCGCAGCAGGGCGGAGAGGTCGCGAATGTCAGTTGAGAGCAGAGCGAGCGAGCGCATGTGAATGGAGAGCAGCACACAGAAGTACAGCATCCATGCATGCACAATCCAACCCAGCAGCACACTGCGTGCCTTATCACACACATACACTCCCTGACTCCAAACACCAAACAACATGCAGAGACAATACACCAAGCCATGCTTGCTTACTGCAGCAGAATCGCAATGCGCAGCCCGAAGATCTGCACGCAGGGGAAGCGGGCGGCGTGCGAGCGCAGCAGGGCGGAGAGGTCGCGGATGTCCGTGGAGAGCAGAGCGAGTGCGTCCGCCTGCCCCACCTGCACCTCCCCCACATCCTCCGCTATGTCCGCTAGATCGTTCAGCTGCGGGGTTGGGGAAGGCAGGGCGGGGTAGAGAGGGGGATGGGGTAAGCAGAGAAGAGAGGAAATGCAAGGGGGAGCATTCAAGAGAGAGCATCTGCCTACCCCGACCCCACATTGATTTCCTCATCTATCTCCTCCACTGCCGCACCGGCTTCCAGCAGCTCCATGTCGCCAACCAAGGTGGCTTATGAGTCGACTCAACTCAAACGTCAATGCAAAAGTCAGCCCAAAAAGGCACCCTAACTCACCACGTTGATTTCCTCATCTATCTCCTCGACTGCTGCACCGGCTCCCAGCAGCTCCATGTCCCCCCCCACACTGCCCCCCCTCCTCATTAGAGACTCTGCCCCGGGCATCCTACTGTTCTGCCCCCCGCCTGTGCTGCTCATGCTGCCCCACGCGCGTTGACTGGCGTTGACTGACGTTGACTGGGCTCCTGGGAGGCTCTGTGACTGCAGGTTGTGTGATTTTAGGCCGTGTGATTGTGCGTTGTGTGATTGTAGCGTGAGGCTGTCAGAAGCTGATGTGGGAAGAGTTTGTGAGGGGGAGGGCGGAGCAGGCAGGGATCTTGCAGTGGCAGTGGCTGCTGCTGGCAATGCTGCTGCTCCTGCTTCCGCTGCTGATGTTTCTCCTGAAAGTGTTGCTGCGTCAGACGCTGCTGGTGCTTCTGCTTCTGCCGCTCCTGTTGCTACTGCTGTACCCGCTCCTTGCACTGCCGTCGCCGCCGCCGCTGCACAATTTGACACCCGAGCTGAATCTGCTGCTGCTGCTGCTGCTGCTGCGGAGGAGGAGTCGTCGTCGTCTGAAGTGGCATCATGCTTGGCAGGAGGGAAAGCTGGAGGGGAGCCGGAAAGAGCACTGTGCTTCGCAGCTGGAGAGAGGCTGGGAAAGGACGCACTGGCAAGACCATTCATTCGCTTCGCAGCAGAGAGGCTAGGGGAGGATGGGTTGGAGAGCCCTGTACGCTTGGCAGCAGGGGAGAGAGCAGGGGAGGAGGAATTAGAGAGCGCTGTTCGTGTGGCGGGGGAGAGGTTGGGGGAGGAGGAGGCGGAGAGGGAGAGACTGGCACGTTTCATGAGGGGAACGAGGTCCAGCTTCCACGGACTGCCGTGTGCCTGGGATGTGCGCAGAGAGAGGGGTGACTGCTTCTGCAGCTTTTGTGGTAATTGATTTTGCTGCTGTGGTGGTTGCTTCTGTTCCTGCTGCTGCTGCTGCTGCTGCTGCTGCTGCTGCTGCTGCTGCTGTTGCTGGTGGCCCATATGCAGTGCCGATGCTGATTGCGGCGGCAGTGGTGGTGGATGTGCAGATGCTGCTCGTTGCTGCCTTTCCCCCTCTGACTGCTGCTGCTGGTCCACATGCACTTGCTGCTGCCCCTGCTGTTGCGCAAGATGCTGCTCCTGCTGTTGCGCAAGATGCTGCTCCTGCCTCTCAGGCTCCTCTGGCAATGCCTTCTCTGGTTGCTCCTCCAGCAACTCAGGCGGCTCATGAGAAACAAGGGAGGCTTGAGGCGTCTCAAAGCTCACCTTGCTAGACCCCGGTGCTTTCTCCTCCTCCTTCTCTGTGTGCTCCACTTGAGCAGCGAACTGCCAGTCACTTTCAGCTGGGCTCATGCCATGGGGCCTGGAATCCGAAGCAGCAGCAGCATCACCACGATCACTAGCAGCAGTAGCATTAGCAGCAGCAGTAGCATTAGCAGCAGCAGTAGCATTAGCAGCAGCAGCAGCATTAGCAGAAGCTGCATTAACAGCAGCAGCAGCATTAGCAGCAGCAGCAGCATCAGCTGCAAAAGCGGCCTCAAGCCGAACAGACAGCTCAGCCACCACCGCATCCAACCCAGCACCGAGCCTATGTAACCGCTCATCCAGTGGTAACCGCGTGTCATCACACCGATTCGCCAGGGCACAGAGGCACGAGTGCTCCTGTAGGTCCCGCAGTGGCACCTCCTCCTCGCATATCCGGCACATCACCACTGCTTCCTCCTCCTCACGATTCTCTTTCGCCGATGTGCCTCTGCTCACCCTTCCCCTCTCTGCCCCCATGCCTGCCTCTGCCCCTGAAACCGCCACCTTTCCTGCCCCTGCCGCTGCCCCTGCCCCTGCCCCTGCCGCTGCCCCTGCCCCTGCTGCTGCCCCTGCCCCTGCCCCTGCCCCTGCCCCTGCCCCTGCCACTGACCCCACCCCTGCCCCTACTCCTGCCTCTCCCTGTGCTCCTATGCCTTCTCCCGTCCCAGATCCTGATGCCATTCCCGTGCATCCTGCATCGTTTCCCATGCCTTGTGTGTCTTCTCCTTCTCCCCCATACATGTCATCTGGCTCTTGGCCGCCCTTCAATGTCCCATCGTCCACTCCCTTCAACTCATCTACTATGGCTTTCCAATCCTCCTGCCGCACGGTGCTGTCCTGCCGCCCAATGCTATCCTGCCGCCCAACACTATTCTGTCGCAGGACGCTATCCTGCCGCCCAGGACTATCACACCGTCCCCAGAAGCCGTACCTGTAGGGCAGAAGCTTACCCGAGCTGGTCCTTTCAAGCTTAAGCCTCTCTTTAACAATCTCCAATAACACACTCTCATCCACGCCTGTACTCGCCGCTCCTACTGCTCCTGCTGGTCCTCGTGCTCCCACTACTCCGCCCGCCCCCACTGTGCTTGCCGCCTGCTGCTCATGTGGGGGTGGCGGCTGTTGCAGTTGCTGCGGCTGCTTCTCCCACTCGATGCATAGATTAGCCTTGTCAGCATGCTTTTCAACCCCCTCAACCGCCTCTTCATCAACCACTATCCCCTCCCCCTCCCCCTCCCCCTCCCCCTCCCCCTCCCCCTTCCCCTCCACCTCCCCCTTCCCCTCCACCTCCCCATCCTCTTGAACGCCCACTACCCCCTTTCCCTTGTCTGCAACCGCCGCTTGCACCAGTGCCTTGCTCCCAACCTCACCACCCATTGCCTCTAGCTCCACCTGCCCTTGCTGCATCAGCACTTCTTTCACCTGCCCTTGCTGCATCTGCACTTCTTTCACCTGCCCTTGCTGCATCAGCACTTCTTTCACCAGCCCTTGCTCAACCTGCCCTTCCTTCAACTGTCCTTCCTGCTCCTCCCTCGGCTCTCCTACCCTCCATTTCCCCTCCCCCACTGCTGCCACATCACCAGCAGCACCATCCCAGGAGCTGCCAAGCCCACCACCACTGCTTGGCACAGCAGCATCCGATTGGCTTGACAGAACAGCGGCAAAGGAAGCATCACCAAGGGGAAGGAGAGCATGAAACGGGGTGGTAAGATCACTGCCTCGACTCATCCGAACCAGTGGCAGGTGAAGCATCTCCTCCGGAGGACATGAAAGGGAACCGCCCTCAGGTGCTCCATCAGGTGTTTTTTCAGGTGCCAGCTTGGGCGTTTTTCCAACGGAGTCATCATACGGCATCACCTCCCTTCTTTTCAGACCAGCAACCTCTCGATCAGAATCTCGAGTCTGTATCCGCTCTTTCATTTCCAATTTCACCTCCCTATCCACCAACACACCATCTTGCAGCTCCTCCTCTCGCACCTCTTCTTGCAAATCCGCTGCTCCTATCACCCAAATCGCCCCTTTCCCTTCCATCACTGTGCTTGCTGTTAAGACCCTTCGTTCTGCCTCTGTCAACTTCCCCGTTCTGCTCTCTCTCACCACCTCACTTAACCCTACTTCTAACCCCAGCTCTGGCTCTGGCTTTCCCTGCACGCCTGCACCCCTCTGGTGCTCACCCTCGTGGTCCCCCTCACTTCGGTCCCCCACCACCACCCGCTCATGCCAGCCGTCCCAAGCTCCCCTGCTGCTGCTGCTGCTGCTGCTGCTGCTGCCCATTTCCCGCCTGTCCTCCTGTCCTGCCTGCTGCACCTCTGCCGCTGCTGTCACCGCTTCTGCCCCTGCTGCTCCTGCTGCTCCTGCTGCTACGACTGTTTTCGCTGCCGTTGGTGCACTCACAGAGGCTACAGGAGCAGCCACAGCAACATCAATCACACTCTCGTATCCCTTTTCCTGCCACCCTTCCTTCTCCACCCGATCTTCCACCACACCATCAGTCTCATTCTCGCCCTCTGCCCTTCCCTCTTCTTTACCCTCTTCCAGCTCCCCACGTCTGGTGAGGTGTTTCACCTCTACACTCTCTTGCGAATCTTTCACCCCCTGGGGAGACTTAGGAGGCCGTGGCGCAACCACACTCCCCCCCACCATCCCTATTGCCTGAGGAGACCTGCTTAACTTCCCTTGCATCCCTTGCGACACCACTGCTGCTGCACCACCTGCACCTGCGCTTGCTGCTACAGTACCCGTCAATGCTGCTGCAACATCTGTCCCAGCTGTAAGATCAACTACACTAGCTAATGAACCTGCAGCTTTTTCAGGCGGGGAGGGCAAAAGACCATCAAGGCCGCCCACACCCCCCTGGGTGAGTCCCAGGGTGCCAGAGGAGCAGGAGAAGCGCTGAGCCTGCTGCTCCACTGCCAGTAGCACCTCCCCCAGCCGCCCACTCAGGGACGCTGTCAGCCTCCTCGGGCCCGGACTCACCTCCCCTGCTGCCGCCCCTCCCCATGCTCCTGTTCCCGCTGCTACTACTGAGGCGCCCGCCCCTCCCCAAGTGGACACCCGGCCGCTGCCCCTTTTCCAGCTGCCCGCGCGGATCAGAGGGGGCGTGCGGGCCCTCTCAGAGCCAGCAGTGGCAGGGGTGGTAGTGGTAGCAGGTGTGGCACCGGCTGCAGCAGGATCAGGTTTCAGGAACCCTGCAGCCACCTCCCGTTCTCTCTCCCCCTCCCACTCTCCTTCCCGCTGCTGCTCCTTTCCCTTCCTCTGCTGCAGCAGCAGGTCCCATGCAGCAAGGTCTGCTGCAATGCTCCCCAGTGCAGCAGCACTAGCACTGGCAACACTACTCAGGATATTGGCAGAAGCAGCAGCTCTAGCACTGGCACCTTCTTGGAAGGAACCTCCCCAGTGCTGTAACCTCCTACCAGGTGGTGGCAGTTTTTCGCTGCTTCGACTGCGCCCCACCTGAACCAGCTGATTCACCTGAGACTGTTGATTCACCTGAGACTGTTGATTCTCCTGGAAGCTCCGAGTGAAATCGAGCCACGATTCGCTCGTTACACCAGGTGGTGACAACCTGTCAGTCAGCCCCAGAGCTGACCCAGTCAACCCAGAGGTCAACAAGTCAACACTCCCAAGGGGCTGTTCACCCAGCCCAGCTGGCACCATGCCAGCTGGCGACACGCCACCTGGCACCACAACACCAGCTGGCGACAGCCTGTCGTCGCTTCTGCTGCGCATGGCCTCCTGTGCTGCCATTTGCCCCCTGCCACTCCCACCCGGATGTTCACCCAGCCCAACTGGCACCACGCCAGCTGGCGACAGCCTGTCGTCGCTTCTACTGCGCATGGCCTCCTGTGCTCCCATCTGCCCCCTGCCACTCCCACCATCCGGGGGTCGAGGGGGGCGCAGCAGGGGCAGTGCGGAGAGGGAGGGAAGAGAAGAGAGCGTGGGCAGTGCGGAGAGGGAGGGTAGTGAGAGTGAGAGCACGTGGTCAAGCCTCCCATGAGACCTGGTGGTGGTGGTGCTGCTGCTGCTGCTGCCCGTATGAGGAGGGGTTCTTCTCCCTGATTGGCCCACAGCTCCTGCTGATGCTGCAAGCTCAGCTGCTCCTGCTCCCGCTGTTTTTGAGGTTGCTGCAATGGCTGCTGCCAGTGCTGCTGCGGCACGGTCAACCACATCAGCATCAGCATCAGAAGCAGCACCAGCAGTGTCACCACCAGCAGCAGCACTAGCAACACCAGAAGCAGCAGCACCAGTCGCACCTGCAGCAGCAGAAGCGGCAGCAGCAGATGCAGCGGCAGCAGCAGCTAGAGCTGCTCTCCTGTGCTCAGGACTGTGGAAGCTGGACCGCGAACGGACGGAACGTAGCGAGGGTCTCGGTTGCTGCTGCTGCTGCTGCTGCTGCTGCTGCTCTCCCTCTTGGGCTTTGCCAACTATGCTTACTTTCCCCTCCTCTGCTCCTTCTTCTCCTCCCCCTTCTGTTGCCTCATGCCTTTCCCCATCCTTCTGCTGCTGCAGCTGCTGCTGCTGCTGCTGCTGCAGCTGCTGCTGCTGCTGCTGCTCCTCATATCCATCACCCCACCCTCCTAACTCTGGCAAACCACTCCAAACCGCACTGCTCTTACTCCCACCCTGCTTGCCCTCATCGTCGTTATAACCACTCCGCTGAAGGTTTAAAGCCTCCTCCCACCGGGAGTCACTTCCAAACACCACTCGTCTGGATCTCCCCTTTTCCAAAACCACTGGGATATGCCCGTCGGACAGCCTGGTGGTAACCAAGGGTGCGTCTGGTTGCTTGGTAACCACATGTAACTCGGCCCTCCTGCTCCTTGCACCAGGTGTTACAGGAGTTACCAGTTTGGCAGTTACCACATCCCCTGATCGCCTTGCCCCGACTGTGCTGCTGACATCAGCAGTGCCACCCGGGTCACTACTAACTCCCATCCCTCCTTCTCCTCCTCCTCCCTCTCCTCTTCTTTCTTCTTCTTCACTCAACCCTTCTTTCCCCATGCTGTTAGTCCTGATCTCTCCACCATCCCCCCCATCTCTGTGCCTGCCGCCCACACCCCCTCCTTCCTTCTGGAACTGTAGCAGTCTCGTGCATCGGGTAAGGACAAAGAGCAGCTTCATGATGAGCTGGCGCAGGGGGCTTCCGGGCGGCATGGCTTGTCTGGCAGCGTTCAGCTCCTGCACGATGGACTCACTCTGCCGCCCAAAATCGTCTGCTGACATGGCGAGGCAGCGCTCTGCTACGGATTTCAGCTGACGCACTCCCGCCGCCCATTCTGTGCTGCTGATGCTGCCTGTGCTTGGGGTAACAGCACTGGTGCTAGTGCTGTCGCTGGTGCTGGTAGTGGTGGTAATGGGTGTAGTTGCAGCAGCAGCAGCAGCAGCAGCAGCAGAGGGAGGCAATGGCGTCACTGCTTCTGGTGCCTTGAAAGAACGGCCCCCACCCCTGATACTGCTACCTGCACCGCTGCTACTACCACCAACACCGCTGCTGCTGCTGCTGCTGCCGCCGGCTCTGCTGCTGCTGCTGATATCCGTCCTGCCACCAGTGCTACTAACCCCGCTACCAGCACCAGCACTATCAACAAAGGATTTACCGCCAGCACCAGCACTACCAGCACCACCACCAGCGGCACCAGCAGGAGTGGCAGCAGTAGCACCAGAAACACCACCAGCAGCAGCAGCAGTGCTGGTTTCTCCCAGGCCAAACGACACAAGACGAGGGCCTCTACCAATGCTGGGCACAGGCGTGACAGGGGTACAGGGGGAGTCTGAGGGACACATAGGCGAGGGGAGGGGGGACTGCGCGGAGGACTGGGGGGGGAAGGGCGAGGGGGGCGAGTGAGCGGGGAGGAGGAGGAGAGGCGAGTGGGTGGGGAGGAGGGCGAGCGGGGAGAGCGGATGGAAGATGTCGAGACAGAAGCAGCGCAGCTCCGCGTCCATTTTGTCCTTTGCTGACTCGAGCTTTGTTCGCAAGGCGCCCAGCACAGGCTGTTTGTAACGAGGATGGGATTGGGTGGAGGGTGCAGCAGAGAAACCAGAAGGGAGAGCCTTCTCTCTCGGGACTTAGAAAGCGGAGTGAAGAGTGCACGTGGCGCGGGTCAAGGTGCATTTGAGGATGATGAATGCATGCGCATTTGATTCAAGTCTAGTCTAATCAAGTCAAGTAGAGTCAAAGTGCACGTGGCGCAGGTCATGCTTGAGGCGGGAGGAGGGAGCAGAGATGGTGAGGTCGTTGCCTCGCACCGGCACTGCGCGGCTGCGGTTGCCCGTTGTGCGATTCATGCTCTTCAGTCGAGCTCCCTCCGCGCTCGCAAGCAAGGGAGCCTAGAGAGGAGAGGCAAACCGGGAAGCGAGAAGGGGGAGAGATGAACAGAAGGAGCAGAGATGGTGAGGGAGTTGCTTCGCAGCGGCACGGCACTGCGCGGCTGCGGTTGCCCGTCGTGGGATTCATACTCTTCAGCCGAGCGCTCTCTGCGTTCGCCAACAGGAAGGGCTGGAGGGGGTGATTGGGTCAAGGGGATGGACTGAAAGGAGCAGTGGTTGTCCATGGTGGGGTTCATACCACTCTTCAGCCATGGTCCCTCTTTGTTTGCTATCACGGGAGGCTGGTAAGGGGGAGGGAAAAGGGAGATTCCGGTAGATTAAGACAGGTTGAGGACAAGTTGTAGTGCCGAAGTATTGGAGTCTTAAAGGGAAGGGGGTAGAAGCCGGGGTTTCCAAATTTCAGGCTGCTGATGTAGATGCCGCTCTTCACCGGCTCTTCACGGGCTAATGCCACTCTCCACCAGCTAACTGTGTTCTTCACGGGCTAATGCCACTCTCCACCAGCTAACTGTGTTCTTCACGGGCTAATGCCACTCTCCACCAGCTAATTGTGTTCTTCACGGGCTAATGCCACTCTCCACCAGCTAATTGTGTTCTTCACGGGCTAATGCCACTCTCCACCAGCTAATTGTGTTCTTCACGGGCTAGTGCCACTCTCCACCAGCTAATTGTGTTCTTCACGGGCTAATGCCACTCTCCACCAGCTGATTGTGTTCTTCACGGGCTAATGCCACTCTCCACCGGCGAATGGTGCTTTCCCCATACTGCCAACCCACGCCTCGTTTCAAGGCTCTTTTAGGGTTTTCTTTTCCCCTTACCTGGCTGGCTCCCGTCGCATGCATGGGCGACGGCGTCTTAGAAAGGTCCATAGACACCCTGCGATGTCGAAAAGCGGCGAAATTCGCCGACGGTAACGACGACGCGGCCACGGGTGGTGAAGAGGCCGGCGCGGCGCTGCTAGGCCCGGACGGCGGCCGGGTAGCCGTCGGTGACGGCCCGCCAGGCAAGGGTTCTGGTAGAGAGCCCCGGCCGGCAGAATCGTCTGCCGGCGGCAGCAAAAAATGAACGGTTTCCCGTGACCGCGGCATGACTGTCAATTAGTCGCGAAAAAAAAAAAAAAAAAAAAAAAAAAGTTAAAACGCAACCTTGATCATGGTCCACTTTTTCTAAATTTTGCTAGCGTTCAGACATTTTTTTCTAAATTCAGCTCGGAGAAAATTTTGAGAATACATATGGGAAAAAAGATCTCTAATTCTGTCGCTCGAAAATATGTTAATAACGCCGATGTCTAGGAGAAGAAGGGGGAGGGTGGGTAAGGTAGCTAGCTGGCTATGCTTGGAACGTCGTCAGCGTCAGAACCCAGGACGGGACAGACGGGACTCGGGACGAGACTCCGGCGCGACGGAGGGAACTGGTTACGGGATTTGGTCGGGACTTGGGACGGGATGACAGGGATCTGTGTTTGAGGTGGGAAGGGGAAAAGAGGGAGAGAGTTCGCCGAGCGGGTGCCTGACTAAAGAAGCGTGTCCGGTTTGCTAGTTCGTGTTGCTCAGCGAGGGGGGGGATGAGGGGGGAGGCGAGGTGAGGAAAACATCGAGATTGGCTAGGCTGCTGCTCCATAGGCCGAGCGTGCGCGAAACATCACATGCTCGGCATAAGGGCGGGTCCGAAGTGACCCTCGACATCCGTCCGTCATCCATCCGTCATCCAGCGGATGACGGTGGCGGATGACGGGGGATGACGGATGGATGTCAGATGGATGCCGAGGCACTTCGGACACACTGCCGGCGACATAACTGCCCGCAAAAATGCCGGCCGGCACTGTTGGCGCCGGCAGGGACAGACCAGAAAGAATGTCGAGGGCCCAAATTTGTATTTGACGAATTTCGTTAACATTTTTCGTCACCCCGTGCAAGTCACAAGGGGCTGTCGTTTGTTAACAGATAATTTCGCCACGTTCCCCCCTCAAAGTTTCTTATCAAAGTTTGGGCTCGTTGACTGCCTCGTTGACCAGCCCGATGTTACTGTTGGTGGCACCCTTTGACTGGAATGATTACACCGGCCTGGATGACGGTCGGTTGTCGCTCGGATGTCAAATCACTTCGGACACAACGCCGGCCTGAGAAATCTCACTACCACCCCGTCATCCGTCTACATCCGTCGACATCCATGACATTGTCACTTCGGACACGCCCTAATCAGTGGAGGTGTCTGTAATCCCAAGAAGCGAAACGGCGAAGCGGGAAAATCGCCCAGTGGTGCTCGGCAGAATCAATGGAGGGAGAGGGTGTATCCTCGTGATGGATGCATTGGCCGTTACACGAAACGAAAGCGGCTTGTTTTTACAGTATACTAGTATACTGTACGAGCTTCTGGAATGTACAAACTAAGGGCGGGTCAAACTTCGTTCGTTTTCCGTTCAGTGTGTTCTAGAGCGGTTTTCTCGCTCCACCACTTAGAACCTTGCTTCACCAGTCTGAACAGTGATACTTGAACTGAAAACGAACTACAGCACGCCGACCCGCCCTAAACTGTAGATGAAAGGTGCAATTGACGGTCAGAGAGTCGTCTTACAGAGCGTTTTCAGCTGACAGACCAACCGCAACAGGCTGCCAGGCTGCCCAGCAGCTGTGTGAGAGGCACAGAGCAGAATTGTACAATGGCGAGCAGAAATGTATATCGTGCGAGTTTGATGCATCCAACCGACGCAAAATCCTCTGAAAATGTTCCAGTTCAAGTTTTTACCGCATTGCACCGAACTGTTGCTCTTCAGTAATTGTGTGGCTGCTGCGGCACCCTCCTCGCATGCGGCAGGCCATGGTACACTGTAAAAAACCGTACATTCTACACAACTGCACTGCAAGGTGAAGGCTAAAGTAGTGGAGTTCAATTTTATGAAGGTTGTGTCTAGAATGTTACTTACGACACAAAGCATAGAATCCTAGACCTAAGTTACTAAGGCTACATTAACATGGTATCAGAGCAGGTTACGACACCTGCTAGGACCCACCGTTCCGTCCTGCCCAAAGCGCGCTGTACTGATCTGCCGCCAGCGCACTATTTTTTTTTTTTTTTTTTTTTTCGCGCTGTTGCGAACCCCCCTTGCCCGCACGCTGCTGTGCACTGTCGCGCACCCCCCTGCTCACGCACCTGCTGCCCAGCGCACCGCTCGCGCTGCCCGCCAGCAACCTGCGCCCGGCCTGCGCCCTGCTCCCGCGCACCCCACACGCACCTGCTGCCCAGCGCGCCGCTCGCGCTGCCCGTCAGCTGCCTGCGCCCGGCCTACGCCCAGCCCGCGCGCATGCCACACGCACCCCATGCGCTCCCCCCCGCGCGCTACGGGCTGCTGCTAAGCGCACTGCTGCTGCTACGGGCTGCTGCTAAGCGCACTGCAGCTGCTACGCGCTGCTGCTGCTGCGCCCTGCCCTGCCGAGCCGCGCCGCCCTGCCGAGCAGTACCGCCCAGGCCGAGCCGCGCCGCCCTGCCCGAGCCGCGCTGCCCTGCCCCTACCGAGCTGCACTGCCCTACTGCTGCTGCTTCTGCTGGTGCTATTGCTGCTGCTACTGTTGCTGCTGCGGCTGCTCCTGTTAGAAACAATAGGAGTGGGGCCTAGGCTTAGTAGCCTAGGCCCACACTAGGAGGTAGTAGGTTGTGCCCTAGGACTAGGGTTTGTGGTATACGAAGGAGAATTGGAGAAGTGAGAATGGGAATGATTGAACTAGCAAGAGTTGGGATACAAGTAGGAAACCCTAAAGGGTTGTACTCACTGTTGAGTACCCCACTGCAGGCTAGACAAGTAACATTCTGACAGCTCCTGCTACTATGGCTACCGTTTCGGTTCTTAGCTTCGATGCGGAGGGTCGCCCGATTAGCTTTGACGTGTGGATCGATGATCTTCAGCTGTGCCTGCAGAGCGAGGCTAGGGATGGCGTTTCTTTGTTTGCACATACGTCCGGATCCCTCGTAGCCCCAGCTGATACAGCGCACGCGGATCATTCGAAGTGGCTCATATGTGACGCTACTGCCCGGCTTGTTGTTCGCAACCACCTTCCGGTAGCTGAGATAGCGCATTTTAGCCAGCAGAAGATAGCCAAAGCCCTCTATGACGCGGTTGTCACTCGTTACTCCTCCCCAGCTTCTGCCGCCCTAGGCCGTCTCTGTCAGAAGTCTAGGCAGGAATGAATGAACTATCAGGAAGGTGGGTACAAATAGAAACCCTAACATTGGGCTGTACCCCATATGGGCTACCCCACTACAGCCTACAGACTATACTACAGCATACATATATAATGTTCGACACACCCCCATAGGCAAAGTGGAGGAGAACAAGGGGTCACAAGATCAGTCAAGAAAAGCAAAGCAAGCTCAGGGTGGATCACAACGTCACCACACACACTAAGCACAAGCAAAGGGCCACAAGGCCAGTCCACATGCAGAGGTATATATGCAACAGGAACAGCACAGTGATCACTACCTAGCAAGAGCAAGCATGCAGGTATATGTATATAGATCACAGTACAAGCAAAGCCTACAGCAAGTGTGGAAACGTAGGTACAAGGCCTAACAAAGTACAGAAGCGCTGATGATCACCAGACGGAAGTGCCTTGGTGAATATATCAGCAGTGTTGGCCCGAGTGGCCACGTGAGCAAGACGAAGCTGACCTCGCTGCTGCAACTCTCGAGCCAGGAAGTAACGCAGAGCGATGTGCTTCGTTTTGTGCTCCAGTCTGTGCTCCTCACACAAGGCAATGGCCGCCTTGTTGTCAACGTATAGAACTGGAGGAGAACGAGGCCGCTCTCCCAAGTCAGTCAGCAGGTAGATGAGCCAGCGTAACTCCTGTGCAGCCATGGTTGTGGCGTAGATCTCAGCCTCACAACTGGAGCTGAGAACAGAAGACGAGCGTGTAGACCGCCAAGAAACAGAGCCAGAGCCAAGGCTGAAGGTGTAACCCTGTGAC